CACCCACCCACCCGCTCGCCCAAAATCCGTTGTCCCCTCCTACGTGCAGCAGAAGCGGGCAACACTCCGAGATCGAAAAGTATGGGAAAGTCTGGCCGGATGAGATTCTACTTCTTCAAGCAAGGAGCTATACTTTCTCGAACTCTACGTGTACTAGCAGTAGACCGGTCGGTAGTTTTTCCCAATTCTCGTGTGAGCTCGATCTTCTAGAACAGTTCATCTTTGTTTGTTTGTTTTTGTCTCCCCGTCGGTCTACTCCGAGGTTTCTTGTTTTCTATCTTTGTGGCTTCTCTGGCTGTGCCTGTGTCTCGTGACATTGAAGCGGAGCAGGCTGAAGCAAAAGGAAAAGTAAGAAAGAGGAAAGACCTTCGCAAACTGCAAGTTTTCGTCCCTTCTATTACTGCATTTAAGATGAAGTGCTGCTGGTTGTGGGCGTAAGTAGGACTTTTTCGTTCAAGATGGACGAGAGACCGAACTTTGGGTTGTTTGCCACCTACCTGGGTGCGGTGGTCGTCTGCTTGGTGATTCGCTTCCTTACCATCTAAGCAGGTTCGTTTCTACGGACGAGAAATGAAGATGCTGGTACGACCTTCGCCGTTTGAGTGCGTCGACAAGCTGGCGGCTTATGTGGTCCACTATGCATCAACGTGGTCCACCTCGCGGTCGTGGTGCGACTGTGACTGTGACAGCGAGCAGGGAATAAAAATTGCACCGCACTGCTGACAGACGCTTGTGAAGATACCTGCACATGCAGCAATATGCTGATTTCCGTCTTCGATGCCCGTGCCGCCAAAACCCAGCGGACGAGGATGTTGCGAGGTCGTGGAAGCTGTACAAAATGACAAGCCGGCCTTCGAATCACAACCACCAATTACAACTACATGTAGTACCGGTCTTGCGTCCCAGAACTTCAACTTGGTCCCGCAAAAAGATATTCCCATCGTCCCGCAGCAATCCTGCAACACCGCAGCCGGCTCATCTCCAAGCGGTAGAAGCACTATCTGTTGTACGACTACCGCCAGCACATCGCGAGAGGAAGCGCAAGACCAGGTTCCTCCCACACCAGCTGCGGGCAAGGCGAAATCGTGGGCGTTGCCGAGGCCCGAATTTTCAGTTTCCGCTGAGGCGCATCTGTCACACTTCCGTGCGAAAACCCTCTCCAAGAAGAACTCGAATCCTCTAAAAAGTTGCTTTCGTGCAACTTCTTCTGCTTCGGCATCCTCGTCCGGCGGCGCAGCGAATAGGAGTGTAGTTAGAACGGACTCGTCGTCGACCTGTGGTTTGTCGCAGGACATGCCCAACTCGAACTCCTCCACACAGCAGCAAGCCCGCGACCGTGAAGTCCAGCAGGAGCCCTTCTACTGGAGTAAGAGCAGCCGTGTTGTAGACCACAGCTGCGGGGGCACGACGCAACAAGGTGGCAGAGGACTAGAGAACATCTCAAGAATACAAAAATCCGATGGAGAAGATGCGTGCGCAGCTGGGAATGTCGCAACCTCGACGTCTGCATTCATCCAGCAGGCGGCTCCGAAGAATTGTGCCATCAGTGGGGAGACAAGTACGTCGTCGACGACCACCATCACATCTTCGCGGAGCACGGCTGCCTCGTCGTCATCCACGACTACCCTCTCGGGCACGCAGAGAGCAACGACGAATACGTGCAGGAACCCGCCGCCCCCGGGTGACGTCAGTCTCTTGCAGCCCGCTTCCACTCTCGACCCACGAGGACCTGCCGCAGCGCGGGCACGAGCAAAAGGGGTCGTGACTACACGAAGTGAAGATGCCACGACACAACAGAGCCAAGTCCGGCCTGCTCTATCAGCGTCGACACAAGAACCCTGCAGCTCTGGAAATGCACGAGCGACAGTTGCGCCCACGTCGTCTTCTCCTCCGAAACCAGGGAATTATGCCGCTGGTCCCTCACTGGCGCGGGCGCCCACACCCAACGGATCCTCCACGAATACGAGCAAAAATCTTCCTCGGGGCAAAAGCAATGGCATGAGCCTGCACCTGCTGAGCACCGGGCAGCACCCGCGGCAGGCCGACTTCCAGGCAATGGGGTTATGAGACTGCGCAACTCCTCCTCCCCCTCATTTGTATTGCATGAACAGCAATAGAAGGGCCTGCAAGAGTGCAGCTCTTGCATGACAAATTTTCACAGGATTGTTAGTGGTTTTTGGGCTGCCAGAGTCATCTGTGATGCTACCACTCCCAAGGCGCACAGAGTGGATTTGGTATTTTGCATCACAAATGAGAGGGAGGGGGAGTTTTGCACTGTTATAAAGGTACGTGATGAAGCAGATGAAGGGCCAGGCCGAAAAGCAGGCCGCCGCACAGGCGGACAGGCAGCGGGTGCAAATGTTGCATTTCTTGAAACCGAGGGGGCAGGACCTCCAGCCGAATTCGCAAATAGACGAGGCGGAGGTCCACGTCGATGTTGACCAGCAAAGCGACAGCATTTCTTCGACACGAGAAGGCGGAGTAAAACCGAGCAGCTGCACCACAGCAACGGGAAAGGGTGTGCAGCATGGGAAGAACGCAGACAATAATCGTAATTCCTCAAGTTGTCGTGCTCACTCTGGGTCTGGCTCTGCATCTGCTTCACGTTCATCACCAACTTCGAAAACAAGCACCAGCGCTTCCCCCGCGACAAGGTCCTCCCTTCGCGAGTACACTGTCAGGACGCTGTTGGGCGAATCGCCCCGGACAGCACGGCTAGCTGCACCGACTGATCCCCAACCGCACCCCACGAGCTGCGAAAGAGAGATTGCAATAGGGGCGCCGAGAAACCAGATCCGGTCCTTCTTCGACACGTATCATGTTGGCAAGCACCCCGTGCGCAGCTACAGTGCCTTCATGCCCCTTGAGTTGTTGCACTACCGGAAGCACCACGCTGACTGGAACACGTTTTCCTTATGCATTGCAAAAGTATCGTACTAGTATAAATTGCATCACAAATTTTGGCAAGAAGAAAAGTGGAATTTGTAAATGCTGTTTTACCTTAGGAAGGAGATTTGTCATGCATATTTGCAATTAGTACGACTACGATGCTTATTTTTGCACAGGATATTCCTACCGGATCAGCAAGTTGGTCCACATCTTTGTACAGAAAATGAGCGGAAGGGAGAGGTGGTATTGTTTTGGAGGTCTGGAATTTTCTTCATTGGTCTCAGGATGTTTGAAGTCTCTACATACGGCAGAAGATGTGTAATACAGACGGATGCGTTTGTAGTTCCCATCGCTTTGCAATCTCTTTGTTTGCACGTTTATGAATCAGGCATGAAAAAAGGCAGTATGATGTAAGTTGTGTGCTATAATACCAGGCGTATGATTCGTCCCGGCGAGTCCTTCTACGCCCTGGACGGCATGACGGCAGCGGAGCGCTTGGTATTCGCTTCGTATTACCTCTGCCCCCCAAACGCGGTCTTTTGGCACGAAGCCTTCGCGTTGTTCAAATCCGCCGGGTTTCCGAAGGAGAAGGGCATGATCCAGAAAGTGTTTGAGTTTTTGCCTCACTTGCCCCCCTCCCTCCCGGATTCGCCGCGTAAGCCTGGTTCTGCAGAGGAGGCAGCAGCATCAAGCGGAAGTGGAGCACAACCTGCAGCGGGCGGAAAAAGTTCGTCGGTGTCGCAGGACGATATGAATAACACACGTTGTGGTCGTGCGAGTGAGAACGCGTGCACGAGTTCGAATCCTTTGAATAATACAACAAACGCTGCACCTGCAGGAGCCGATGCCGACCTCCAGAAAAAAGTAGATGAGAAACAAGAGAACTACGAGAGGAAGAAGGATCAAGAAACACGAACTACATCTACAGGAAAACAGCCACACCAAGGTAATTCTCGCGACACTTTTCGCTTCCCTTGTCCGCCGGATCACGATTTGCGCACGAACCTCTTCCTGCTGTACCGCCGGACGTGTTGGGAGCAGCACTTTCGCCTGGGTCTCTGGAACTTCGATCGCATGAGAAGGCGGCTGAAGAGCCGTGGAGATGATAAAAACAGTAGTTCCACCGCAACACTGCAACGAGATCCGATAGATGTAGAAAAGGAAAATCAAAATCTTCACCAAGCAGGAGCGGAAAATAAGGAAAGTCCACCTGGGAGCTCCTCAAAGGAAAACTTGGACCCGAATAAATTGTTGGTCGGGAGCTCCTCTTCATCTGCAAGTCCAACCACTGGGAAGAAGAAGAAGAAGACTGATCCCGACGCGGCAGAACGGATAAAAACCGCTTCAATGAATAATTGCAACGCCCTGGTGGCCCAGCCCTCTGCGAGCTTACGCCCGGCAAACGGCGCGAGTACTAAAGCAACTTCAGCGAAGAATGCTTCGAAAAAAGCAGCTGCAAAAGCAAAAACGGCGAGTAAGAACGCCAATAAAAAAAGTGCGAGTGCTTCTACTACCAAGAAGGACAGTCCCGAAGCGAAGCAAGCAGATGAAAAGACAAAGAGTTTTTTGTTCTCAGAGAACAATGCGGCCGCCACAAAAACAAATGCGGCAGGTGGAGCTGCCGCGGCTCCTGTGAAGAACCACGAGCAACAAAAGGCACGAGACTTCTGCCGGAAGACATCCTCTTCAAGCAAACACCTTTCTACGGAAGATGAACACGACCATCAGAGTTCTTGCCAGAACGTTCTTCACGCCAGCACTTCCACTTCCAACGCGACGTCTTCGCCGCACGAGTTGTATGATCCGCTTTTCACGACGATAGCGTTTACGGATCCGCGAAATTATCGAAAGACCTGGATCAGCACTGGTGAGTTCGAAATGACGTACTTCATGACGCAAGTCTTGCTCCGGGTCCGGTCCATGATCATTGAGGAGGAAGAGATGGGGCCCCGGTGGGAGTTTCTCCTGGAAAAGCCCTTCCTTTCCCGCATGCTGGAGCACGTGATCGCGTATTTCGACCGCACGAGACCCATTTTGTTCAAGGACGCCGACCAGTCGGCGCTGCAGGGAGGAAAGCTGTTGCTGGTCGAAAGAGATCCTTTTGAGGAAGAGATAGACAGAGTTTTTGCACTAGAGCAGAAAAATAATAATCTACAACCCGATGCAGGTGGTCCTGCAGCGCCACCAGCGAATTCAAGTTGTAAGGGAACAACTTCGCTACATTCCGAGAATTCATCTAGGTGCACACAGAAGAACAAAAGTACCGAATTGCTGCTGGCGCCTGAACGTGGAGTAGACGACGAGGACGATGAGGATGATGAAGCCGATTTGTACAAAGATCGCAAAGATGGGAACCGCTTTCGCTTTCCCGATCCGGAAGAATTTTCGGACGCTACGGTCTGGGATTTTCTCCAGTACAACTACTACCGCGCGCACCAGTTGACGCTGAAAAGCATCTTCGAGCTGAACAAAATCGGCAAGCAATACGCGAGCAAGTTCGAGAGCCATTTTTGTCCCAGGTACTCCGTGTTTTCCATCGACCCCGTGCCGGAGGTGGGCGAACCCGAACATTATTTGGAGAGGGACCTGGAGCTGATGGTGTTGAACAGTCGTCGGAAGGATGGCCGTGCTCCGCGTGATCATGTCAGTGGTTCGACGACGTCCAACTCGGAAAGGACCGCAACGAAAAAAGCCAAAACGATGAACGAACAGAAAAATGAAGCAGAAAATCAATCTGAGGCAAAGAGTGAAGTAGATTCTAAAAGTAGGAACAAGGTGGACAAGGACAATAGTTTTTACAAAAATATCAACAAGTTCAACCACGCGGCCACGCACCTCGACATCCCGCGGGAATACCCACGTGGAAAGTCGTTTGTCGCTATCGAAGAAGTCGTGCTCGGCCACGACGGAAGCTTTGTGGAGCGAAGCTACCTGAACAACAGCGGGCTCGAGCAGGCGCCGGACATTGACAAGTTGCTCGTGCGCAGCATGCCCGAGGATCTCAAGGGAACAAGGAAAGAAGTAGAGACCAGTAGAGCGGAAAACAAGAAAGAAGCCGAAGGACCACGAGAAATTCAACAAGTGATCTGGTAACCAAATGCGTGCGCGCGCGCGCGCAGAGCGCGCGCCGGCCCACGAAGCCGGCGCGCGCGCTCTGCGCGCTTGCGATATTGCGTAGCAAACGCAGCGCGAAGGCAGTTGCCGTTACCATATAGGGCAACCGCCGGGAGGCGTGAAGGTCAGGGAAATGGCCAGAAATGAAGTGGGAGAAGGGAAAAAAAGCGGACCAGATGGGAAAATGGCCAGGAGGGCAAAAATGTCGCAAAAACGGCAGAAACCAAGCGGGAGAAGGTGAAAAAAGAGCATTTTTGCGGTTTGGCCCACTTGATATCTGAAAAATAGACGGACTGTTTTTTGCTCCGCCCGCTGGGCAGCTGCGTTGGAGAAGCAGGCCCGCGACCTGTCCGGAAGCCTTGGGCCGCTTCGTAACTGGAAAAAGTTGGAAAAAAATGGCAAAAATTTGCTTCATACCGTGGGCGGAAGCAATCGTCGGATTTTGTCCAGATCCCCCGGGCCACTTGGAAAATGGGAAAAGAAGAAAAATCTTGCAAAAGCGCAATCCCCCCGCAGGCTTCAAAACTGCCAGTCAGGTGGGGGCGGTGAAAATGTGCAGGTCGCCCGGGCCACTTGGAAAATGAAAAAAGATGAGAAATCGCGCAAAAGCGCAATCCTTCCGCAGGCTTCAAAACTGCCAGTCAGATGCGGGCGGTAAAAATGTGCAGGTCGCTGGGGCCACTTGGAAAATGAAAAAAGATGAAAAATGGCGCAAAAGCGCAATCCCTCCGCAGGCTTCAAAACTGCCAGGGAGATGCGGGCGGTAAAAATGTCCAGGTCGCCCGGGCCACTTGGAAACCAGAAAAAGAGAAAAAAATGCGCAAAAGCGCAATCCCTCCGCAGGCTCCGAAACTGCCAGGCAGCTGCGGTCGGTGAAAATGTCCGGAGCCCTTCGGCCACCTAAGAACCACAAAAAAGAGCGAAAATTGAAAAAAACCGAGAACCCTCGGCAGGCTTACAAACTGGCCGCCAAGGGCGGTCCGGCGGGCGCGTGGTCGCGCCATACCATCGGGATTGTGAAAAAAAAAACGCATTAGAAGCGGGCGGAGGGATGTCACAAAATCCCTATTTGCCCTGGTTTGTGGGCACAAATCCTGCACCTCCGCCGCGTCTGAAATGCCCGATTTTGGTGGCCCGGAAGGGTCCGCGGAGATTCGGCTTTCCGCATACCTTCTTGGCCAGGAGGCCAGTTTGTCATGCAGGGGGCTAGAAAGGATGCCCCGCTGCGAAATAGCAGACCGGATTTCGCCTTCAATGCTTATCGCAGGAGCCTGCGGGCCGCCGCGGGCGACAGTAGTTGTCCGCGGCCCTTTAGGGCCGCGGGGAAGTGGTGGAGCCCGCGGCGGCCCGCAGGCTCCTGCGATAAGCTTTGAATGCGAATCCGGAAGCCCCCGATGACCCAGATACCTTCCTGGCCAGGGGGCCAGTTTCTCATGCAGGGGGCTTGAAGAAGAAGGAGTGGGACTGTAATCAAAAATAAATAGCGCCAAAGCGCGGCCCGCAGGGCCGCGCTTTGGCCGCGCGGCTGGTTAGGCTTTCGCGCTGGTTAGAATTTCGCGCACGCATTTGGTTACCAATATCGCCCTCCGGGCGCGACCTTCATAGCAGGAGGTAGCACGACAGGTCCTGGTAAAGTAGCACGCGAAAAAAGAAGGTCGAATAAGACGCCCGCGGAAATGAATTCTTCCGTCAATTGTAACAGAGCCATCACTCAAGAAGGAAAGAAAACCGATTCTTCAAGAACATCCAGCGTGCGAGACAACAGAGATGCAACTGGTCGCGCGAGGACCGCAAAAGCCTCCTCTTCGAGTTCGGCGGTTCTCTCATCTCTCGACGAGGAACATCAAACAGTGTGCCCTGCTGCTGAAGAAGCTGCTGGAGAAGGACAACATTCGAAGGTTTACTTGATACTGGAGCACCACAACAGTAAGTTCAAGTCTTTCGATATCCTGAGCAAAAACGTCCCCACACCAGAGTCAAGATGAGGACTTTGCAACACAAACCTAAGAGCCTTGGACGTCACGCATGACAAGTTGCATTCCATAGTGTAGTACAGGTTAGCAAGTGCAGCCGCATCACAGATCCATATGCTTATCCTGTTCACAGCATCACAAATTCCAAAACACGATTGGAAATGGCTACCATGGGTATGCGCATCACAAATGTCCTCGTCAACGCAAATCTGCATGACAACTCCGGTGTGGGGACGTTTTTCCATATGATATTCGAAAAAGAGGACCGCAGCTACGACAGTGAGGGCTTCTTTCGGAACACCGGGTTCTCGCCCCTGGACCACCCGTTGCTTGTCCGGGCCTGCGAAACCCCCCAAAAACTTGGCAAGTGCCCGATCAACCGGCTGGAGCGGTATTTGATACACGGAAACCACGTGGAGCAGTTTTTTCCCACCGGCCTAGACTGCGTCTTCAATTCGGAGCTCGACGGGCTCATGGAGGAGTATTTCGCGAGGCTCAAAACCGAATTGGAACATCAATTGGTAAGCTACCAACCTGCCCCGTCTTCGCTACTAGCAAAGGCGGGGCAGGTTGTTGCGGACACGGGACGAGCAGTAGTTCCTGACGCCGGAGGAGAGGCAAAAAACGCAAATGCCTCCTCCTGTGGGCGGGGTCCTCTCGTGGGCACTACGAGTAGTAGAACCCCTGCTGAAAATAAAATGTCGGGCACCACGACGCAAGAATGTCAAAATTCTATCCCTGTTTGTTCATCTGCAACGTCCCGTCCTACTCCTACCAGTACAACTGCCGCCTCTGCAAAAAGTGCAATTATGTCTAATGTCGCTCCAGCAGGAGCACCAAATCCAAAGCCGGCGAATTGTACTACATCGTCGACAACGATCACTAGTACGACCAGGCGTTCCTGGGTCGACCCTTTAATGTCCATTTCCATTTCGCTTTCCCACTCGCAGACTCTGATGCAAAGCACTTTCGGCATTGGCACGGGGCTCAGCGAAGACAAGGACCGGCGTAACCATTACTCGCACAAGTTCGCCGACCTCATGTTTCGCCCACGAATGCCGGACCCAACCGCCCGGTTACGCCCGGACATGGTCGAGTTTGCGAGAGAACACGTCAAACACTGCTGCGCAATCGACTACGGGTCGACCGCGGGAAAGCCTGACGATTGGTTGTCGGACACTGACTGCAAAGAAATGACGGACACGCTGCTACTGCTGCTCCACAGCCGCTTTCAGATTCCGAAGCACGAACAGCCCACCACGATGTCCGTGCCCTTTCCGGCGACGTTCTCTGTTGCACCGCCCGCCAGCCACGTTGCTGCAACACGAAAAGATAGTACTTCGGGGTCCTCTGGTGTGGTGGTCGCAAAGCCAAATAAAGCTCCGCCGGCTCCTGTGTCTGCGCAGGGTAAGAACAATGGTCAGATTGTTGCGCCGTCGGCGGGACGGAATGGCTCTGGCGAGGAGAACATCAAATCTTTTTCTGCCGCGCCAGCTGCTCATTCAGGACCGACAATGTCAAGAACAAGTGCTGTGTCGTCTTGTGATGACCTCCGAATCGGCACACACGTCCAGAAAGGACAGGAAACCTCGCTATCCTCAGGAAAATCTTCAGGAAGAACACCGACATTAGCATCACCCCAGCAGGGCGGTGCGCAGGGTGTGCACACCACAGTGCCAGCAGTTGCAAAAAACCAAGAAACAGTTTCTGCGGCCAGTACTTCTAATACAAGCAGCGCTCCTGTCGGAAATGGATTAGCTGCACCATCCTCGGCGGCACCCGGAGTTGTAGTAATCACGCCAGCACATCTAGCACCAGCAAAAAAAGTTTCGGAAAACGAAACTTCTGTGCCGTCGCAGCAACCTCCGCCGCCACAGCAGGCGCAAATAACTGGCGGGTTTTTAGGGGCCATGCGGTCTCTGTTCTCGGCGATCATACCAGGCTCAAACTCGAGTTCCCCTTCTGACAAAACGAAAAAGAGTTCTGACAAGACGCCTGGTGCCGCACAGGAAATGTTTGGTGTCACATCGAAAGCACCCCCGAGTGGTGGTGCGCCATCGTCGAGCTTGAGCAACCCCGAAACGACTGCAATTAATGGCGGGAAAACGAAAACAACCAACTTTTCGGCCCATCCCCCTGCACCCCCAGAGCAGGCACGGAAAAAATCAGAAACCACGACGCAGACGAGTGCCACCAGTTCTCTTACGGATCCACTAGTGGCTGGAGCCGCAGTCGGGGATGATCTTCCTGAGTCTCAGCAGATGTTTGCAGCTCTAGTCTTGGAAGAGGAGAAGAAAAATCTTCATCCCAGAAGACTAGGCCCGAATCATGACGAAGCAGCACCACATGTTGCAGCAGCAGATGTGACCTTTGCAAAATCGCAAGACAAAAACTCTGCCCCGAACGGCCAGGATTTTTCTTGTACTTCAAACCCAACGCGTCCCGTGCCGCAGAGCTCATCTCGTGTAAAAGAACCCTCCGACAGGAGATGCGTCACTTTTGACGAGACCACGCCTGAAAGGCAAGAACAACTTCCGCTACCCTCCTCGCGGCAACCGTCGAAGGTCAAACTGCGGCAAGGAACGCCCGGCAAGTGTCTGCTCGAGAGCTCCCCAGAGACGTCCCCCAGTCCGGCGGGATGTGGGTCCTCCACCACTAGCAGCGTGGCCACGTCGCAATCAAGTTCTTCCACCGCCAACGGCTACAACCGGTGCAAGAAGTCCCGGAAGCGCGTCCAAACAGAAGACAACCTCCACGAAGCCGGGGGCGGGCTGCACCGCGATGGGATTGCGGTTGCATTGGATTTTTCCGAGGCGGGCTCGTGCCGCACCTGCGGAGGGGGAGGCGAAGATGCCAAAAATGCGGAAAGTAGCTCACAGAAGACTCAGAGGCAGCCTTGCGAAAGTAACCCGACGAGGTACACCCTGTTTTAAAACGACAATGCTCCTTATTTAGATAAAACCTGTAGAGAATCAACATACGCAACTGCGGTGTTGGCATACAATGATCGATGCACGGTAAGAACTAGAGCTAATATGTCCCCACCAGAGCAGGACGATCTTCTTCCGTGGTTGGGCGTCTTTGATGGAAGTACAACGAATACAAAATGCGCCTGCATGCATCGCATGAACTACATCATGCCGAGCGATTCAACTGACTTTATTCAAGGTCTTCACAACTATGCCCTGGCTGTGGTCGGTCGCCTGGTGCCACGGAAGCCGATGCTTTTGGTACTACGACATCGCGTTTTTCTGTACAGTCTTCTGTTTGCGTTGAACAACTACTGCGCAGACGTTTGCGCACACAGACGTACAACTGCTACCCGGCAGTGACAGTGAGTCTATGCGTAATGTTTCTGCCCCTACTTCGGTCACGATCTGGCACTAGTCTGTCTACTTCCACCTCCTCTCGTCTAGTACTAGTAAATCGCCGCGTGTCCTCCTCCTCCGCCCCTACCACAGGCTTGCATGGAGAGACCGTCGGCCATTTTCGGGCGCATCTCTTCTCTGTGCGTGTCTTCCATCGCCCGTGCCCTTCCTGGCGTGACGGGTGAGCCTAGGGCGCCCTGTCGTGGCGCACTCGCTACGAGGGCCTACTACCACCCGACGAACAACGACCATGACGCCAGCAGCTCGGTGCCAGTTCGCGCCGTCAGATGACCTGTCCAGCCACAGCCAGCCGCTGCATGGGAGCGGTGCAGTCCTTCCTTGTTGCCCGATATGCCATTCCCGGTGTCTTCGCAGGCTATCGCCATAGGCCTGTGTTTGAGGCTGCCGTACGCTCCTCCGGTGCGTTGTCTTGCTTCTCACCCTACTTGCCCTCCCCGGCGACTGTCTCTAGGAGAGCTGCGCGCACAGTCGTCTTGCAGGCCGGCCGGGGCCGGCAATTCCATGCCGGGTTTCGGATTCGGCTTGGCTTTGGTTACTACCTTCCTTCCCAACCATCCCGCCCGGGATCTACACCGCACCCTCACGTGGGGACGGGGCCGGAGATAAGGGATAACGCCAGCCTCCCACAATGACTCGTGGGCTCTCAAATTTTGGAAGCCACAGAAGACTGAGCTGACCTCCCTCTGCGTGGTTTCTCAAATTTGAAAAGATGCTCCCTCGGCATCTTTTGAAATCCTGAAAACCACAGAACAGCCAGCTGCCCTCCTCGTCGGTCTGCGGCATGTCAAATTTGAAAAGATGCTCCTTTCCTTCAGCATCTTCTCGAATCTTGGCAACCTCAGGACAGAAAACGGATCGGCTCTTCTGCGGCTTCGAAGATTGAAAAGATGCTTCTTTAGCATGGTGCCACGGAACCCGATGCTTTTGGTACTACGACATCGTATTTTTCGTCTGTGTGCGTCTACGTCTAGTCTTTAGACTCTTTGAAGTTCGCTTTGCGTGTGCATATACAACACTGCTGGGATTGCACTTTACATATATGATAAATTTTTTTTTACCTGTTCCTGTTGTTGACCAATTAGAATGTCCTGTGGGGATCGATTTGTTTTCATCACTATGGTACGTGTCTCGGTCGTCGAGTCCGGGAATGTCTGAATTCTATCAGGTGCGCGAATATGGGAGCCTCCTGAGCGGAGCGGCACACGCACCCGAGGACTATGAAATGCAAAAATGTCTGGGTCTGGAAGGATACAAGGTCTGTCATGCACATTTTGCATGAGTTCTGATGTCTGTGATGCATGCCCTAGCATGACAGATTCTGTGAGGGCTTTCTGATGCCTATACCGCATGAGAAATGCCCTCTCGCAATGGAAAACACCGGACCTCTTTTGCTGTTCATGCAATACAGATTTTTGTAGAATCCAGCTGCAGCATCACAAGTTCGCATCCCTCCAGACCCAGACATTTTTGCATTTGATAAGGACTGGAATTCTGCAAGAAGGCGTTGGAAAAAGCGGCCGCTACCGATATGGATTGTAAAAATGTCTGGGTCTGGAAGGTTGCAACTTGTGATGCTATGTTTCGACTCTAAAAAGATTTGTATTGCATGACCAGCAAGAGCCTAGTCCAGTTTTTGCTACGTGGGGAGGGCATTTGTCATGCGGAATAGGCATCAGGAGGCCTTCCAAAAATCTGTGATGCTAGGTCCCGCATTCCAGACCTCATGGGTCATGGGAAACCTGCATGACAAACATGCACTTTTCCAGACCCAGACATTTTTGCATTTGATAACCGACGGAACCGAGCAAAAGAACCCGAAGGCGGGGGTACAAGAACTACAACAACATGTCGAACCAGCACTAGAAAAGGATCATTTGGATTTACCAGAGACCCCGATCAGCTTTTCAGCAAGTCCCAAACATTTTTTCGTGCAGCAAGCGTCAGCAGAAGCAGACAATACTCCGACGACGTCGACGTTGTTCGCGAAGCCGCCATCCAAGTTTGCAGGCAGAAAGGATTTCGCACTGAAAAGTTTTCTCCGGGCGCAGGAAACCACTTCCACGACCTTGCCGGGAGCCAGTGGCACGTTTTGCGGCGGCTCGACGCACGGAGTAGGTGTCGGACGGCCCGCAGTAGGGGCACAACAACCACAGGCATCAGTGCCGCCGAGCAGCGGCTCAAGTGGGGCGTCGACGAATAGCAGAAGTACGGCACCAGCTACAATCCAGGCGAACCAAAACAGCAGTGCAGTCGCTGCTGCAGCTAGTACCAATTGTTCCAATCTCCACCAAGCTGCACAGCCACCTGCTGGCGCTACTTCCGCGAGCACGTCGAAACACATGAGTAAGAAAAAAGCTGGAAAGCAGCATGCCCGACTCAACGCACAAAAGAGATTTTGCCCCTCGGCTGTGAACAGCGACGGCGCGGCGAGTGCAGTGAGTGCCACGGTGACCACCAATTCGAATACAGGAGCATCGCCTTTAGCGGGATCGGGCGTTGCTGGATCTTCATCCAGTGCTAGTGCTGCCAACTGGGGATCTGGAGGAGGACCGACTCCTGTACCCGCGTCCAAAATACAGCCGGGACTGGGCGATCAGATCCCGGCACGCGCACAAGACGCACCTCCGATGCCACCGTCTGTACCGCAGCAACAGAATACTGCCACGCCCAGAGGAGAGCAAAGCGGAAATCATGGTCTGGAGGTGCAACAAAAACAAAATTGCCAAAACCTCAGCCAGGACCTAGGACAGGAGCGACAAGTTGTGCTAGACCACTGCCAGAACAACGCAGCAACCGCGGGGCAGCTGCAAGCAGTGGCCAAGAACATGTCACCCTCGGCCTTTGCGAATTTGATACCCACCAATCTTGCATCCTGTGCAAATCCCGCTGTTGCCTGTCCGGCAGATGCAACTTCTACACCAGGAGGCACGATGAATACACCGCTGCAGCAGCCGCGAAAGGCCCCGACCGGAGGAGTGTTTCCGCCGCGGAGAACGGCGTTCGGCTTGGAAACGTTGCCGACAACGCTGACTTATGATCTGCAAAAGCATCGTACTCGTATAGATGCATTAGAAATTTCCTCTGCATCGGAAATAAAATTTGTAATGCGGATTTACCTTGACAAAGAAACTTGTAGTGCATGATTGCAATTACTACGAGTACGATACTTTTGCACAGCATATGACTGCAGAAGAGCGAGCGGCGGAAATTTTGAAGGAGTACAAGAAAGTGACCACCTATCAAAGAAAAAAAGTTCGTCACGATCACTCATGCGCATTTTTGCAATACAAAATTGTTTGTCATGCGTAAAAATGCATCACGGCCAAACTTCATTAGGGATTTCCCTAGTGTTTCTGCAATACAAGGAAAGTTTGTGATGCTGAGAAAATTTGTAATGCAAAACCTGTTTGTCACAGTCACTGTGACTGTGACAAACTTTTTTCTTTCCATACCACCGACCCTGTCACCGGCGCCTGCACTGCGGACACGGGACTGGGACAAAGCTCCTACATACCAAAGCATACTCCTCAGGTAACGGTCGACATTAGATATGCAGCTTGATGTAAGTAAGTACTTAAGTACTTTTTTATTCCTTTGCTTTGTTGTTCTTCTTGAATCTTGATGGAATTACGTCGTTGCAGAATCAATCTTGACGTAAGCCCCTCCGACTGATTTGGGTTTCATTTCCTCCAACGACGCTGGGCGCGACGCTTCACGTCGTGCAGAAGTGAGAGTTACTTGAATTGATAGATCGAACTCTCTGTAGTTCAACCAAGGTAGTATAGTACGACAAGGTAAAAATCACACCGCGGTATTGACAACAACATATCAAAGTAATGACAAATACATACAACAGCTGCTGGAGCAGATGTACGGGGGAAAGCCGCCTCCGACTGCCGCGGCGGCGCAGTTTCTCGAGCAGTACCCCGCAAGCAACCAGTGACGCACGAGAAAACTGTTTCACCGTAAGCAGGTCATGCAGAGGTTGCAACACCAACACAGAAGCATTTGCCTCTTTATCGATGCTAAATACTTAAGTAGATTTTGTTTCTGGGACTAGGTTCGGAGTTATTATGCAGGACAAACCTGTCGGTGTCGTTGTGTTGTCATCTAGGTTCTGCAATAAAATCTTTACAGTGAAACACTTGTTTCTCGCGACAAGCCGTGGTCTTCAAAATCGTCCGGCTCTCCCGGAACGAAAGCAGCAAGCGGAACGAATCCTCCCAGGGCTCCTGCGGGAGCAGGCGTTGCCACTTCTGCAACAGCGCAAAAGCAGCAGAAGAAGAAAAACCAGAACCGAATTATCAATCAGAATACTAACAATAACCGCGGGCCAGGGGTAAACAGCAGTAGCACAGCCGCGCAAAGCCAACCGCCGCAGCCGGAGCCTGAGCGCGGGACGGCAGAGTACAAGGCCATGCTGAAGCAGAAGCTGAACGAAGCAAAACTCCGGTGCAGAAGACAACAGAAGACCGGGAAGAATAACAACACTACAACATCAAGTGCGAACACTACCTCCGGAAGCACAACGACGAGCAGCACCACCGCTGCGACGAGTCCACCAACATCGAATGTTGCAGCGCAACCGGCTAGAGGAACAGCAAACGTAGCTCAGCAGCAGCCGGTTCTTGGGCCCTCGTCAGGGGTAGCACAGCAACCTGGTACATCAACTAAGAATACCGGCGGGAACTACAACATCACCAGCTCGCAGAGCGCCGCTTCGCCGCCTGCAGCAACAACTCGAACAGCTACAACTTCCCAGCAAGAACAGCAAATCACTGTTTGCGTGGCCACGACGGGGACAACGAACACGAAAACAACAGCGGTTCCGCGGACAGCGCAGGACAAAACCCAGCAGCAAACCTCAGACCAACCGCCGGAGGCCGCTCCCGCAACTAGTTCCCGCACTGAGTCTTCCGCTGGCACGACCCCAGGAATGCAAGAAGGGTTGAAGAAAGAACAAGCGCAAGAGCAGCCCGGCGAAGCAGAGGACGCCCCGCTCCCGAGTCAAAGCCAAAAGAAGCACAAGGCCAGCACAATGTTGGCTGCTCCTGCGATGGCCGCGGGGCCTTATCAGCAGCAGTCACTTCTTCGCTCCATACCTCAGATGGGAGGAGCTGCGGTGCAAACAAAGCAGAGCGCGTTATTCGGAGGCCCCACGACCGCGAACCACTTAGCCTCCGCGCAAAACCTGCTGCGCGACACCATTTCTGGTTGCGACTTTGGCATCACGAGAAGCGTCTTCTCCGAAAGCGAGCCCGCCTTCTCCCGAGTGTTGCACGTGCGGCCCCCGCTGTTTCCCCGCCCGAGCACGTGCAACATGCCGTCCCTGCCGTGGTCTGGTTCAACAAGCGGGGATCTGCTTGCTCCCCCCAAGAACACAGTTCCGCACCTCTCCGCATCTTCGAGTGGACGGCACGCAGATGGTCCTGCCGAATCCGCTTGCAGTGGTGCAAGCAGTGCTTGCTCGTCGACACTTCCAACCTCGTCTGCAGCTGAAAAGAATCCGGTACCTACTTCAACTTCTTCATCGAAAGGCCAAATTCAAAACGCCAACGGAGTTGGAGTTGCTGCTGAATCAGCGACGTCATCGCTCGCTCCGTCTTCTCAGTTCGTGCTGAAATCCGAGCTATTGACAACGACGGTGACGGAATTTTTTTCCGCCGAAAAAACAAGCAATAGTGCGAGTTTGTTCGCGCAGGCATCGGCGGAGCAGTCCGCTTTAGAAAACTCTGCGCATGCCGGATGAGCAACTTTTTTTTATTGAAGTTGGCACTTCAGCCGACCGCATTGGGAAAGGCAATCTTGATCGTGCTTTTTTTTCTCCGTCTGTACCTACAACAAGAAACATTTTGGGGAGGGTCATCGCTACAGTTTTTCTCGATTTATTGCTGCTTTACTGGGATGATCCATCGGTGTCCGTCAGGATCGTTATCAGAGTTGGTTTAACCTAGTAAAGTATCTTGATTGTATACCGATGCTAAGTGCGTAGCGTTCGCTCTGCGCTTTTACCAATTTTTTTTCAGTGTTCATTTACATGTTGATTTACTTCTTTTTCATTTTGTAGTTGCCGGCCTAGCTGGGGATGGCACAGGCGACATAAACATCTGGCAGTTTTTGCGACGACGCCCGACAAGTTAAAGTTTTGAGTTTCTATCGTGACCCGCCTCCGCCTGATGGAGCGTATTCAATGAACTGCAAGAATAAAATCTTTATACGGATGTAATGAGTCAAGTGGTGCCCCCGGGAGCGGCCAGGTAGTAAAGGCACATTCACTTTTTTCATCGCGAAAACGACATGAATCTTTTTCGTAGGAAAATAAACATGAAACGAATTGAATCCATTGATAATTCTCTGCGGGGGTCGTCTGTAGTGTAAACCTCGAGTACTCCTGTTTTTGCTGCGAAATGTATTTGTTGTAGCTTTCTTCGTCAGATGAAACCCTCTTCGAAGCCGTTTGGGTGGTCTTACGCGAAACAAGCTTGTGCTTGTGCTGGGAAATAGCGACGTAGTTCCACATGCGCTGACACGGGCTATCGCCATCCTCTCTCATTTGCGATTGCGTTCCTGTTCTGTGTTGTGACCTTCATCAAAAAGCCAAAAAAAGTTCAAATAAGCCTGACTTCCATAGTTCTGGGTAATGGCAAAGGAGAGAGCAATCAAGGGAAGGAAAACAGAAGGAGAGTGTCTTCAAATCAAGTTGAGAGAGAGAGTGATCTTGTGGCAAAGTTGAGGCTCACGGATCTAAATGGAGTATGAGATATGCGCATACATGCTGTGTCGCCGCTGGAGCTGCGTGCGCGGGGCTGGATGGTGATGTCAAAGCATTTTGAAGGCGCGCTACAGTACGTCGGATACACAACGAACAAGCTATTACAGATATTTTTTGTTTCTTGTTGTGAGTACTAAGTTTTTCCATAAAAATGGGTAACTGCTGTATTGTTGGTGGAGTAAACAAGGCAACTGCCGTAGTGCCAACCACCACACTGGATGGAAGCGAGCAGAACAGCCCGGTATTTTTGTCATTGATGATGTGATGACATGGACACGCTAGACTGCGAAATCGAAAACTGAAGAAACAGTTTCTTCAGTCAGCATTGTTTTGCAATTTGATCATTGCTGTATATGCATAAGCGAATTAAATTTGAATTGAGAACATTTCGAATGACTTGATGACTTAGTTAGTATACTAACTTGCAATGAATATCAGGATTCCCCGGCAGGAGCCACGCAGCGTATGGCGAAGTTCGAGTCCTCAAAGAATGCGCAGAAGAATATCACCCATGGTCTGGCCCAGCAGCTGCACGCGCCAGCAAAAGGGCTCCCCACGACCCGGCCTTCCGACGCGCGGCAGGACACGAAGGGAAATTTGCTTTTGCACATGGACAACGAAGAGAGTTATTTCCCGAAACAGGTAAACGACGCATCTTCCGGTACCTGCTCGCCTGAAAATGCCGCAACTACTGCGAATCACTTTGCCGCGCACGACCGATGCACGACGAGCAATGTGCTTGCCACCGCGGCGCGAACAAATGATGTTGAGAAAAATGTTCCAGCTGAAAGCGATCACAACTCCGAGAGTGACCACGACCACCAGCCGCTGCTTGACTGCAAGCCCGACCTGATCCCAGGCGAAGAGATGGTGCGGCAGATGAAGCGAGGCGTCGAAACAAAGACACTGTCCAAGGTGCTGAAACGACTCAAGAGCTCGATCGTAATCTCCAGCACGGACCAAGATCGGTGTGCGGATTTTTTGCGCGAGGAAGGTCATCTGCAGCTCGACCAGATGGGACAAAACGAACTACAGGAGATGAACTTTAGTAAGCAGATCAACTTCAACGGCTCGGGTGAGAAAGACGAGGGTGAAAATGTTGCCTACACCGCTCGCGGGAATGCAACAGCACCCGCAACAGCCGGGGATGAGGTGAGCCGCGACAACTCCAGTTGCACTCAGTGGTCGCATGATCAACCACCGGAAGAACGAGGAGCTTGTGTGGGGACGATGGATCATAAGACTGCTCTGCAAAAATCTTTTCCAAAGTTGCAGACGACCCAGACCGCCCACTTCGGTACGAGCTCGAGCCGCTTTCTCGGCGGCGAAAATCCAAGTGGTCCAAGTTCTCCTGCGGATGCTGGTGAAAATAATTCCCAGCACGGCCAAAACCTTGTTGCAGCGCTTCCGAATGCAACTACGACAGTTCCGACAAACCCAACCATCTCTACGCCGCTCGTCCGGGACATTAGCTCGGAGGCGGACGCGGTGACCCCGCCCAACGGGAGCAATTCCAACGATGCCAAGTTTGCCACAACTTCCAGCAGTGATGACACGAACAGCGAGTATCGGCTGGACCGTCACACCAGTCGCAACACGTTCTGGAACGCGCGGACCACGGCAGGAGCTGGCGGTGCCCCGGGCGGGTACAACAACCTTAGCCCCCCACGAAACAGCATCAGTCCCTCAATCACCGGCGCGACGGCGGGCACCAGCAGATTCCCGAAAGACTTGACGGGCACGACGAACAACTCCGTGAAAATTTTGAAACTAGAAGTCGAATCCGACGCGGTCCCGCTCTCCGCAGTCGGTTCCTCCTCGTCAGCGAAACACGACGACAAGATGAACGGCGGAGAATGTTGGGGTACTAACGGAATAAATAACACGGCGGGCTGGAGGTCGACGGACGGGCGCAGCGCGAGCATGGCGTCCTCTACGGTTTCGAACGACCTGCTAAAGACCAAGAAGAACATCAGTAGCCTGGCGTCCTCAAGTGCGACCAGCGTTGCGTCCGGAGCAGGCTGCTCGAGTACAGGAGCGGCGAATGATGTTAACGATGTGCGAACAAACTACATTAACGGCAAGGACGAGAAAAAGATGTCGAACATGAATAAACACGACGCTTCTTGGATGTTGTCCGGTGTTGAGGACATGACGAACAACAAGGGTTCATCGGACAACGCCAGTTCAGAAGAAAGTCACTTCGCCTTGAGCCGCCAGCGAACGACCAGCAAAGACCGCGCGGATAGTACCAATTTCCACGACGGTGACGATGTGGACCACTTTCCGGCGCTGGCTTTCACGGTGACAAAGGGCATCAGCGGGGTTTTATGGAGTTCTCAAATGTTACATTCTCAACTTTGGCATGGATTTGTAATGCAAGAGTGGCAAAATTGAAAGGGGGAAGATTGCGCCTTTTGCATTACAGGTTTGGCGTAGATTCTCATGCTATCTAGCAAGTCGCGAACTTGTCATGCGAAGCAGCTTGATCGTGTAGGTATTTATGGCTAATTTGCATGCCAAATCCATGTAACAGTTGAGAATGTAACGTTTGAGAACGCCATAGGTGTCGAAAGTGGGTTCGAACCAGAGCCAGTCGAACAAGAGCATATTACAGTGAAAAATGCCCCCACCCCCAATGTTGCAATAATTTGTGATGCGAAGTTTCCAAATGAAAGGCCTCTGTCATGCATGAAAGGAATATGAATCTTTGTGATGCAGATTCTAGGCGTATATAGCATTGCTTGCATGACAAGCGCCGCTCTTGCTGGGATCTTTTGCAATGCAAATTTTTGCTATTCACGATCGGAAATCTGTGACGCTGATAGACGCAAGAGAGCGAGTGTTTCACTTGGAAAGGTTTGCAATACAAATGCTCCCAAGTTCGGGGGTGGGGGCATTTTTCACTTTGATAGAGCATCACCTCTGTTTTGAGCCCGGCCAAGTGCTCCGAATGGACCGAGGAATCGAAGGGAATCGGAGGAGGTACGTAGTTACTACGAAAAAGGAGATACTTCTTTTGTAGTACATAGCTTTATCTTTATTGCTACACGAAAAGGCGGTGCTGGTACGCTTTATGCGTCTCTAGAAACCGCAACGGGAAAATCGATTTCGACAATCTCCGGGGCTTTACTTGGAAAAATAGCTTTATACGCAATCCTCGTTGTGTACGACGTGGTGCGCCGATCTCTACAGGGAACGTGTGATAGTGAGAGCTACTACTACACATTAACGGCAACCAGGTCTACCCATCCCAGCCGGGCCGTTCGACAACAGTCCTGCGCGCGGGAAAATGGCTGCAGCCGCACAGCAGCAGGAACCGCCACAACAAGCGGAAGCCGTGCAGATGGAGATCCAGCAGAAACACGAAACCCTCTCTCTTTGCCTGAACGCGTGCTACCAGGACGCGATTCGCAACGTCAGCAACCCCAGCACCCCCGTCGAACTGGGCATCTCGACGCCGTTGCAGTCGATGGTGCCGTTGCAGCAGGTGTCGCTGGCGACGACCTCGAAGGACGTGCTGAGCTCCTGCTACGCGAATGTCTTGCAGACCATGACAAAGTGAAGACGATGGGCGAGTCGTGGAATAGGCGTTGCCGAGTTTTAAAGTTGATTTTTCAATTTTCCAGTAGAAGGAGAAACAAACACGAGTCAGATGGGTACGTCGATTTTGAGGAGGTAAGTAATTCTTACGCTAGCTGTACATCGATCAACATCAAGCCGCAGCGCTCATATGTAGCATCGACGGAGTGATCGTCATCGAACGCCGCATTTTTAAACAGGCAAGCAAGACGAGAAGACTCTGCCCCTTCCGGTCTTATCATGTCATCTTTTCCTAGAAATATAAACAACATGACCGAGGACCGCATGATGCTTTAGACAAGAGCCGTTTTTTCATCTTCTTGGGCCCGTCTCGTAACGGCAACAGAAACGGCGTTCTGACACCTGACCGCGAACGCCGCTTGAGGCGTCTCGCTCGAGGGTGGAAGCTTTTGCTGCAGTCTTCATGTGTATGCAAATTACGTTTTTTTTCAACAATGCCTTTCATCTTCTTTTGCCGCTTTCGATTGTTTCCCTTTCGATTCGTCTCCTGGCAAGGTGAATAGTTGTAGTGCTGCAGTTAAGTAGTTCTCATTCGTTTGAATGATGCTTGTTCTCATATAACTTGTGTTGGCTTTGGCATGAGCACGAGCACATATGTGTTGTGTAAGATGATAAAAATGCATACAGTTTATGTCTGAAATACGAAGCATATTTATGAATGTTTCTTCTCGCATACGTTTCTGTTCACCTTCAGGCTGTTTAGCTAATTTTTCCATAAATAATGAAGATGACGGCATGGGCATGGCGACGACAAGTCAAACTCCACCAGTGTATAATTTTTCGAAAATGGCAAAGATTCGGACAACACTTTACAGACCGCAAAATTTAGTGTGTGTAGATCCGTGCATAGCTAGATTCAAAAGATCGTCTGAACTGTATATTGGAGACAAGAAGGTATTTAATTGGTTCTCGCGCACTGTTTCTGTTGGTCGCCGCTACGGCCAATGTCTGTGTTTTGTTTGAGTCATGATCTCATCGGAACTCAAATTGTGTTCAGGAAGGGCACTTTAGTTCCGTTATTCTTGCCATGGAAATGGAATGGAAAGAGGGAAGTATTGTCGATGTTCGCGAGGTGCGAGGCTGCAAAAAGACGACAAGCAAAACCGTGAGTCGTGTGTAGTGAGCGGATGAGCTTCCAATATTACTTGCAATTCTTGCCGTGCTTCATCATGAAAATATCCATCGAGCCGCAAGTGTCGGATCAGCTTCCCAACAAGACCACAAGGACAAGGCATGGTACGGAATAACAGCAGCTCCATCGTGTTTCGTGTTTTTGCTCTAAAAGGAATTGAAAAAGTAACGACAGAAGAGCCTAAAGGAATCTCATTTAGAGCAACGCACTACATAAAATGGCAGACACTTGACACACATAAAGAGGAGGCTGTTGGTCTCCGGTCCTCGGTCCTCACTCCATCACGAGGCAATATATGAGGAGATAAGAAGGGAGAAGCACCAGACACATAAGAAGGAGGTTGTTGGTCTCCGGTCCTCGGTCCTCATTCCATCACGAGGTAATATATGAGGAGATAAGAAGGGAGAAACATCAGTCACATAAGAAGGAGGCTGGTGGTCTCCGGTCCTCGGTCCTCACTCCATCGCGAGGTAATATATGACGCGATAAGAAGGTAGAAGCGCCAGACACATAAGAAGGAGGGCGTTGGTCTCCGGTCCTCGGTCCCCACTTCGTCGCGAGGTAATATATGACGAGATAAGAAGGCAAAAGCGCCAGACACATAAGAAGGAGGCCGATGGTCTCCGGTCCTCGGGCCTCAGTTCATCTGGGGGCAATTAATACGCGACGGGCCAAGAAGGTAGAAACAACAGACACATACGAGGGAGGTTTGTGGCCTCCGGTCCCGGTAGCCGGCCCGCCGGTGTTGCTAGTACCTCCCTCGCAAAGTGCTGGCCCGCTGCAGCGATTCACAGCACATCTACAGACTCCGCGAGCCGCTGTGCTGCCGTCCCAGACGCGGGCCGACTGGCGTTCCCACTTTTGCGCCGGCGCATGTGGCTCCGAAGCCGATGCCGCTGTGTCTGAGAAGTCGACTTCCATCCGCTCTGCTATTATAGTACAGCTACAGCGCCCGGATACAGCTCGTTTTGCGCGCCCAGAGATCTTTCTCGACCGACGGCGCGATCATGCCGAGCTCGCGCCGCTTCTCCTCTGATGGCGTTGGTTCCCCCTCCGCTGCCACCTTCAGGGCCCTCGCGAGGGGTAGTCAACTGCCCACCGCCGGGCCGGATGGGAAAACGAAAAAAAAACGCGCCGGCCTCTTTCGGCACCCCCCCCCGGGGGACCTCGTGCGCAACGACATCCATGCCGCCGCTGACGAAAGCCGGTCCGTGTAGCTGAAAACTGCTTGCTTCGCCCCCCTTTCGGCTGCGCTGCTAGCGTTGCTAATGTGGTCCCTGGTTGTGCACCGTCTGGCCAGCGGCGGGCGGCCCGTTGGTACGGCACCACCTTCCGCCGATGTTGGTTGGCCTTGGTTGGTGGGGCCATCCAACAGCATGCAGGCAAATACCCTTCGGGCCCGGCAGGCTTGTCAGCGCGCGAGCCCATTTGGCCGGACTGTGTTGCGTTCTTAGTGTAAGAAAGAGCTGAAATCTTACAAAATGGCCCAAAGTTTGCGCGCTGGAACGAAGCGAAGGGGGTGGCGTTCTCTTACGAAAAAAGGCTGCATTTTGCCAGTCAGTAGCCCGCGCGCATATAGATACGCCATCACTCACGTGGAGCAAGTAGCCGCACATCCTTGATGACATCGATCCAGTAGCGACACAGACGCGCAGCAACTGCAGCGCCAGGGTCTCCTCCTGTGAAATCACAGCACCGCGCGACCCGCAGCGAGTGCGTGGGTTGGCCGTTGGCGAGCATTTCTGCGGCCCCGCAAAAAGCAAAAGGTGGCGAAGCAAGGCGATGCTGATACTCGTGTCGTTGCACGCGAGGGAACTTACCTGCCTGCCGCCTGCCTCCGTAGCTTGCAGGAAATCTCCGGAGCGTTGTAGGCCGCCGCTTGCTGGAAAAAAACCTGCCGCATTTTGATGATGATGGCGCTGCGCTCGGGCTACGGCACACGGGCGCACGCTTTTGGACAGGTTTTCCCCGCGCGGCACTAGGTATTTATAGGCGCGCCGACTTTCGGAAACTCCTTCCACATTCAAATGCGCGCGCAGTTTCTTCGTGTAAAAGTACACCAAGGACCGAACTCAAAAGACATCGCCGGCCTTCTCAGCCGGTCGGTGACCGATATACGCGAGCGCCGTTGGCCGACATCTGCGCGGCGCGCCCGAGTTTCTTTGTGACATGAGTGGCAAGAGAGATCTTCTCTTGCTCGACATATGTACACCAGCACCATCATCACACACCGGCGACGATGGTGGCACAAGAAGGCGTCCAAATGGAACTGCCCACCTCGGTCGGCTCCGTCGCGTCAAACTCAAAACGGCGAGAAATCGCCGCACACCGCCACGCTCTTTGATCCGGGGCTGTGCTTCGCACGTAGTCGCTTCACTTCGCCCACTCTTTCGCTCAGAGTCGCCTCGCCTCACTTCTACGCTTTAGCCAGTGTCGGTTTGGGAAAGCTTGCCCGGCAAGTGAAGCCGACTAGTGACGCTGTCTCGCGCGCGTCCTCTGCTTCGTTCCGTCGCGTCAAAACAGCGAGGGACCAACTTGGCCGAGAGTTCGACTGCGAGCGCTGCGGAAAGACATCAGGCAGGCGAGTAGGGCAGTGCCCGACTCGCTTGCTACCCACTTAGACTCGCTGTCTCCCACTCCTTCGCACATAGTCGCGGCCTTTGTTCCTGGGCTGTTCTTCGCACATAGTCAGTCCGTTTCGCTCTCTCACTCGATCGCACGTAGTCACTTCGCTCCACTTCTACGCTTTTCTTTGCCAGTGTCGGCGGAGTAGAAATGAAAAGGGGCCACCTCGGAAGCAGTCTACTAGTCAACAACTTGGGAGGAGATATACTTTCGCCCTGACATCCGCGTCCACAATTCCGCCGCCTCCGATCGTGCGCGTTCTGATGATGATGCGCCGAGCTGTGAGGTCTGGGCTGTAAGTGAGTCTATCAGCTTCCCTGTCCTGCTTTGGTTTTGGGAAATGAAAAAAAACCGGCCTGCGTGGTGGATGAAAGTCGTAGAATAAGAAAACGGATCTGGATGCATTTGAAGGCGGTGCTGATCTTCTGCGCCGAATTGGTCTGAAGTGGGTGCGTTGATCTTCTCACTATCTCAATCTGTGTCATATTGGAGCAAGTAGCGGACTTTCTGTAAAGGATGGGAGCGCTCCGCTCTGCACATTGCAGAAAGCCGAGAAGTAAACTGCAATCCGCCAACGTGATCCCTCGTATTATCTTGCTCGACGGCATTGCTCAAACCGCGACAGCTCGGCCCTTTCGCTTCGTAAGAGCCGTAGTAAAGCTCGCAGGGTGCTGCTGCTGCTGAAGCAGGAGCCTGATACTTGACAAGCCCAGAAGAATACTGCCACGGAAGACAAATGGCCGATCGCCTGGCTTGGATAGCTTTCTCGCTTTTTTTCTCTCGTGCCTGGGCATGGCGTCAAATGTTCAAGGCCCATTGCTTTCATCTCCATCCATTTGGATAACTCTAGAGACCGGACCTCGCCCGTTATGCCGTGTGGCCTGCTTCTGATTCTTAACTTGATTTAATTATCGGGATCGTCAAAGCTGTGACGACGGTGCCACTTTTAAACTTCCCGATCTGCTCGCTTGGGAAGGACCTCAGAACCAACGCGATTGCGGTTGATTTCCTCCGCGGTGCTCTTCTGGCTGCTACTACCGTAGCGCTGCAGATCCTCAAAAATGACCTTCGAGAGCGCTCTTGATTGACTGCTGCCACTGTTGCGGCACTCCTGCTGTTTTGAAGAGGAGCGAGGTGCCATATTGGGGTGGTGTTGATGATCTGCCTGCGATTTCGTAGGAGGAGCAACGCTGGGCCGAGTGTGCCGCCGGAGGATCGCAGGGGCCCTAGCTTTATCGAGTGCGTTCGCCATAGAGAATCGGGCGGCTTTTCGCAGCGACAGCTCAGAGCACCTCCATCGCCTTCAACGGTGCTACAGCTCTGAAGAAGAAAAAGGGCGCGCGCGCCTGAATTCTTCCAATGGCGGCCGACATGGCCCCAGCGACTTGCTCCTCCAGAACTGTAACTGGCGAGCGAAAAAATAACAAAAAACACACGAAAAAGCTCCGCACTTTCGCGGGCGTCCGGACCGAGGACCGGAGGCCAACAGACTCCCGCTCATGTGTGTCCCCCTTCTCCTTTCTTCTCTCTTTATATATTGCCTCGCGAGGGACTGGGGGCCGAGGATGGGAGACCAACAAGCCCCCTCCTATGTGTCTGGGCTTTCTGCCTTCTTATCTCGTCAGCCATTACCTTGCGAGGGACTGAGGACCGAGGACCGGAGACCAAGAAACCCCCTTTCATGTGTCTCAGCTTTCTACCTTCTTATCTCGTCAGATATTACCTTGCGAGGGACTGAGGACCGAGGACCGGAGACCAAGAAACCCCCTATCATGTGTCTCAGCTTTCTACCTTCTTATCTCGTCAGGTATTACCTTGCGAGGGACTGAGGACCGAGGACCGGAAACCAAGAAACCCCCTTTCATGTGTCTCAGCTTTCTACCTTCTTATCTCGTCATGTATTACCATGCGAGGGACTGAGGACCGAGGACCGGAGACCAAGAAACTCCCTTTCATGTGTCTCAGTTTTCGACCTTCTTAGCTCTTCAAGTATTCCCTTGTGAGCGACTGAGGACCGAGGACCGGAGACCAAGAAGGCCCCTCTCATGAGTTGCGAGGAAGGTTCTTCCTTTTGCGGAAGTTGAGCGGTTGAGTGTTGTTTGTTGTTGTTGGCACGAGCCCAAATAAGCAGCATTCCAAGCGAAACACCTACCATTTTTTCACCTGGAACAAGTGCAACGACTTGGATTCCCATCGTGATCTGGTTAGTAGGTGGATCCCTTCGGAACACAGAAAATAGAAGAAAGGGATAGCATGAGAGGCGTCTTGGGTGTGTGTGTGTGTGTTGTGTAAAGTGTGGAGGAAGTTGGCTTCCTTGCTTGAATTGCGAAACGCGAAAAGCGAAAAAAATACAAAGCCGACCCATAACAGAACTCATATAGTAAGCAAAGAGAAGGGGGAGGCGGCTGCCGAAATGCGAAACACGGAAAACAAAAAGAGCCCCAAGACAATGAATATAGTAAGCAGAGAAAAAGCGGAAGCGACCCACGAAAAGCGAAGCGCGAAACGCGAAGAAAGCGACCGGGGAAATAATTAGCAGAAGAGATAAAGAGAAGCGAAAGCCGCCCCCGAAATGCGAAACGCGAAAAGCGAGCCCAGCCATTTGGCTTTGTTCCGCCTTTTTTTCCATCACAACGAACCCCCCTCCTTGCTTTTTGAATGAATGGCATGCACGCAGCCCCTCCGGAATGAATGAATGGCCACAACGAGCCCCCCTCCTGAATGGTATGCACACAGCCCCGCGCGGTTTTCTTCAATAGCGTGCGACGCGACCGATCTTGGCGAAGCTCCGCATTGCATACGTTGCGCAGCTAGTTTGCAAAGGAAAGCGAAAGGGGAGGCGTCCGGGTCGTGGAGGCCTGGGCCCCGAGGGCGTTTTTGCTTGCTCGGTCTCAATATTGTCGCGAGGGATGTTGCCCGCCCGTGCGCCCGCAGCAGATCGGCGCGGCCCCCGCCCGCGAGGGGCTGCGCCGTCATCAGCAGAGCCAGTCTAGCAACATAACGCAAGCTAACAACTAACAAGCGCCGGGCCGGCGCGATCTTCGACAGGACAGGATACACCGAAAGGGCGCGCGCACTACAAACATGCCGCGCGCACTACAAACGCGCGCGCATGCGGGGGGTCTGGGGCGTCCGGGGGCCGGTGTCGCGCCTTTCTCCAGGGTGGCGCCGCGCGCCCATGTGGGAGGAGGGCCCCGCATCCGGCCGGAGCAGATCGGCGGCTGGATGGCAGCAAGCCCCACTCGGCAAATCCAGGCTGGCCAGTGCGGACCGCCGGCGCGACCGCGAGCGCTTTCAGGGGCCGCATTTTGCTCCGCGGGCGGATTCTCGCTGAGAGAAGGGCTAGGCCTGTTGCCATGGGCAAGCACTTTGCAACGCCATCGCTTTCGAGCACGATGGCGCTCCGGGATTTGCGTTGCATGCTTCTACCGATGAGAGGCCTGCGCTTTTTTCTTCGAACCACGAGAGGACTTTCTCGTCAGTAATCCGCTTGCGCTTTTGGATGGATGGGCTTGCTGCGGTGAACAGGGTCGCCTCCTTCTCGTCATTAATTTTTTGCGCGCAATGAATCGCGTGGCTTTGTTTGCATTTGCTTCCATTGGTGAAGAAAAATGCGCGCGCTTTCATTCTCGAGCCACGACCGAGCTGCCAGCCTGATTCACTTCGCCGGCGCTATTAGGTGGAATTTGTTGCGATGGCCCTCGTCTTCTCGCGAAACCCTCGCAACTTTGTGCTGCCGCCCGCGCCTCGAACACGGTGGGAGGCTTGGCGCCGGCGGCCCTCAGGGGCGCCCATCGCTGCGCTCTGCTACATTGGTGCGCCCGCCGGGAAGTTTCTCGCGATATTCATCTCGCCACGCACACACACAAACAGAAGCGCCCCCAGGCGAATGCCCAGCGTTTTCGTTTCGGGCCTACGCAACAGGGTGCCAACCCCGCCAGAGGCTGCGGCTGGTGCGACCGACCAAGGGCCCGCCGCGCCATTTGGCGCGGCATGGGCCAAGCGCTGCGACGGACTGGGATCCATGCCTCCGCTTTCCGCGCGCCCCCCGCCGGCCCCGGCCTCTCGCCCGGCCAAAACAAAGACAGACGGGCGGGACGGTGGTCCGCGTCGATCTGTTGCGCTTGGGCGCACGGGCGAGCCGCGTGCCTAGCGACAATGCCAAGACCAAGAGCCAACCCCTCCGGGCCCCCGGCCTCCTAGAACTGGACGCGCCCCCATGCGCATTCAAACTATCACTAGCCCCGCAGGATATTCAGTGTGGGGGTCGCGGATGTCGCTAGTGCGGAAGGGGAGGAGGGACAACGCCGGAGGCGGCGCCGAGCGTCGCCAATGTCTCCACTTAGTAAGAGGCGAAGGGCCTGCCTTCTTTCCTCGCCGCTTTTCGCGTTTCGCATTTCGGAGGCGCTGTCGCTTTCTCTCTTCTTACTCTACTCATTATCAGGGAGCCCACCCCTGTCGCTTTGTTTTTTTTCGTGCTTCGCATTTCGGAGGCGCTTCCGCTGTCTCTCTTCCTACCCTACTGAGCAGCCACGGCCCCCCTTTGGCTTTTCGCGTTTCGCATTTCGGAGCCGCTTCCGCTCTCTCTCTTCCTACTCTATTAATTGCCCACGGCTCCCCTTTGGTTTTTCGCGTTTCGCATTTCGGAGGCGCTTCCGCTGTCTCTCTCTTCTTACTCTCCTAGTTCTCTATTGCCCTCCTTTGGTTTTTCGCTTTTCGCGTTTCGCATTTCGGAAGCGCTTCCGTTTTCTCTATAGTTAACTTGACAGATCTGCAATCTCTTTTAGGAAATTAGGCGAATCACAGCGGTGCTCTGCTTATTTGGGCTCCTCCCTTGTTGTTGCAGTTCTTGCTCAAGTAGAGAAAAAACGCCAATCACGATGGAGCTGCTGTTATTCCGTACCATGCCAAGGACAAGAAGGTTTGAAAAAAGTAAACGGTTTTGTGCACACGCCAGACTTCAGTTGAAAGTACGCTTTGCATGCTTCGTCCATGCCATCACGCCGATGACCACTTTTCCCTTCCAGCCTGTTAAGTCTGTCTAAGTATGGAAAGTATATTAATCGCAATATAGAAAAACAATATTCGGCATGCCATCACTTTCACTCCGCAACATGGTCACTGTCAGACGCTTCTCGAGAGTGGTCCTCCTGGCTGGGTTCTTGAGCTCCGCGCCGATTTTAACCCTGCTCACAACCTTCTGCCTCGCCCATCGCCCTGAGCAGGTGCACTTGACGGTCGGCTATGATCCCGTCAATACCCGCATCGTACAGTGGGCAGCCTTGGACGAGCAGGATGTTTCTCCCTACCCCGTTTTCGTTGTTTACGGCAAAGACAAGAATGCGGTGGAACGCTACAACGCGTCGACGACAGTAGGATCTTCCATATTGGAAGCAGCGGGATCCAGCCCCGACGAGGAGAGGCTAGTTGTGGCACTTGGGAAAAAACACACAGCCACGTCGAAAAAGAGTAAAGTATCCGATGACTTCGTTTTCGCGACACACAGCGATACTCTTGCGAAGATCGCAGTTCGCCAGGCCCGCAGTTTCGTTTTTCACGTCCAGGAATGGGGTGAATCAGGCGACCCCACAACATGGGCCGGGTATAAGGACTTCGAAACTTTCAATATCGCACGGAATTACACGATGCACGTTGCAGACATTGCGCTTAGGGACCTAGTACAGGAGAAAAAGACATCAAACACGACATTCTCGGACTTCGTCTACTACAAAGTCGGTCGTTCCACGGATCCGGGAGGGGGGTGCCGACCAGCGACGGAGATGTCAACAGCGCCAACGCTTCTGCTCTCGCAGATTGCGAATTTTGTGACGGGCAAGAAAAAAGCTGCAGCGCAGCGCAACAACTATCAAGACACCTGTTGGTCCAAGACGTTTAAGTTCAAAACGTCACTACCGGACGCAAGTTTATTGTCCACGAGTGCACCAGACTCGCCGCGAGCTGCTCGCGACGCGCCGCGTTCCGAATTGCACGAGGAATCGAAGAACACGCAAAAATCTTCAATGGCATCTGCTCCGATACAACCAGGTGTGGAAACCAACGGCGAGATGACGTCGAGCGACAGGGCCGCCATTTTACCTTCTCCGCATACGTTCGCCGTGTACGGGGATATGGGGGACTACAATGGCCAGTCCCGCCCCATGATTTTGCAGCACCAGAAAGACTATCAAATGTAAAAATGTCTGGGTCTGGAAGAATGCAACTTGTCATGCTAAATCTGCAGCATGCAAAAATCTGTGTTGCATGATTACCAAAAGTCGCCCAGTTTTGACCAAGTCGGGGGGCAGTTTCTCATGCAGGATAGGCATGAGAAAGATCGCACAGAATCTGTCATGCTAGGTCCTGCATTCCAGACCTCATGGGTCATGGAAAAGCTGCATGACAAATCGCGCATTCTTCCAGACCCAGACATTTTTACATTTGATAAAGACACCAACTACAACCTCACCGCGCTCCTCCACGTCGGAGATTTCGCCTATGCGTTCTCAACTGTTACATTCTCAGCTGTTACATGGATTTGCGATGCAAGAATGGCAAAAGTGAAAGGGGTCACCTTGCGCGTCTTGCATGACAGATCTGGCGCAGATTCTCAGCCTGTTTGGCTCTTCGAGCATTTGTCATGCGAAGCAGCTCGATCGTGTCAATTCTGATTGTGGTTTTGCATTTACAAATCATGTAACAGTTGAGAATGTAACGTTTGAGAACGCCATACCGCCTACGATTTCGAATCGGACAGCGGGTTGAATGGGGATCTGTACATGCGCGACATGGAGGAAATCGTCGCTGAGCTGCCGTATCTCACCGTCCCCGGGAACCACGAGGACCATTACTACTACAACCACTACTACCACCGGTTTCTGAACCAACCGACCCCGCCAATCGAGAGGAAACTGCACAACTTTGAGCACTTCAGCAAGTATCACGCGCAAGTAGCTCCTGGCGGTAGAAGTACAATTACAGATACCAAAGCCCGTGGAGGTTCTCCTGGAACTGCTGGTCGTGAACATCATCAAGATCAAGAGCAGCGCGAAGATCTGTACCAGAACTTTTGGTACAGCGTCGGGTTTCCGAACGTCGGCAAGTTCGTTTTCTTCACGTCGGAGTTATCCACAGAAAAAAACCCACCCACATCCAATTTGTCACGCAAAACGCGCATCAAGTCATGTGTTTGTCATGCAAAAAATGGATGTGAATGGTTTTTTTATTGTGGATAGGAGTTCTACATGAAGTACAACCTGGACGACGCGCTGGTCCGGCACCTGCGCGAGCTCCAGTACGCTTGGCTCGAAAACTATTGGGGTGTCAGGATTGAAATCTTCAAAGTTGAAAAGGTTTGTCATGCATAAAATCTATAACCACTTGGAGCCCCAGTTTCCAATCGGCGCATGACAAATTTTCCTGGCCTGTGAAGCAAGTCTGTCATGCTGTTTAGGGCAAGAGGGCTCCTCCCTGTGATGCTAGCGAGCAATCCAATTCATGAGCCTTGCCAGCACTATACTCTGCTTCCTTTGCGTCCTCTGCAATAGAGTCAGTCTTTGTGTCGCATTTTATGCATGAGAAATCATTTCAACTTTGTTGATTTCAAACCTGACACATCCATAAAAACGAGCTGAAGAGGACCGACCGAGAGCAGTTCCCGTGGCTCGTGCTCGCGTCGCACCACCCCCTGTACTGCAGCGCCGGCCCCCGGACGGTCGGGGACTGCGGAGACGAGGCGCACACAATACGGACCGGCGTCGCACAGTACCGGGTCGCAGACGAGTCTTCTACTACGGTCCACCTCGACGCTGCAATGTTAAAGGAGGATGTGGCACGACACGCACAGGCACCAGTAGTGGGCAACAAGCATTACGGCGAGAAGCTCTCGGGATCTTTGGACCAGCTTTTCTACGAGACCGGAGTGGACCTCTTCCTCGCGGGTCACGTGCACAACTACGAGCGTATGTTCGACGTGAAGCCCGCGGAAAACAACGACCCCACCGGCGTGAACAACTGGAACTCGGGCGTCACGGAGCGGAAGACGGTGAACCCGCGGGCAACGACGCACATCGTTACCGGCGCCGCCGGGAACGTCGAAGACCACCAACCCTTCAACGGCGGGGAGACGAACCGCACCGCGTTCCGGTCCGAAAACTACGGTTGGAGTCTGTTTACGATCTGGAATAAAACCCACCTGCACTGGCAGCAAATCATGACAGATAATTCCGAGCCGGTAGAGGACATGGGCAAAGTAATTGACGACTTCTGGCTTGTGCAGGAAAAGCACGGTTCCTTTGCTGGTAGAGATGATGAACTTTTCGGCGACGGCGCCTCGCACGGCCACCACAAGTCGGCGCTTGTGGAAAATTCGGCCGCAAGTAGCGAGTTCGGCAGGACAGCGAGTCGAAGCGATTCCTTTTTGCCATCGGGTGTTCGACGTCCTGGCTCTAGCAGTTCAGAGGAACACGATCTGCAGCCGCTGCTGGCAAAGGATAAGGCAAAGACCGCACTGTCGTTGCAACACGACAAGCAAGCGGACGAACAAGCACATGACACCACCACGACCGCACGGGAAGAAGGACACGAGCGCAATGACGCGACAGATTCAGTGGCAGATCAGAAGCCAAGTACAAGTACAACGAAGATTAAAGCGCGCCAGTCGGGAGGTGGAGGTGCTCGCGAAGATTATACCCCCGAGAGAATATCAGAGGGAGCGACTCGCGATTCTGATAGAGCTTCGCCTTCAAACCAGGGCTTCGCTGTGTTGGTCACAGATCATAGTACGAGCGAAAGGGCCGAGCCCCAAAATCCTGCGGAACTTCACGAGCGCCGTCGACAGGAGAGCGAAGCGCAGCGACTTGAAAAAGTCCACCGCTTCGGCTCGTGGCAGGCGACGCGGATGGAAGCACTAGCTCTGCTAGAAGCTGAGAAAAAGGACGAGCCGTCAGGAGATCATGCCCCTAGTACCCCTGCAGTGGCATCTTCGTCCTCGTCTGCTGGAACGATGAGAAAAAGGAGTTACGCGGAGCCGGAAAAAAGATTCTACAAGCCGAAGGTTCATGATATTGAAATGGAGGATAAAGATAGCCCGGTTTTTTTCTACGTGTAGAATAATCAAGAATGTTGTTGCTCAGAGCTCGAAGACGGGACCAGGAGATCGCACGTTCTCGTTCTTGTCTTCTGTTTTGCCACGTCGACCTTTGGTTACATCAGAATCTGATACCTGTACGAAGATCGCAACACCCGTAGTAAGTAGAGGAAATACATGGGATGTGCTGTGTGTTTTTGGAAGGACAGCGACAGTGTGTCTGTGCAACTACTTACCCGGGACGCAACGCGTGGAAGAGCATCGCTTTCACGGGCGAGCGCATTCCCGCACCTGACACAGAAATGCGACCGCATCTGAGACACGTCTCTATTCCATCAAGTTCGTTGGGTTGTTCAGCATGAGATTCATGATCATGTACAGTTTTTGTTTCACGTGTTCATTTTCTCCATCGTCGTGTATGGTCGTTTCGAAGCCTGAGCCCGTTGCTCGTGGGATTTTTCTGAATGCATGCGACGACATTGTCAAGGTTCCAAAGCTGAAGGAATGTAACAATATAGCGCAAAAGGGTCGCATCACGAATACATAGATACATTGCGAAGTGGGCGTCGTTCGTAGGTGAGTCGTAGTTGTTCCTCGATCGAGAGAAGTGGGGGAGCGACTATAAATAATTAACAGAATGAGAGAAACAGGACCATCGAGGCAGGGATTTGATTTATGTGAAGGAAGCATGTTGAGGGAAGCTGCATCGCATGGGTTCCTGAATTTTGTTACTACGATAGGACTAGTTGGTAGGTGTGCAACGACCCGGCACATATTTGTTAACCGCAACGCTGCGTTGTAGGTGTGGGCGTGGTGCAGCATCAGCAAACAATACGCATCAACAAGGAAGAAATGGATTCTCTTCTCTGGTCCGGATCGCCGATAGTTCCGGGGAACCACAGGGCCAAGGACACGCTGCTTGGTGGCGAGCCCTTTTCCTTCAAGGACATCTTTTCGATCTTCTCGCCCAAGCCTAAGACTGCACCACCGGCCACCGCATTGTTGAACAACGCAGAGCCACAGCATGTGGTTCCGAAGCAGGTAGTTTGTTTCAGTGTGTCATGGGAGTTTCATCTTTCGGTTTGGGTGGTGTCTTCATCTTTCTCAGGGTGGTGGATTTGATAACGCTACATCGAGTGGGGTAACAGCGATAGCGAACACAGACAGACAATGGACGGTTAGTACGCAAAGTAAGATCTTTTTATCAGGCCGCCAAGATATGCACTTGTCTTTCAGGTTTCGCAAGCGGGGATGGGGATCGGCGGAAACCGTGGTTCTCCTGCAGGAATGATCGATCTCCTTGATCCCAAGCGAATACGACAGGGAAATAAATGGCGACACTGGGCCGCAGGAGTATTGAACGCAGTGACGAGCTTCTATTGATATTGTCATGTAAGCGATGGACACAAAAAATAAAAAAATGCATTCTCCTAAACTTTTTGATTTTTTTACTTGCATTTTTGCATGAGCACGATATTTGTTCGCTCTTTGCTGCGGCGCAAGGTTGCTCGTTTTCCTCTCTACAACATCTCAACTCGACGATTCCGCTCCCGGGACAGAGCGCAGCTGGCTCATCAGCTGATGATGGATTGGGAGATATCTGGGAAGCGCTCGGTATAATTGTTCTCCCGGCCGCAGATTGTTGATTCATGTTTTTGAGTGCAAGTGATTCTCGTTTTGCTTTCGCAAACGCAAGCTAATCCCGAAAATTGGCGAGCACCATAAAGAAAAAGTTAGACTGCAATCCATCGAAACGAGATGATCATTGTGATCTTGAGCGAAATTATTTCCTTTTCGACACTTTCTCTTTCCGATTTCGATCTACGCTTGTTCCAACAGGCTCCCCGCTGAAAGGCACGTCGCTCGCGGACCTCCCCGGCGAAGATATTGTCCTCAAGGACGGCACGCACGCGCACTACATCGATCTCGACTCCCTGCTGAAACCCGGCGGTGCCGGTGCCGCCGGCGCGAACGGGGGCGCGCGGTGGAAAACGTCCCCGAACTCGGGCGAGCCGGTGCTGGACCTGAATAGCATTTTCCCGATGCTGGGCGGCAACGGCAAGTCGATCAGCAAGAGCGTTTCGAAGGTGATGGTGCGAGACGCCAACGGCCTCATGAAAGCGCACACGACCGTATCCACAGTAAATTTCCTGTACACGTACAAATGCTGTCTCTGCATGACAAAATTTGCCTTCAATCCTAGTGTAGCATGACAAGTTGTACACTGCAAGTTAGCAAAATTTGTCATGCATTTTGTACATGTACAGGAAATTTACATTGCATAGACCGAGAAGTGGTCGCAGCCCATCGGGAATGGGGACGAGTCGGTGCAGGCCACGGTGGACTACGACGAACCCGACAAACCCGGCGACGCGGGCTTCATGCACATGAAGTTGGAACGCGTCAAGACGGCAAAGCTGTTGCAACGACAAGGCCGTGGTGCCGGGACGCGGGGGAACAACTTCGAGCGGCTCGATCCGCTGTGGGACCTGTTCCCCGAAAAGAAGCCGCCCAGCTACAACAACGGCCGGAACACAGTGTTGCCGCCGCCAGAACAACCGCCGACGTTGACGGGAGAGGGCAAGAACGGGGCTGTGGGTCAGGTACTTACTACATTTTTTAGATAGGTACATATTGTAGCAGGGCTCTAGTAGATGTAGAGTTTCGCAGTGCGCAGAGATCTTGATCTTGTGAACGTGCATCCGCGTTGCTCTTGTCGAGTCAAAGGAAAAAAACTACCGTACTAGGACGCAGGAATTGAGAAAACAAAATGAGGCGATTCAAACCTTTTAGCTGCATTCCAACAAAAACGCATTTAGCCCACTGCACCGGCCACGGAAGTAGACCAGAGTGCCAACTCCTTTCCGCCCATGTTGGTGCTGCTCGGAACGGCTGTTGCTGTCGGCGCCCAGGTGTTCCTTCTCGGGCACGTCTTTGTGAATTACTTCAAGCGCCGGGCGGCTCGGGAACCGATCACGACCGTGGTCGGAGAGCGTCGCAGCGCCATGGAGGAGCAATTTTCGCAGGCCGCAGCCAGCACTAACAACGGAGGCCCTGCTGCTTCGGATCCGAGAGACAGTGGCAGCAGCTCTGATCCGGAGCGAAGACCGTCGAGTGAAGAAAGTCCAGCAACGAGGACGGTGATGCAGAACCAGAATGAAGGTAGCACCGCCGCGACGACCCCGGCCAACGAGTGGCAACATAACGCCAGCAGCGAGGCAAGTTGCAAGAGCACTGCGGCGGACGGCTCTTCGTCTTTTTCGGGTAGTAGAACGAACGCAACAACTTCTTCCGAGGAAGCAAGCGCGAGCAGCGCAACAACAACAAGCAGTGGCGCAACTTCTACAACCGGTTCTCTTTCTCGTACGGACGACTCGACGGCAAGATCCTTCCGTGACGAGGAGGTGAATTCTCGCCGGGAGCGGTTTTTGGCCCGCGTAGAAGAACAGTCCGGAAGTTCCTCCTCGGCATCTGGTAGTAGCGGTCGTGCCTCTACAACTGCGACTGCCACCGGCTCTGCGAAAAGTACTGCTGCGTTTTCCGGGGAGGCCTTTCGCTTGAACTCGGGGGAATAGGTCACAGTCTTCAGCGGGCGCTTAGGTTAAAATACTTAGAAATATCTTACTACTTTGAACAAAAAAAGAATCAGAAGCAATGTTTGGTGGAGACTGAATCACTCTATTGTTTGAGCCTTGAGTCAAGGCTCTAATATGCGTTGCATTGTACAAGTTGTCTACAGTAAACCTGGCGTGATCGTTTCTCAAAGCGCGAGCTTCCTATTGCTTCACTTATTTTGCGACTCTTCCTTTATTTTTCTACTTCTGCCACCAGTGCTAGCTCCTCTTCTTCTTCCAAGAAATTCACAATATGATCTAGAGAGGTTCTTACTGCGGCGGTAATGGCCATGATTCCCTGCTCGGGCCAGTTGCGTAATCGAACTTTTTTTGATTACGACAAATATGACGATACTCGGTAAGTCTAAGTGATGAACTCTTATGGTTGACTGAAAATTTCTCGGAGAGTCCGCTAGTCAACGGCTCGTATAAAAATTGTAAACGAACAATACCCATTTCTCCCTTACAGGTTCTTTCTGTTTCAGTTTCTGACTTAGCAGAACTTTGTTGAGATGACTAAACTTGAACTCGATTTTGAAATTCGTACACCAGAACTTCAGCTTACTGGTGTATGCCACCGACCTGCGAGTTTTGCTGCCGATCGCGAGGCAATATATTGTACCAGTGTCGCAGAAAACATGACGACGTCGAGTGTACAACCTTGACATTAAAGTTTCAGAGGTACACGCAGACCCGGGAGCTTTTTTTTGCAATTATAAATATTATAGAACAAATTATGGTTTCGCTCTTTCCCTCAGCTTGATCTGGGTCGAGTGCCCATTGATTGTCGGCGGGCAGTCGTCGATGGACAGTCGAAGGAACCTGTTCACGACCGAGCGTCGGTGCATTTCTTTACCGGCCAGGTGCATGTTCTTTGATGTTACGACGAGCAGCTTTTTTTTACAACCCAACTATCAATAGAAAAATCCATAAGTAGAAGTTTTAATGCTGTCTCCGTCATCGTTCTATGGTTTTTCCATCCTGATCCATTCCACGAACCTCCGGTCCAGAAGAAACAATGAAAATGCGTCCCGGCTTTCTCGCCGGTACCGGGAAAAACGGCTTGCTTTCCGTTGCCCCGGATCAGCCTGCTGATTCCTCGTCGAGTTCTCAAGGCCTTAAACCTTCGAAAATAAAGAACGGCATCAGTGCTGTTCCACGACCAACAAGGAGAATCTGGGATGAGACGTTGGTGCTTGACTTTCAGCGAGTGCTTCTGAAGCTTCTATCCGAAAAGGGCCTACAGCTGGAGCTGCAAAAGCGCCTGCGGTACGGTACTGGAGCGAAGGAGATGCCCACGCACAGCTCTTGCCAAGCGGAAGCGTCGAATTACGACAAGCTGTGCGATACGGAGAAGGTGAATTGTATGGAAGGGTCAGCATGTTGGAAATTTCAATTTTCAAAGTTGGAAGATGAACTACTTGCCGTGCATAGAATTTGAATTGCGAGTACATGCTGCAGATGCAAGGTCGTGGTGCCCTCGGTGTTTCACTGGAGACGACCTTCGCCTCAGATTGTATGCCTGTCCAGGCTCATCCGCATGAATATAGCACGACAATGACAATAGCCCTTGTTGTAGCTTTCGCTCTAAACGGCACGTTGACGGATTGGCTTCCCGCGTCTGGAAAAACAGTAACGCACCGCAGCATAGAACTAGAAGTTGCGGACCCACTGATTCCAGTGGGTACTACCGTTTTATGCGTCGCAATTCATTTGAGCTTTGTCGATTAAAAATTTTCTAGCGACCTAGCGCTTCCATAACATGTGATTTTTGCGCGTCGTGTTCCGCGTTCGACTTCGATCCGGAGGAAATTCTCGTTTGCCGAGATGTCGTAGACGACGAGGAGGAGGAGGACGGCGATGTCAGAATCAGTGCCGCTGGTGGTGGAGCTCCAGCTTCCAGCGGCAGCCGTACAACCGTACTATCAGCGAGCACATTGTCCACGCCTTCCACAGGAAGAACAACGAACGGCAGTGAGGACGCAGACCTCCCAGGAAGGGGAACTACACCAACATCCACCTCCAGTTCGGGTCCTTCAAAAAACCGGATATCGTTCCTGCCGAGCGACAGGCGCGGCAGGGTTTTCTCGAGCACCACTGCTGTGAGAAATACGTCTAAAGCAAACCCGATTCTGCGTTTTCGCGGTCTTGAAACGCCCGGTTTGTCCGAGACAGACGAGCCCGCGCGTTTGCTGAAGGAGAATACCACTGGCGCCGCGCTGTTTGAGATGCTGCCCGCGATCGTGGAGAAAACGGCGAGCACCTTCGCGAACGTGTTGAAGAAGGCCCACGCGCCGGGACCCAATCGCATGCCGGCACTGGATGCGGACACCGCGAAGCAGATCCGGAAAGACATCCTCAAGGAAACCGTGCTGCGCGAAATCCTGAGCCGCGTTTTCACTGCCCATAATGAGCAGCAGAAAGCCTTCGCGCAGGACGCCGGCCTCCTCGCGACGCCGAACGGCTATCATGGGGATTGGAACCCGGACTTAAACGCGTTGACGGCGGAAACAATACAGGAATTGATGACAAAAGGGTACGCTTTCCAGGACGACTTTCTCCCGAGATCCGAGCCGCGGAATCGCGACACCACAAACTCCGCGTCTCTGTCGAGCGGGAGAACCAGAAGCGGGCCCGGAGCGGCTCAGTCCGCGTTCAAAAGCTCCGCTTCGGGGCAGTCGGAGTACGTGAAAAACTTGTGGAAAATCGACTGCGAAAAAGTCTTCAAGGAGCTCGAGACGTTGGACTTTGAAGTGGGTATGTTCCAGGCGGTCATTCAGCAGCAGCAGGTCGGCTTGCGGAGTGACCGCATCTGCTTTTCTTCCCTGGACAGCCTGAACCGCATGCGCCACCCCATGCTGCGCAAACTGTACCAGTGTCTCATCTCGCTGCCGTTTGAGCTCAACAAAAAGTGCAACCTGCTGTTGCAAGGTAATCATGATATTCATTGAGTGAGCATGCTACAGCTACACTCAACGACGGTTCTGGTCGCGAAAGTAATATGCTGTGTGGCGTACAAATACAATTACCTGCCAAAAAGACGGGGAATTAGAGAGATGAGTTCCGCCGGAAAATAACTACGAAGGAGTATGTATCCTATCATCTCAACATCTTCTCATGCTTTTTGTCATTAACCTTTTCTCGAATAAAAATCCAGGAACGGGAACTTTCCAACTCGGTGTGTATCACGCCAACGGCGCGTTCTACAAGAAGCATCTGGACGGCGGCTATCGGGAGCGCGACAACGGGCGAAAGATCACGTGTATCTTTTATCCCAACGACAACGACGTGTCTGCGTTGCGGGTGCACGATCCGAAAACGGGAGAAACGAAAGACATCTTGCCGAAGGCTGGGCGACTGGTGCTTTTGCAGGCACGAGATGTCCCACATGAAGTTTTGCCAAATGTGTCGAAAAAGAAACGATTTGCCGTGTCCATGTACTTGAACGGACCAGCGCAGAACTAGAAAACAAAGCACGGAGCATCCAGTTATTTACTCACTTATGCTGTGTGGTCACAAAATTTTATATGGTGCTTGCGTCTGTGGATCTCCAGCCACGGACTCGATCGGTGAAGATCGATGAGGTATCTCCTTCATCCGTGTTTGATAAAGCTCGTTTTTGTGTGTTGTGCAGCGATGTAAAAACGTGAATGTCTGTCATTTCGCTTGTGATTCGGCAAATGAAAAGTCAGCATAGAGTCGTAGGTTCTGGCTTTCTGACGAGAGCGCCTGCGTGTAGTCTGCTCTATTTTGCACAATCAAGTTCTTCGATACCGAATGCGGGGATGAACACAATGTATTCTCACGCACACGTGATGATTGATGCCTTTTCTCTAATACGTGCGACGGAATGCTCCGATGATGAGCTACTCCTGTATAAACCAGCTCGGAATATGTACAGTGAAATATCGAAGTATTTTTGTCTATTGTGGAGCTGCATCAGCATCACCTGTTGTTCTACTTCGGTAGAATTTAGACGCATTGATCAGGGCGCAGTTGAAAAACGTAAAGAAAAAGTGCGATCATCTCCGACCCAACGAAATGGGATCCTTAACCTCTTGTGTATGGCATCTCAGATAAAGAAATAAGTAAAAAATTGTATGTCGAAGTGAAAAATCAATCTCACTGACGATCTCGAAAGTTCTACATCAGTGATCATGACTTCTCGCCAAACTCCAAGAAAAGCAGCGAAGATCGGAAATTGGATCAGATTCATGTAGTGCATCCCCATCCGGTTATGGTTATCGGAACGACAGGTGAAAATAAAATGTCGGTGGAATAGCTTCAAAAAGTTTATTCACTTGTTCGAAAGCACCATCTTTGTCCATGAAACCCGGTGCAATACAGGCAGCATAAGAGAAAGATATCAACAGGAGTTCTCTTAGTTATTTGTATCTAGTATGTCTTAGTCTTCCTCTTCGAGTATTGATGGCACAATTGTTCATCGCGTTGCGAAATGAACGTGGCCACAAAAACTTATAGCATGAACAAAAGATGAGCGCAGGCACAGAGTCCTCGAGCCATGGAGGCAAGGAAAGCGTTGTTCTTGACGACGACTATTCTGCTTCCGATGACGACTTGGCTTTTGGAGAGGAGCTCGACGGTTTTGTTTATGACATATCTGATGGAGAGGGCGTCGCAGGTGCGACGACTGGTATTGCTGGCTCTGCTGCATCAACGAGGGCTGAGGCCGCTTCAAGTACTGGAACCTCTACCGAGCAGCCAGTAGTTGGCTCTGCCTTGTTGCCAACGCGCAACACACGACGCGAAAGCTTTTTGCTGGGTGGCCAAAACCACGACAGGAAGATATCATCCTCATCCAGGCCGAATCTTCCGTCAAGCAGCAAGCCAGCAGAAGGCAGCGACGAGCGGGAGCCCGGATCTAGAAACGAGTCAAGCCCTGACCAGTCCTCTGCCAACATCATTGCGGATGGCGAAGACGATGTAGATGAGCTATTCTTCCGAGGCCTGGACGAAGAGGAAATAGATGAAGCTCAAGACGAAGATGACCTCGAGGACGACGCAAATTCGGTTGCTGACAGTGCGTCCCAGACCACAACTGCAACCCGGCGGTTCCGATCGGTCGGGCCGCACGCGTGCGACGTGTGCGGGAAGATTTTCAAGAAGCCGAGTCACGTCCTGTTGCACAAGAAAAAAGTCCATGACGCGCGCGAGGCACGAACGACCTGCGACATTTGCGGAAAGAGATTTTCCAAGCCGTGGAAGTTGAAACAGCACAAGCAGCAAGTGCACCCGGAAAAAGATGCGGATGGGAACCCGGTTGGCGATGCAGTGGCAAATCTGAAGCAATTTGTCTGTCCGGTGCCGAATTGCGGGAAAGCGTACCGCAGGAAAGACCACCTCGCAAGACATGTTCGTGGAGCGCATGGAGGGAACCACAGAGGGAGCAGCAGTGCCGGTGGTGCTGTCGGTCGACAGGCGGCGCTCAAGGTGGCGGAGGGTGACGTCGCGGATGGAGAGAGGAAGCAGCACGGCGCTGTGTTGCGTGAAAATACTGTCGCAGAAATTCTTGATGTTCAAGGGCAAAACGAGGAGCTGCGAAACGGAATAAATGAGCGAGGTGGTTCCAGCTCCAGCAGCAAGGCACCTGTTCAAGCTGCAGCAGCACCGAAAGTTGGTTTCTTTTTGCCGCCTGATCAACATGGTGATGCTGAGGACGATATTAAGCAGCGTCAAGACTTTGACGACGAACTCGACGAAACGCAAAGCAATCTGTCCGACCTCGGTTTCCAGCTTGCGTGGAACTACGTGTGTCCTACCTGCGACAAAAAGTTTCCCTCGAACCAAAAACTGAAGAAGCACATGAAATCCCACAACCGGCTGACGTGCGAAAAATGCGGCGCCAAGTTCAAAAAGCAGGGCAAATACGACACCCACATCCAGCTGTGCAAGGGCGAAAAGGTGGAGTTTAGCTCGGGGAAGAAGATTCTTCCCGAAAACCGCCACCTCTACACAGAGAGCGGGTTGCTGAAAAACAAAAAGCGCAGGAAAGATTTGAAAGGGCAGCTGGCGGCAAGTGTAGTTTCATCTGGTGGTGCTGGACAGCAACTGGAAGATGGGGAAGATGAAGACGATGCTATAGCTGTGCCCGCTGCCCCCGTTTCTGGTGTCGCGCCGCCGAAGTCGTGGCCCCAAACCCAAAATGAAAACAAGAAAGGGCCCGCTGGTACTGATGGTGTGGACAACGGCGACGATGCTTTTCACGGAGAGGAAGAAGACGATGCTCTGATCTGTGAAGAAATCGTCGACGACATGGGACGAGGACAAGAACGCGGCGACCGACAAAGCATATCTTCAAAAACCGCAAGGAACAATTCGACCTCCCCATCTTCAGCATCCGTCCCCGAGCTGCTTTCCGGGGTCCGCTGCCCCCGCTACCCGGAGTGCGACTACATCATCACGTCACTGCGTGACCAGACGCTGCACGCAAAGTGGCACCTGCGCAAGGACGCCCAGAAATTCTTCAAGTGCGACTACTGCGACTTTGAATCCCTCCACTGGAGCGAGGTGGTCCAGCACAAGAAGCTGAGTCACGTCAAGTGCTACGTCTGCGAGGTCTGCGAAAAGTCCTACAAGAGCGGCCACAGTTTAAAGGAGCACATGGCTACGAAGCACCCGAATTTCGCTAAACTTGCCAAGCACACTGGAAAGGACGGCGAGATTTTGCGGAAAAGTGAAGAAAGTGCAGCCGCTAAGGGCAAGGAAAGTTCAGATACCGATGGAAAGCAAAATGGTGGAGTCTCTGATGCACTAAGAGATGCATCATCATCTTCTGCGCCGCCGAATAAAGAGCGACAAAGCGACGACAACATGGAAAGCTCCGCGGATGTCACATCGTATTTGTGCAAGGACTGTGGCAAGGAGTATCTGACGAAGGGCGCCTTGCGACAGCACCGAAACGCGAAACACAACGACAAAAACGTCTACAAGTGCAAGATCTGCGACCGCGTTTTCTGCCACAAAGCAACACTGAGCAAGCACCTGCAGACGCATGTTGAGACTGCTAGTACGTCACTGCAGCCCCAGGAAGACGGGAACTCGACTGATGCGACAAATCTGAAGCTGCCGGATAGAAGCGGTGTTGTACAACAGGGAAGCAAAGAGCAGGCCTTTGAAGAGACGACGACGACGACGACTCCAAATGTCGTAAGCAGAGCGGTTTCACTAGGAAAAAAAGCGTCCTCCTCTACCGCGACTACAAGAGTGCACAAGACTGAAGCGACACCTTTTTCCGAAACTGGAAATATTGAAGCCGAAGACAACGACTTTGATGGAGGACAAAATAAAAACAGCTGCGAAGTAGACCACGACTCGGAGAGGCCTGGCACAGCTGATACAGACCTAGACCTATTCGAGGCGCCACTACTGAAAAGAAGGAAACCCGGCCCGAAAACAAGCCGCTTTCGGGGCACGCAGCTTGCAGATGGTGGAGAACAGAATAGCTTGCAGTTGCAAGACCAGGGTAGGGACCTGTTCGCAGATGCGTCCGGAATCAGTTGGTGAGTGTTCCACATCCACGGTATTTTCCGAATGAACTTGAAAGCGCAGTTTCGCATTCTATTTTCGTCGAAGTCTTCCAATCACATGTAAAATACATGCAGCGTCGATTACGATATTAACGATGAAGGCTTCGTCTGAAGATGAAAAAAGAGTAGTTTCAGCGACATAACGAGACCCAAAAGAACCACGATACTGCAAGAGGACTCAGCTTTCGAGCGAGCCACGACCGTAAGTAATTATCGGCGAGACAGGAAAAAGTGTTCGTTGCAGTTGCAACTAGATCCTGACGAGCTCCGAAGATGTTGTGATCTTTTTCCGCGATTTTTTTTCCTTTTCAGATCGCCGCGATGAATCCGATTTTTGTCGCGCCATGTTGACGACGTTGTCGGTACTGTGTGAGTGATGTGACCTCCTCCGAGAAGATGCAAAACCCTTGTAGCCTGCGCGTTGTCCACCCCTTTTGACGATCACGTGACTTCTCCTGACTTGTTTACTTTGTTTTGTGGATCTGCAGATTTATTTGGTGGTTGTCGTCAGCGCGTTTGATTTTGTTTGTCTTTGCAGTGGCACAGGCATCATTAACCTGAAAGTGAAAATAATAATGATTTGTTTCCATTCACTAAGAAATTCAAATGCGATACACAGAGAGCAGAATCTTTTCGTGAGCTGCTCCAGCTTGCTGCATGGATGGTGCAAACTCCTCGCCACAGATTGCGTCCTTGACCCCACGAAGGCACAAGATCCTTGCCACGGCAACGAATTTAGAGAAAATAGACTCGGAGAAGTAGTACCATTTGCATTTTGACCGCTATATTAGAAGTGCAAATAACCTGATCTTCCACCATGCAGGGTTCTCGCCACCCAGCAAAAAGCCCGCATTGCTTCGTGTATTGCAGGACAAGCTTCAATTGTAACTACAACTTCCTTAATTTAAATTTTTTCTTGTACATTTTCGTGCTTTTTACCTCAACAAGGGCGTCAACATCGCTCCTCATGTCCTCGAGCAATCACCTCTCGGCCGCTGACGGGGAGCGGCTTTTTCTACCCCCAAACGGCGAGGAAGGCGTGCCGGAGGAAGCTTTTCTCGACGAGCAAGGGCTAGCTGGGCAAATGTCTGAATTTCTGGCCCCGCCGCCGGTTCGCCGCAAACTCACCATCCGGTACGGATCCTCCCTGAAACTGATAAGTGCCGCCTCCGAATTACTCTCCAACGAATTCAAGCAGGATCCCGAAGAAGGCTGGGCAGAACGGCCGTTGCTGTTCGTCATCGTCGAGTTAGATAGCGTTCCCGCCTGTGCGGCCCGGGTGCAAGTCGACTTTCCGGGAGTTGTTGCAGGGGCAGATATGCTTATGCAGGCAGAAAACGCACTTCGAGACGGGCGCGGAGATGATGTTTTTGGTGCTGAAGGTGAAGCAAAACGTCGACGCAACAGCTTCAGTCCGTTTGGTAGAACTTCCACTAGACACGACGACGAGACGAAGATGACAGGAACACAGGATCTGGATCATGTAGTTGGCGCTACTGGAGCAACAAGCAGTGTTGGTGCTGCTAGTGCGAGCGCGAGCGGAAGTCGATCAGGTCCCGGGGGCGGCGCGGACAGAGAACCGGGTCGTGGTTCATCAGCATCGTCATCAGCTATAAAAATCTCAGACAAAATGCTGGATAATACCGCAGGTCCAACATCAACTACTTCCACATCACCATCTGCGCCCCAGCGCCGCATCATTGTCGAGTACATGCACACACTGGATGCGTACCAGAAATTGGGTCTGGGGTCGCGACTGGTCACTTTCCTGATGTCGGTCGCCGACATGGAGCAGGCAGACTTTCTGCTGGTATCCACGGAGGAGGCGCAGTCGTTCTGGAACGCCAGAAAGGGGTTGGTGCTGGAGCAATCACTGGCGCTGAACCGGAAATACAACACGTACAACGACACACTGCTGCTAAAACTCCGCAGCAACCGGTTCGGCGCGCCGGTTTCGCAGGCCGTCAGTGACGAGATGAAGGCTTTTCTCGAGCAACAGAGGCTGAACGCGGAGGAGGAGGAGGAGGAGGCCGATGACAGTGGCGACGGTGACGAGGAGGAGGAGGAGGAAGACGAAGATGGAGAGGACGCAAATAATGGACCGCCAGAAGAAGAGGATGAGCAACTTCAGTTGGCGCTGGCAATGAGCCTGCAGGAAGGACGAGATGGGAACGCGGAAGGACGCACTATCAATCCGCCTCCTAGGCACCCAGGAGGAGTACTTGTTGAGCAACATCAACAGCCGCAACAGGACAATACAGACGATGAACTCGCAGAAGCCATACGACGGAGCCTGGAGAGCCAGTGATTCCAAACTCTCAACTACAAGCGAAAAATTTTAAAGCTGGTACTCACCATTCCCTTTCGGGTTCATAAGATGCAAGAGGATCACGAGCATGAGCAAGCAGCGAGCTGCTCGAGGTCCACTATATCCTGCAAGCTGCAAAGAAATTCTTGATTGTGCAAGCACGCTGCAATGAAATTCTTCTTTAGTCCTCGCTCAATCTTTGTTCCCTGAAGTTGCGCGGTTGAAGATGAGCAAGGAGCGATTCAACTGAGAGCAGAGTTGTTTCAGCGAAAGCAGGAATGATCTTTGCCTGCGAAAGTGAGCATGTATCTCTATTTGCGGGGTCAGTACTGAACAAGTCTCATGATCGCTGAATCGGTCCGGCGAAATCTTAAGCCTGAGGATTATCTTTGGTGTCACTTTTATCATCTTCAAGATCTAAATGTGCTCAGGTACACTCCTTCTTTGATTTGATTTGATTTCAGCAAAGTAAGTACGTTTTTGGTTATCAGGATTGTGCCTCGTCATGAGTCTTTTCATTGCAAAGGCTGCCGGGTTTCAGAAGCTGCGGGCTCCAAACCGCTTGCGGTGGTCTGTTGGTCGAGCCCCACTGTTTCTGATGATCCTCGTCCACCTTCTCTTGGCGCATTCCTTTATCCTGTGCAAAAGTATCGTACTCGTAGTAATCGCAGCCATGCATTAAAAATCTTCATTCCAAGGCAAAACAGCATGACAAATTCCATTTGTAATGCTGAGCTAATTTGTATTGCAATTACTACTAGTGCGATACTTTTGCAGTTCATATCCTGCGTTCTTGCGGTACAATCTGCAGGGGGTGGCAGAACCAAGGAAAACGCGGCGAGTTTTCCTGCAGATGGTACTTACATCTGGACCTGTTGGCGAGCTTGACGATGTTGATGATTATGATGATGATGATGATGATGATATCCTCACACAAATAAGACTGCCGCAAAGCTGTGACATCATTCATATCATGGCCACGTCGTTTGTGGTTATTCTCTCTCCTTTCATTCATCTTCCATCGACGTTCAGAAGATTGATATGTAGCGTGACCTGGATTGCTTTGCCTGTCAAAGAAACTTTTTCGATCTTCTATAGTTTTACGACAGTTTCAACAAAGGACGACAGGACCAGCATTGCACTAGACCAGAATTATGATCGAGCTTTGTGTTTCTTTTTCTGGTTCGGTTTCGCTTGCATTGATTCACACTGTCACCGGCTCCTGTTGTGTTTCTGTCAGCGCATGTTCTTCAATATCCATTTCTGTGAGTGTGCGAGATCCCAACAACACAACTTCAGGATCGAACACGACCCAAGTTGTTATTCCGGAGTCAAACTCTTCACCGACCTGGTCCTGGACTTCGTTTCTGACCCACCTCGGCTTCGGGTTTCCGTCCGTTTCGCCGCCACTTGATCTGTCGCCTGGAAACGAAAGCAACTCCACGCGGGGACCACATGGCATGCTGCGGAGCAAGAAGACACCATCGGGATATGTCGCTGCGGCGGCAAATTTCTTCGAGTGGTTGGCCTCGTTGTTCGTGCACGGTCTCTACTCTGACGAACCCGACGAGGCGCAGCTCGTTGTGACATCAAACAAAACCTATGTAGGAGGCCGCGGTGAAGGACACGGTGGGAAGAAACCGCCCGGCTCAGCGTCGATGGAAGATTCCAGGTCGCATAATCCGCAGGATCATGGGATTGTGGAGGATCATATGCTTTCATCTCGGAGCAGTACCACGTCTGGGACTCTGTCGCCGCCTGATCGGATTGAGCATGACGAATTGTATGGTGTATCCGGGCAACTGGAATACAACAGCGTCGACAAGGACGACGGGGCAGCAACCCGGCGCAGTGCAGACGGGCGTACCGTGATCAGCTCCTTTCTGGAGGAAGAGCACATCGAAACAAATATGGTGATTTCCAACTTGGACGTGGAACGGGAACGGCACAGTGCTGGAAATTTTCCCGCTCACGATCTCGTTCCAGGCGAAACGAGCCCGGATCCAGCGTCTGTGCCGTCAGCGACCGCACAGATTTCCCCGGCGACGGCGCCAACTGCTGGGAGACCGATGCAACCCCGGCCACCTGATGACCTGCGCGTCGCACTTCAGCTCTACGAGAAGTGCGCAGTAGCTTGGCCGTTGGACCCGGAGCTAGAAGTGGTGCAAGGGGATCGTAATGAGACAGCCGCATCAACAGCAACAGCAAGTAGAAGAAAAACGCGCCGTCTTGTTTCGGTATCGCCGCCATCTGGGGAGGGAGAAGGAGCATCCACGTCCTGGGTCTGTGCGTGCGAAGGCGGAGACGTAGAAGCACAGGCGGCAAGTGGTATAAGTCCTGGGACTACTTCCAGCGGCGACATTAATATTTCCACTTGCCGCGGTATTCCGATGATTTATAAAATTGACAAGAAGAAGACGGGCGGTTGGAAAAACCGTGGTGTCGAGATCGTAACAAAATTCCAACATCACGTCAGCCCAGCAGTCGGCGCCGGCGAAATGATTGAGGTAAGCTCTACGTTCTGCAAACATTTTCTGAACTACGAGCAGAACAAAGATTACAAGCTGAATAAATGGGAATGCGCGCTCACGGCAGCAGCCGCACAAAAGGGAGTGCTCAACTCCCTCATGCTCAACGACTTCTTGTCGAGTGCCACTTCTTTCCGCCGAAGCGAGGGCGCGTTTTGCTGCATGGCACCAGCAGTACCACAGATGTCGCAGGACACCGGAGAGGACATCGCGGAGCTAACTTGCGGGGCGCTAGATGCGCGAGGAGCTATTCTCGATAGCGCCAGGAAAAGCCAGGACGGAGTACCCTTGAGGGCGGTTACCAATGGTCATGATTTAGCTTCGATCCTGCGTGTCGAGACTCTGCCAGAAAGGTTTTCGGCTGGGAAGTACCACGAGGAGTCAACACTCGAAGGTGGTCCATTCGCCGTGTGTTTGCCTTCCGGAGAGAGCTCTGCGGAGGAGTTTTTTAACGACGTCATCGGTTATCATTGGTCTGATGAAGCTGATAGCGATCCGAACACAGCACCTACTGAGGATGATGTCGCGGCCGTAGCGGACGGCAAAATGGATCCGATCATCCAGCTTCTGACGGCGATGGTTGACAATTTGCGCGATGTTGGGGACACCAGCGAGTCCACTTTGAAGAGATTCGCAGAGACGCACGCATTCCATCGGAATGTAATGAGTCGCAGCGTACTCGTGCGACACGTAAACAACAAAATCCGCCTGGCGGTGGTCGATTACGCCGCTTCCTGCTGTCCGCGATCGCGAATGGCGGTAGACGCATGCAGCACCGGTGAGAAGAGCGAGCGCATCGTGAAAGTTTGCTCAGAATTGACGAAAGCGGAGGCGGGGAAATTTGAACCGGCCGGGACTTGGGATTACTGGTCCCCGGATCACTTCACTCTATCACCGCTGATGAGCAGCAAACCTTCGCTTTTTAATGCAGAACGTGGAGACCGATTTTCCTGGGCGATTATGACAGTGTCCGCGATTCTATCTGTGTGCGGATGGGTTCCGGCACACACGGACATCGAACGCCACGCCCGCTCCACCCTGCTATTCGGGTTTGGCGAGGATCCCGACAGGGGTCCAGCCGAGAGCTACCCCTCGAAGGACAACTACCACAAACTCATGGCGGTGCAAACAGAGGACGGTGCGCCGGGTGGGGCCGTTTGGAAAAAGTCTGACACGAACGGCGACGGTGTCGCGCTTTTGAACAAGCTCGCAAGTACTATCGAGCGGAAGGGCGACGACGAGCAGGAGCAGGAACTACTCGGTGAAGTCGCGAGGCGCGAGATCATGGCACGGTGCAGCAAGTTCGGGAAAAAGATGCACGCGGATTATTGGGGAAAGAAACGCACAGAACGGCTGAATGTCGAGAAAATCACGGCAGCAATAGACGCAGCCATGTCCATTGTCATGGATGGAGAATCCGGCTGGGCTGCCGTTGCCAAAGGACTGCTTGGTATAGCGCCTGGCGAAAGAATCGACGTGGCAGGAGGGTCTGGAACTGGAAGTGCGAAGGTGAAAAAATGGCCAACGCGATACATGTGGGGCACGCTATCTCCGGACCCGATGTCTCTTCTCGATGGCCACGCCACCAATAGCGAAACGGCGCTCACCGTGTCAGCTGTTTCAACCTCGGGGACGCAACCTGACACCAACAGCACCCAAGATGAAAACACAGGATCACAAGCGACTAGCGGAACAGTCCACGGAGACCTCGATGATGACCTACGTGTCGCACTACAGCTCTACGAGCGCTGCGCAGAAAATTGGCCAGGTGACGACAGAAGTGATACGCCTTCAAGTAGATTAGCGCGACTAGTTTGGGTATTACCGCCATCGGAGAATGACGGCGCTGAGCAGGTCGCTGTGTATCTGAGAAAAAATGCCAGCAGTAGCACTGTGCACCAGCACCACCACGAATTAAGATGCAGTGCTGGAATACAAATAAGTATGATAAAGAAAGACTCTAGCATGTTGTCATGCCCATGCGTATTAGTTCTACGTACTACAGGCGCAGGGGCAGGAGCAGGACTCTTAGACGTAGTACTTACTACTTGTACTACCAGACTTGTTGAGAACGCTACTTGGACGCAAGGAGTCTTTCGTTCTGGAAAAATTCATGAATAGTGACAGCGGTGGTCATTAGTTTTTTCTGTTTCATATTGTGGACGTCGTGGATAGTAGAAGGGAAAGTATCCATTCATCGGGAACTACAACCATCTCATGGCTTTGCGCGTGCGAAGGCGGACCGGTTACCGCTGACGGTCCCTCATCTGCTTTGTACAAAAATACGACCGGTCCCTCTGAAAGCTTTCACTGCCGCGGGACTACATCAATTTACAAAGTTAAGAGCCAGGAGTGGAGCAGTATGCGGATCAGGGGCGCTAGTGGCTTGAGCGGCGTCGAAAAGGTAAAAAAGTTCACGCACGTCGAAGAGGGCCCCAGCTCCTGTGGTGGTTCATCGGCAGAATGATTCAGAGCAGTTACACGCGCTGCACACATTTTTTGGACAGCCAAGAGGACGACGGTAAAAAGGCAAACCAGCGGGAGTGCGCACTCACGGTTGCAGCCGCAAAGAAAGGAGCTCTCCGCGGCCTCGTCGCCGACAGCCTCCCGGCGAGCAGCGTTGTTTCTTCCCAAAAAAGCGATGCATTTTGCTGCAGCGTCCCAGCAGGAGAGGTACCAACGCAGGAGTTCGACGACAGCACTGATCATCTAACCTGTGGAGCGCTGCATGCGCGGGAAGCCATTTTTGGTGTTGCGCAGAAAAGGGATGCGGCGGTGATGAGCACCGGCTATGATTTGGGTTCGCTTCTGGGCGTCGGTGGTCTGCCAGAACAGTTGATGGCTGGTAGGTACAACGGGAGTACCAGTACAGTCGACGACGCTTCTCCCTTCGCCCTGTGCATGCCGACTGGGGGTGATGTCCTGGTGCATGAGTTCCTTAGCGATGTACTTAATGACGAGCCACCTACTGATGACGATACTTCCGCCCTAGCGGGTCAGAAAATGGCCCGAATCGTCAGCTTTTTGGCTGCAGCGACCGACAATCTGCGCACGACCATAGCGGACGTGGACAAGGGATCATCGTCCACTTTGAAGAAATTTGCGGAAACAGGCGCATTTCATCGGTCGGCATGGGAGAATAAGAATAACGTACGCGTGACGGAGCAGGTCGACGGCAGCCTCCGGCTGGCGTTGGTCGGCTACCGCGCGGCTTGCTGTCCAAGATCGCAGATGGCAGTGGACGCCTGCAGCGCTAAGAAGCATGAGCAGATCATGAAAGTTTGCAGGGAGTGGGAACCGGGATGGGAGCCGGCTGGCATCTGGACTCACTGGTCACCTGATCACTTCCAGACAGCAGGGGAGGAAGTAGCGGGCAGCGAACCTTCACACTACTTTAGCGCACAGAGCGGGGACCGATTCTCTTGGGCGGTCATGACGATCTCTTCCATTCTATCTGCTTGCGGATGGGTGCCGGGGCTCGACCAGAAAGACTTAAATAACGCCCGCGCCACCCTGCTGTTCGGCTTCGACGAGGACCCCGACAAGGGCCCTGACGAGACCCATCGTCCCTCGAAGGACAACGCCGTCAAGCTCCTCTCGGTCAAGACAGGGGACGGTGTCCCGGCGGGGGCTGTGTGGCAGACGTCCGACCAAAATGGCGACGGCGTTGCGCTGTTGAACAAGCTTGCAAGCATCGAGGGGGACGGCGACGACGAGCAGGGGCGGAAATTTGGTGAGGTTTCGAAGCGCGAGATCATGGCCCGGTGCAGAAAATTCGGGAAGAAAATGAAGGACGTGAACATCTGGGGGAATGTAACATGGCACCAGCCCCCGAACGTCGAGAAGGTCGCGGCAGCTATCGAATCTTCGTCCATTTCCACCGTCATCGACGGGGAATCTGGCTGGGCTGCAATTGCCAAAGCGCTTCTTGGCGTAGAGAACGAAAGCACTTCGGGAGCAGAAACTGGAGCCGCAAGCACGCACGCGAAGAAATGGTCAAAGAGGTACGAGTGGGGCATCATCAACGCTTAAACGTCCATGCTATTACGCATTGTTTCGAACTTGGCCAATTCTATGACGACGTCATAGAATTGGCGGGCTTCAGTTTCTTGTTCTTCATAATAATACTCAACCAAGTTGATAAGGCACGGTAGTTTCAGCGTTGGTGATAGAGATAGTCCGAAAAGTGTAGCTGCTGTAGCTACAATTTTTACAATTCCCTCGTCGACGTCGTTGCTGTTCATCTTTCAGTGTCCTTTGAGCCAGGAGGGTGCCTATAGAAAATCAAATTACTGCCATGTTTGTTTCTTTCAATCAACGAGAGAGGCCAGAGCCTGAGAACCGCGTGGACGACAGTACCAGTAGAGTGGAGATCATGAGCGACTCACATGATAGCGCGACACCGCCAGATCTTTGTACTAGGGATAAAATCTGCTACTTATACGCAACCGCATTTAGTAGATTCAACGGTTCGTAGTTCCTCGTAGTAGAACTTGATCTCGTCTGTGGCGGTTCTCTTTCTGTACCACGAAGCAACGTCCTCGTCCTTTGGTACTACTCGAAACAAGATCATCTGAGACTATGGGCCAGTACAACAAGGCCACGAGTCTCTTCTGGAAGATGATCTTCCTCTGGAGCTTTCTCGTTTTCCGAGTTGCAAGGTGTTTCCAGGCTGTCGGGCCTGTTGCAGCGGATGGACCTTCGACGATTTCGGGATCAGGAAGCAGACCATTGTCTCCAACGAGTACTTCAGTTCCTCTTGGCGATGACAGCGAAGGCGGGGGCAGTCCCGCGTCAGCCGCTGCATCTTCGACAGGTTCTTGCGCTCCCACGTGCGCAATCTGCCTGCTGCCTCTCGACCGGAGGAAAAGGTTCCTGGAAAGCGAGTGCAGGGGTTGCTCGATGACGATGGCCATGGCTAGGGCATCTGCCTCGGAAGTGCAAATGGCCAGAGGCATGATTTCATCTAGTTCCGCTGTAACACGATCAGATACTGGCGCGCCAGTCAGCTTTCTGGCGGGCTTCGTATCCGAAGACCGGTGGGAGCAACAACAGCAGCAAAGTGTGTCGCGACATGAAGTGCCACGACACCAGCGTGACCGGGCATTTCCGTTGCAGACGCGACAATGGCTTCATGCCTTCCTGGACACCGTTGCGCCGCTGGACCGGAGCAGGAGGGCCAACGCTTTGCCGACGGACACAGCCGAAGATATCGATAATTTTCCCGGCGGTGCTCCTGGTACTACCGGCAGCAGGAGCAGTTCTGATCGAACCACAATTACTGCTAGTGGTGCTTCGTCCTCCTCGGGCGCCAACGGCGCGTCCGCTGCGACTTCCTCTTCCCCAGAGGCTGGTACAGGACCTGCAAGCGAGATCAGGGACGGAGTGGTTCCCGAGACGAACGACAATCCAGTTCCTGAGGACCGGTCACGACCAAATGGCGCTGCAGATGGGAACACGAATGGTCAGGGAGAAGAAGCAGCTGTCATCGGCGTCGACAACATCGAGGACGAAGAAAACGATCGGATGATCATCCGTGGAGTGGCCTGCGGGGCAAGAAATAACGGACCACCGTCAGCGAAAGGCCTGGCGACAGCGTCCTCGTCCTCTTCTAGTACCCAGCGGGCTGCAATACAACCCGATCCGCCCAACCTGCACTGCAAAACCCACGCCTTCCACACGGACTGCATTTGGCGCTGGATCCGACAGGAGCTGAATTCCGGCTTCCCGCTATCGTAAGGAAAAATCCCCCCTCCCCACATTGAAATCGTATCCTTCTGAAAATTTGTGATGCGCATTTGTTACCTCAAATCCTGTCTGTCCTGCAAGAAGGCAAGTCCAGAGAGCGCCCCGCATTTTGCAGGCGGTTTGTGATGCTGTTGGGCTTAGAGCATACGCGTTTGCCTCCATGCTAGGCGCCTACGTCAAAACCTCTCGGCTGAGGCTCAGCCTATGCCTGCAGTCCTCTACTGGAAGACAAATCTGATTTGTGTACGGAAAGCCAGCGTCAGAAACTTCGTTTTCGATATGGGGAGGGGGATTTTTCCTCTTGATACCCGCCCCGGTGTCCGGTATGCCGCAGCTCGATCCCGCGCGGAACCTGCATTCACGTGCGGGACCTGTTCTGGGATCTCGCGAAGAAGGGCGAGCTGCCGCGGGAGTGCCTGTCCGACGAGGAAAAACGAGTGCTGAACCAATCAGAAGCACGGGCGAGAAACAGCTACCGCTGCTACAACATCGACGTGCGCTTCCGTACGGGCTTCCTGGAAACGCTAGACCGTGCCATGCGGACTCGCGTTGCGGCTGCACAGAGAGGGCAACAGCGGGCGGGCAATGGAGGCAGTGGTGGAGTTGGGCTTCACGTAGGAAACAACCAGAACAGCCCAGCAGCCGTCGCGCGGCGAGAACGACTGGCGGAGAGAGGACAAGCAACTGCTGAGTATGTCCCTCTAACCACGAGCACCGATCCACGCGAGCAGCCGTCGCGGACTGCGCACGAGCAGGCAGTGCGGGACCGCATTGCTCGCGAACAACAGGCCGACGACGAATTCTATGCGTGTTTGTGGGTAGTGTTCTGTGGCCTTTGCGAGCCCATATGGAACGGCTCCTGGTGCCCCGGGCCACCTGGTAGTTCAGGAAACTACGATGCAGTCGGAAACGACAGCGCCGCAGCTGCGACCCCGGGGCAGCTGGAACCACAAATAGAACGAAGCCAAGTTACCGGAGCCGAAATCACGGCAGGAGCTCCTTCTGGCACCAATCGGCCAGGAGGACGAGGAAGTGCCCGGGTATCTTCATCGGGTGCGACGCGCAGCAATGCGACAGGTGCGCGCGCCTTACTTGGAGGTGGAAATAACAATAATTCCGACGGAGAACAAGTAGAGGTAGACCAAGACCACGACGAAGATGACCCGAACTCCCGCACGGCCATCGTCCGTCGGGGGTGTTCCAGGTGTTGCGAGAAGCTCGCCCGGTGCGCCACTTTTATGAGCGAGCGCGTCGAGCTTGCGGGCGCAGTGTGCGGAAAGGTGGGGGAGTTTTTCGGAATGTTGCTCCTCGTTTTTGCAATGAACCCGTGCTGTTGGTGTTTCGCGATCCTCGGAGCTATCATCTACGTGGGGCAGGAACAGTCCCGGGAGCACGCACGGATGCTGCAGGACCGGGAACACTGTCTGAACGTGATTTGGCCGAACTACACTGTCTTTCCCGTGGCGCTGAATTCGGATGATAGCGACTACCTGTTCGGGGGCTGTAGCGACATTCCGGCGAGCGACTGCCCGCCCGTGAAATACTTTGTGAATAAGGACAGCTTTTTGCTCCGGGAGATCAAACAAGCGGCCGGGGTTGCATCTACATCTAGACCTGACAATGCAAATCATGCACTTGTTGCTGAAGATGTTGTAGTTGCCAGAGATCATGAACATGATGATCTTGCAGCGGCACACGAAGCAGCAGAGCGCCGACACCCTCAGCGAGAGCATGAGCAGAAGGACGGCGTCGTGGTAATTGACGATGACGACTATGACAGTACAAATGCACGCCGGCGACGCTTCTACCACTACGTGAGCAACGAGCAGGCAATGAGAAATTTGCTCCAGCACATGCAACACGATACAAACTGGAGTGACCAGCGAATATTAGACTTTCTCCAAAAAGTCTCCGCGCAAGAGCTGCTACTCTACTGCTTCGGCAAGCCAACCGAAAGTGCGTTCGAGGAGCTGCTCACACGAGGGGCGCTGAAGCAGCGGCGGCTGCGGAACCGGGGCAGAACGAGAGTTCGCAACAGTTATACCGACAGCGACGTCGCGCGCGTGCATGACAAGATAGAAGACATCATCATCGACGAAGAGGCGACGCGGCAGTTACAGGAGAGAACAGACTACAACACTGGCGTTCCAGTAGCCAGTCTGCTCAGAAGACGACCGACGGCAGGCACAAGGAGTGCTGGTGCTTAAACTTAGAAGCGACTCCCTCGATGTAAATGTAATCCCTCGAAGATCGTTCAGCAGCGATGGCACACGAAGCCAGCTCAGAGCTTCGTCTACGCTTTCTGTGACGCTCGGAAGATACGACTGGTGCGAAGTCGTGAAACGTATCGAAGTGTATAGTAGTACGTAAAAGAATGATAATGATTATGCATTCACCTGCTAAAGGCACCAATACCAAATAAGTACTTTGATTTAGTAGTATGTTTGCCAACACGCACCCTCCTCCCTTTGTCTGAGAAACGACGATCAGTCTTCTGATTTTCCATTTCCAAATCAAATGACGCGAAAATAAAGAGAAAGAATCTGAGCACTGGTAGAGAAATTGAAATGCTTCCATAGATTTTGCTGATTCGATGTCCATGTTATGGCTGTCGAAAAAATGTATCAAGAGAAAACCCCAGAGCAGATACAGTTTGAATTTCATCTACGCTTTACCTTCTCACGGGAGAGTGCTACAAATTTTAGCACGATTCTTTATTCAGGGCGGGTCCTAAGTGGTACCATCATGCGCATCTCCATTTGTGGTTCGTCATTGTCTTTGAGGTTGATGGGACCTAGAAGACACCGAGCGATTATCTCTGTCTTGCTTTCCGTAATTCTGCTGATGGAGGAGCGAAAGTAGAAGTAGTGTCAACAAGGATGTAGCGAAACTTTCGTCCGAGCGGCTTTTGTAGAACCAGTCCGGTGAGGGGAATGAAGTTGCTGCAACTTCGAGAAGAAGTAAAGGCAAATCGAAGGTGTCTTTTTTTTGCAGGCGGGAAGTGACGTCCGCCTCCGGTATGTTTCCGTTTGCGAGAGGAACTTATTTAGATGCAGTGCGAGCACGTGCAAGAGCTCTAGTCCTAGCTGATTTTAAACGGGCTTGCCTACAGTCTACCAGCATTCAACAGACTGAACATCCATCAATCATGCGTCCCTCGTAGTTCATCTTCTTGCTCCTCACAGCGGTGGTCAGAAGCGGTCGCGGGCGGTATCTGCATCCCATACCACTCAATGCTTGCCACGGGCGCTACACACTGTCTCAGCAGCTTTTTGTCTTAGCACGGTGGTGAAAGCGCGCGCCGGGTACCATATCACCGAGCCTTTTCGTTTAGTTTTCGCGATCACAACGTGCGAGGAGAAGTCAGCTGAGTACTTAACTCGAGCACGAACAGCTGCTTTCCGCGAGGCGTGGAGTTGTTGAGCTTGTGGCTGCGACGCGGTGCCTTTGTGTTTGCTGCAGCAAGTCCTCCTGCGGTCAAGTGCAAAAGATGCAGATGAAAAAGTGTGTCCTGCGGGTCCACGTCTTGGTCGAAGAGGGCAGGGACGGTGCCATGTAGAAGATCTCGTGGATAGAATACGACGGTACTAGCCGACCTGGTGCGGGAACCCGCATTCTGTGGCAGTTTTGGCGGGTTTTGTACCCACACACGACGGACCAGAAGCAAAAGCTTTTCCTGGAGGTCTCATCCTGCGCTCTTCGTTTTCAATAAGTTTGCTGCAGGCCAGAATCACTACCACCGTCAAGGAAGAAGGAGCTTTTTTGACTGCAACGGCGGCTAACTGTACCTGCGGCCAACAAGGTCATCAACTGTTTGATTCCATTCTGTTGTCCGCGACTTCCTTGTTTGTCGCTCCACATCTGTCGCTGCCATGTCGCTTCTTGGTGGGGGCTCCGGGCCCTCAAGCGGCCCGCCCTCGTCCTCTGTACACACACTACTCCGCGAGCGGCGGAACTGGCTGATAAATATGCTGTACATAAGGCACGAGTTTGACGATTGCAAGGAGCTCATCGAGGAACAGCTTAAAGAATGCCAGGTGAGGGGAAGATACGTTCATCATCATGATCATCATCAAATCATCATTTTCAACCTTCGTATGTCTATGTCTGTGTTCTGTATCTTGTTTTCTGCATTGTAGTATGAAATACAACGCCGCCGCATAGGCATCTGTAGACCAGTTATCCAGTTCCAGGAGGACATTTTTTATTCTCTTGCAAAAGGAACAAAACTATACTTAACCGTGCTACTCACAGGGCATGTGCGAATTCGCGATCTACGTGAAAGCGCTGATCCACCGGCAAGAGGGCAAGATCCAGGAATCGCTCGCGCTGTTCCAGGCGGTCACGTGCCTGAATCCGCACAACGTCTTGAATTTGAAGCAGGTCGGCAGGTCACTGTACCTACTTGGCAACCACAAAGCCGCCATCGACGTCTACGATGAAGCGCAGATTCTGTCGCCCGATGACTGGGAGATATGGCACAACAAGGGGCTGTGCTACATGTATTGAGAATTCAAGTCGTCTTGAGTGAAGGAGATTAGACTTGTTGTTGTTTGCGACTCTGCAGCGTTCCAGTTGCATAAGTAGTGTGAGCAAGAAGCTGGCAGTTCCAGTTGCATATACACTTGGTCTTGGTGTTGGTCGTGCTGTGGTCATCAGAAATATTGTACGCAACAGATCCTCCGTCATCTCTCTTCGCAAGGTACCTCCGTTCCTACGACGACGCGGTAGACGCTTTTGAGAAGGCGAACGAGATGCAGCGGCACGACGTCACCTTCCTGCAGCTCGGCAAGGTTTTCGTGCTTCGCGAGGAGTACAAGAAGGCCATCGACGTGTACCAAGAGGCGTTGGAATTTTCCCCGGAGAACCCAGAGATTCTGACCACGATGGGAATTCTGTACCTCCGCATGGGCGAATCCCTCACCGCGTTCGACCACCTGGGGAACAGCTTGACGCACAACCCACGCAATCCGAAGACGATTCTGGCCGCGGGGAGCATCATTCAGGACCACGCGGACATGGACGTAGCCCTGGTGAAATACCGCGTCGCCGCATATGCACTGCAAGAATGTCTGGGTCTGGAAGAATGCCAGACTTGTCATGCAGGTTTTACATGACGATGACCCATGAGGTCTGGTATGTAGGACATAGCATGGCAGATTCTGTGAAAGTTCTGCCATGCCTACTCTGCATGAGAAACTGCCTCTTGATTAGGTCAAAAGTGGGCATCTTTTGGCAATCATGCAACACAGGTTTTTACATGATTCGGATTTAGCATGACAAGTTGCTTTGTCCCAGACCCAGACATTTTTGCATTTGATACCGCGGTGCACACCCCCAACAGCGCACAGCTCTGGAACAACATCGGCATGTGCTTCTTCGGAAAGCAGAAATACGTCGCCTCAATCGCGTGTTTGAAGCGAGCGCTGTATTTGTTTTTTGTTGTTTTTCATTTTCTTCGAGGACTTACCAACAGAATAAAGGTCCTTCGCTCATCAAGTACACTATCCTCCTACAACGCAACTCCTGCTGGTGCTTGTTCCAGTGCAAAAGAAAAGTAGAAGTACAATGGCAGCCTCGTCAGGATTCTTTTTCTTGCTATCACAATACACTGATTCTGATATATTCAAGAACAAAAACGCACACGCAGGTACCTCGATCCCTTCGAGTGGATAATAAGTTACAACCTCGGGCTGGTTCACCTGAATACCGGGCAGTACGCATCGGCGTTCCACTACTTCAGTTCCTCTATCAACCTCAAACCGGACTTCCCCTCGTCCTACATGTACTTGGCAATCACGTTGTCGCGGCTAGACGACTTCACGAACTCGTGCGCGGCCTACGAGAAAGCGATCGAGATGGAGGGCAACGACTGCGTGTTCCAGCTGAATTTCGCGATCACGCTGTTCAACCACGGGGACCTGGTGGAAGCGAAGAAACAGTTCTTGCACTGCAAGGAAATGCTCGTGGAGGAAGACGCTGATCAAGAGGTGCTGGACATGAAAGCAACCTTGGAGCAGTTGCTGGTGTGATGACTACTGGTGGATACATTCATTATCCGTGGCAAGCACCAAAAAGCCGACCACTGAAGACGGTGATCATGCTCAGTCGCTGCAATAGCTACAAGATGGCCGGGGCGGAATTTTCGGAAGGTAGACAAAGAGGTTGCGGCGTGCCATGAAAATAAAAGCTGCAGTGCAAAGAGAGCGTACTGGTCGTGCTCCTGCGTCACTGTTCATCAAAAGAGGTCCAAATGACTGGAACTTTATTCATTGAGTCCCGCTCCCGGCGCATCTACTGACGCAGGCTGTTCTTTGGTAGGGGCACTCGCACTAATGTACAGTCGATCGTGGTGCTCGTCCTTCTCAATCCGGTGGTCCGATTTCTGACGCATCATCGAAGCCGCTGGATCTGCGGCTTTCGAGAAAAAGGCAACAGCTCAACTTCGATCTTCCGACGTGCCGAAATGTTGAATTTTCGATTTTTTTTCCCATGTTTCCAGGCTTGCAGATTATGTTTCACACCTACATCGGTCTGCTCGCTCTGGATAGAACATTTATCAATTGTTGTGTCTGTAAATTATCCTTTGTTTCGCACTCACATGCGCAGCAGGCTCTAACTAACTGCTGCTGCTTACTGCGACAAAATCAAATAAAATGTTTCGCATGTGGTTAAGTTCTTCTCCCTGCGCAGCGGCAGCCCCTTGTGTTAGTGGAATGAGTTCTTCTTTGCCCATTATCCGAGGAGCCACTGCGCCTGCTCGTGGTTATTGTACCAATAATCTGTTTTTTCAAGAGTTTCTTGCGCAGTTCCGGCGGTGTGCAACAAGTATCGTTTGTCTAAATTCAAACCTTCGTTTCATCATTTTTGTCATATCGAGTATTATTTTTGTGGTTTCATCCGTCCAAGCTGTCAGTCTGCGTTCTTTGCCCGAACAAGCCGGCGAAGCAGTCTATCGAAAGGATACAGCTAGAACCGGCTCCGATCCGGATTCCTCGCTCGCTCCTCAGCACCTTCCCGGGCAATGCGAAGAAGAGACAGCAGCTGCACCTGCTAGTACGTCCAACTACCCGTCGGTCCTGCCGACCATTTCCGCCCACCTACCATCGGGGAAGCAAGTTCAGACAGATTTGGTATTTTCCGACCAGTACGTGCTGTCCGTGCACCAGCGCTTGGCAGAAGCTGCCGGCTTGAGGCGCGGCCAAAGGCTGCAACTGTTTTCGCAGAGTAACAACCACGTGTACCAGGATGCCGACAGGGTGTGCCTGCTGTTCGAACCCGCGGAGGAGACGGAGCTGGTTTTGCCAGGTAACGGCAATCCCAGCGGAGTCCAGAAAGAGCGAGTTGTTTCCAACACAGCGGTATGCATTGCAAATATGTCTGGGTCTGGAAACTTGTATTGCTGGCTGCGAAAGAGAAAGACGAGGACGCCTCATTTGACTGGTAAGCATGACAAGTTTCGGAGGTGCTACAGTCTTGGCTTTTCTGCATGACAAAGTGAGCTTCTGCATGACAGAAAAGTGGGGCTTTTGGGTAATGTGCCTGACAGACTTGAGAGTCATGTCCGACAAGCATGACAAACCTTTAGATCTTTCCAGACCCAGACACTTTTGCATTTGATATGCGGATTGCGCAATCGATTTCCCGAGTCCACACGCTTTGGTCATGGAAGACTATGAAGATCAAGATGCAGAACAAGCGGAAGGCTTGGGGAGTGCACTCGAGGAAAACAAGCCGACCACATCTTCGAACAGCTTGTTTCCGCGGGACCAACACCCGGCGCCGGCGCTACAAAGTTTTGCGGAAAAGCAACGCAGGCGCGCACTTGCATTTCTGGCCGGAGGTCCTTCTCCCGCCAAAAAACAACCGAAAAAAGTGTCTATCGTTATAGCAGAGACTCTGGACGAGGATCGAGAGCTGCAGCGTTCATCAGGATATTTGGCTTCGTCGTCGGGAATGACTGATAAAAGCCGTGTGGTCCCAGCAACAACATCTTGTCCACCTACTTCAGCCTCAACTACCCCGAAAGCCCCCAGAATTCCTGGCTACATCACCGCACTCCCCCGCGTCGGCGCAACAATCGACCCGGAAAGCTGCGGGGTCCACCAGACTCTTCCGCACGAACCGGCAGTGCGTTTGAGGAAAGTGAGTATCAAGCCTCGAGATTTCACCGCGGTCGTTTCCGAAGACCGCATCTTGCGTACCGAGAAGGATCCGAGGGTGCGCTGGGTCCGTGCGGTGGAACTTGGCCGCGAAGACATTGCGAGGGAAATCTTCGAAGCCTTGGACTCTTCCTTCGTAGAGGTAGAGGAGTCGCAAGATGTGGTAGGTGGAACTGACCGAAAGCTAAAGCGAGGCTCTTCGATTTGCGTCGGCACAGCTGCAAGGGACTGCACGACCGGAAGCAGTGGCAGCGCATCTTCAACGGCACCACCCGCGGCCACGTCCTCAGGCGGTCCCCGCTGGACTCAAGCCTTGGAAGACCGGCACGGGCATGCGCTGCAAACACTTCTGCAGTGCGGGGCATTTGCAGATGCGCCATTGCCGTACTTGCTCGCCACATCCGTCTACGCGGACGAGGATGATGCGATGGAGGTGGTGGACAACGAGGACGTCGGTGCAGCAGCTACGAGTTCAACTACTATGTCTCACACTTCCCGGCGCCGGACAAACACCTACTTCAGTCTCCGCTCGCAGGAAGAGCTGTTTCTCATGGAACTAGTCCGAGGAAACACGGCCGGGGTGGGTATGATTTTCCAAATCATCACGCCAAAGCATATCCATTACCTGCTCAACCTGAACCTCTACGCCGCCGCAGACCACCGTCTTGTTCTGCACAAGGATGTGCAAACTCTGGGCGACGCCCCGGCCATGTGCGTCGCGGCCTTTTGCGGGCATCGAGATTTGGTGCAGTTCCTCTTGCAGTATGGCGGTAGGCACGATGTTAGTTCCTGTTGGGGGCTGCAGCCACTGCACTACGCCGTGATGCAGGCCTGGCCGCAAGTGGCCTACGTTCTGGCGGGCGCGAACGCCTGCATTTACAACAGCGACAATCTTTGGAACAGCTCGCCCTTAGATTTCGCGAAGAGGGGCGCTGCACCGCTGGCTGAAACAGCAGATAGGAGGACCGTCGCCAGAGCAGACGAAAGGCACAGTTTGTGCCAATTGCTGCTGTCCGAGGGAGCGGGTACACCGGTGGGGGCAGCGAGTAGGAGCAACGACGCAGATACGAGTCTTGCCGCCAACTTTTTTCCAAGTTGACCTAGACCTTGCCGCGTTTCAACTACACCCGACATCGATTTATAATGCCTCAGTTCCCTCGGCGCGACAATGGCGGACTCCTGGTCCTGCCGCTGCGTTTTAGTATAGTAAATTATCTACCATAATGAACAACTTCTGATTCATCTGTGTGGCTGAGGACGGGGTAGCGCAAGTGTGACGACTCCTTTTCTCTCGTCCAGATCGCGTCTGCAAACAGGACAAAATAACGTTGGGCACTTAATATGTGGTAATGCTGGCACTCCCAGTTACACCGAAAACGTACAGAGACCAAGGCAACTTTATAAATATGTCCAACTTGCTTTGATGCCGCTCTTCGGGATAGCGACGCGCGTAGCCTTGAAATTGATGCGCGTTGTTCATTTCCATTTGGTAGAAGTCGTGTGCAGGTGCAATTGTCCTGAGTAAGTAACAACCTTTTGAGTGCAAGCGTCGACGCAGAAGAGACACCTTTTCGCAGCTCGCGATCTAGATCTTCAGAATCAATCTATGATGCCGCCCTGCTCGTTTTTCGTATCGTTTTTATTCGACTTTTTCGAATGCTTACGAAGAGTAAGTCGTGCTCTTTCTATTTTTGCAGTCGAAGCAGTTGCTATCGAAGCTTTTTTTTCGTTTTCTTTGATTGTCTTTCTGCCCTGCCTCTGCCGAACTTTTTGGATGCAAGCGGAAGAGCAAGAGTCAGTATCAGTAAAAGAGTTCCCCAATTTCTGGCAGCCTGCCCCCGTGTAAGATTTCTACGTATCATGTCTTACTTTTGTTGACACGCCACTCGACGAACGTACTAGAGTCTAGGATAGTTTCGACGTCTACTACCACGCGGTTGTTCAATCAAAATGTTGGGTCCTTCCACGACAAGCTCCTCTTCCACACATTTACCCGGACTGCTGAATCCCAACGCCACGATGCAATCGCATCCCTCGCAGCACAACCCGCCGGTCAAGCCGAACCGGTTTTCTGTCAAAATCGCTGACTTTAAACTTTCGAATTTGACTGCGGCAAACGAACCCTACCTGCGTCTCGATTTTGACCACTTCAAGTGCTTTCAGACCGACAAGGAGAAGATAGGTTTGGAAGCCGGGGTATTCGAATACGGGTTCAAAGCCGGGTTTCTGTACTCCACACGGGCGGTTGACAAATTACCCATGAAGAGGTTCAAAATACACTGTTACGACCATGTGGGAAGCGGGAAAGAAAGCATTCTGCTGGGGAGCACAGAGGTACTCAAAGCAAGAAAAGCAATCCCCTTCTTCAGTTTGAGTTTGTGGATTTATCATATAGCATTGGAGTGTTGTATTGTTGTGCTTTTGAGTTGACGACGTTCTCTCCTGTTTTCATTTTCCCGCATTCTGCTGGTCACATTTTGTTCCAATCTTGAAATCTTGAATTTTCAGATCGACCTCCACGCGCTGAGCACGGGTGGGCAGCACGTAAGTCTCACACTGAAGACCGGACCTCTCCCTTCGCACTGCACGCCTCAGGAGCTGGAGAAGCGAAGACCCGTGGCGACGCTGGAGTTTCAGTGCTTCATGAAGATGCTGTCCAGCGAGTTCACCATTCAGCTGTCCGATCTGAAGCTCAGCATCCAGGGCTGGCCCGCCGCCGCGAAGTGGGACCTGTGCTCGACGCTGCGGGAAGACTTGGTAATCGAGGCCCCCTTCAGCAACGACGGACAGTGGGACCAAATTTCGCTACAGTTTGACACGACGTGGTGGGATATGCTTGCACCCCTCGCATTGCAGCAGGCCCCAAACGCCGCCCAGAATGCCAGCGGTATGCTCGCGGCACCCCAGCAGCTGGAGGGGTTGAAGATCGTCGTATACGACGAAACCAGCAACGTGCAAGGCACCGTGATGCTGCCCTTTCGCGACTACTTCTTTCCCCCCGGCCCGCAAGGACCGGGCTCCACGACCTCCTTCGCGGTAGTGTCGGGCACCAACAATACAACGGGCAGCATCAATCTGTCCGCAGCATCGGCGGACGGGCAGCAGCAACAGCAAGTGCCACCTCCGTTTTCCTTCGACTTTCACAAAGAACACGAATTTCAGGCGCACGTGACCTACGGCGACGAGGGAGACCAGGTCGGGGAGTTCACCGGGAAGTTGCTCTTCCGCAACTTGCCGCGGTACGCGCAGATGGTCGGCGGGACAACTACCGACGACGGGCTGGTGGAGGGCGGATGCCTACTCTGCAAAAACCTGCCACCACCGCGATGCTACAACGACAGAGACGCGCCACCGTTTTTCGATCCCTACGGATACAATGCAGCAGCTCTGGCGTCGGCCAATCATACTGCCGGCGGTGCAGCCGCAGCCGGCTCATCCTATCTTCAGACGGCCGCAAGTGTGGGCCCTAGCGGAGCCAAGGAAAACGTCGCAGGAGGAGGCGCGGGCGGCATCGCCCTACTCGGGGGAAACATGGAACCGCCGGACGTGGAAAGTACTTATTTTGTTATTTTGGAATTCCAACATGACCATGCATTTGTGGGAGTGCTTGTGCTCTACTAAAGAGTTTGTGTTTTGAATAGTTTTCGCATTTTCAATGTACTTGCATTCACAAGCTCCACATCGTTCGCCGTCGTGTTCGAATTTGCAGTCGCAGAGATGATTTGTTTTGAAAATATACCAATATCCCAACTACAGTGGAGGACGCTCACCAAAACCCATTGCTCGTTGGCGGTTCGGGGAGCGGCAACTTACTTGCTTCCGGGCAGCAAAAATCAGCGAGCTCCAGTCACCAGCCAAACCGGTTCTCGCCACCCGATAACTTGTTTAGCAACGTAGAGCTGGACATGGAAATAGAAACGCCCGACGACATCGAGTTGCCACCCAACTGGGAACAGCGACGGGCGAGTAACGGCCGTCCATATTTTGCAGACCACGTATCGAAGAAAACCACCTGGAAGGATCCAAGGTTCATGCCAGACAATTGGGACCAGAGGCTCGACCCGATTACGGGGAAGGTATAATTGTCAGATATTGATGCAGTCGTACTAGCTTCGATGACGGGATGTTGCATTAATGCTGGGAAAGTAAGTAAGTACCTAGAAGAACGACCCGATGAACCTATCTTCACGCCACTTCAGGTTTACTTTGCCTACCACAAGACGCGGCAGACGACCTTCGTGGACCCCCGCGGCATGCCGCCGGGATGGGAGATGCGGCTCAGTTCGCAAGGCACGGAGTACTTTGCGCACTACGGGTCGAAGAAGACGTGCTGGACCGACCCGCGGGGGCTGGAGGACGGGGTCGATATGCATTTGGATTTCAAGTCCCGGGTGTACTACGTCGACCACCGGGACACGAGCACCACCTGGGACGATCCGCGCGAGCGCATGCCCAACCCCATGGCCTTGCGGAAGTGGGAGTTTCGCCAGTGGTGGCGGCACCAGATCATTGTCGCACGGGCCGCGCACGAGGAAGCTCTCCGGACTCACGCGGAAAGAGAAGACCGCGAGCAGGAGCTGCTCGGAACTCAACAAGAAAACAATGTCAGCGGAGGCTCGGAAATGGACTTCCAGCCAGGACTGAAAACGTCGAAATAGCAATGACTTTGCGTGGTGAAGCTGCTGGAGCAGCACGAGCAGCTCGTCTGTTCTGAGAATGCAATACAATCAACAGACGAACTTCATCACTCGCCCAGCACCCTTCACGTTGGGAGGAGCCCTTGTTCGCGTGTTTTTTGTGTTTTCTGTCGCGAGCATCTCGTTAGAAGCACAGATATGGCAATGTCAAGGTGGGAGGAGCTGAAACGAAGAGATCCCACAGCGAGCGAACCGGAACCGTATTTACTTCGCGTGAAGAGAGTTTCTTTTTTGCCGCTTCTCAATGTGAAGCGAAGCCGGCTCTCCCTCTCACTCTCTCTTTTGAATCATCACCAACTATCCTGCTCCGAAAAAGATGAAAAAAACTCATCTGGATCATCGTGTGTACTCTGTACAACAAACATGCAATCTCGTAAAATCGCAGCACTTTTTTATATATTGGCGCTGAACAAGGCTACGGGAACGCATCGAGTTGAGAGAAGTCGCACCGGTACTACAGACACCGCCCGAGAGAAGCTGAAGCGTGATTTTGAGCAAAAATGGCCGAGGACGTGCATGTTGCATCCCGCTGGTCTCCTCTTCCTGAACACCGTGCCGCAGGCGAGCCGCGCTGATCACTTTGTTGACTTTGGCAACCTCAGACAGCTCCTCAAGCTCTTTCCGCTTTCGACGTTTTCTTCTTTGTTCCATCTTGGTGCTGCTGGTCCGGCTCTTCTGAACGTCGTGAACACTTCGGAAATTCATCCAAGAGCCACGTCGACGGCGCCCTGGTAAAAGATACTTCCAGCTGAAGCTACGAAAGTCGAGAAGCCATGCCTGGTTTCACCACGGTCGTGACGGGTCAACACGAGCAAGAGTCTCACGGTGTCCACACGACCGCTTCGCCGACGAAGTCTTCAAATGCGTCACCGGTGAACAAGCGCACCAGCGGTGGTGGAGCGAATATCGGCAACTTGCTACTCCACCCGCCGGCGAAGGATAACAAGGACCAACACCACCAGCACCGGAACTCCGAATTTCACAATAATCTAGGCGGTGGCAATATTGCCTCCTCCCCGACCAAGTCCTCCTGGGCGGTCTCAAACATTCTCCCACGATGGCTGTACTCACCGCGACGAAAAAGCGAGAGCAACTCTCAAGTACACAGCTTGGAGCAGCTGCGAAGCGCGATTCAGGCGAAAAACTCCAATTTTTCACTCGACTCCTTCGACCTGCGGGAAACCGTCGGCACGGGAACGTTTGGCCGGGTGCGGGTGGTCAAGCTGAAAAACTCAAAGTTTCGTGCGCCGTTCGCGCTGAAGATCATGAAGAAGTCGGAAGTGATAAACTTACGCCAAGTGGAACACATCCGGTCGGAGAAAGAGATTCTGCAGACTTTGCAGCACCCATTCATCGTCAACATGTTCGCCACTTTCCAGGACGTAAAGCGCTTATTCCTGATCTTGGAGTTTGTCAACGGTGGGGAATTGTTTGCCCTGCTGCGGAAAGCAGGCAGGCTGCCGCCGGACCATGTGAAGTTTTACGTCGGCGAAATCGCGCTTGCGTTTAAGTACTTATTTTGCTACGATCGCCAAAACATAATTATTCTGAAGAAGACAACAAATGTCTTAATTCCACCTTGCAGCAGCATGTGAATGACAATGTCAATGGCTGCTTGTTGTTTTTCCGGTACAAATACTAGCTTTAAAACTTACCTACCGGCTATTGCAACTACACCAGCTACATGCACAGTGTGATGGTAATCTACCGGGACCTAAAGCCGGAGAACCTGCTTCTCGACTGCCAGGGGCACATCAAGATCACCGACTTCGGGTTTGCAAAACACGTCGAGGACCTCACGTGGACCCTCTGCGGCACACCGGAGTACCTTGCCCCCGAAGTTATTCAGTCCAAAGGCCACGGGCGAGCGGTGGACTGGTGGGCACTCGGCGTTCTGCTCTTCGAGTTGCTCGCAGGGTAACAAGGACGAGCTGGAGTTTTTTGTCTATGCTGCTTGTTTGGACATTCATATCAGTCATGTTCATTATACAAACGCTTGCTCATTCGATTGCTTTTCTTTGTGCGACTGGGGCAGGTGATCTGGGTGTTACTTAATCCACCTACCACTGCGTCAAAAAATGGAAGTATCGTCAAACTGAGGTACCCGCCCTTTTACGACGACAACCCCATGGGGATTTACCAGAAAGTGGTCGCCGGAAAGTTTTCCACGCCGAAGCACATTGACGTCAAAGCCCGAGATCTCATCAAGCGCTTCCTGACGACAGAAAGGACAAAGCGGATAGGGTACCACGGCTTTTATTTGCTTTGTAGATCACAAGAATTGAAGTAATAGAACTAGAAGACCCAAAGCGCTTCGACGCTTCTAGATCTGTGTCTTGCAGCAGGTGCTTGGTCTTTGATAGTAGTTCTTTGCGATAGCAAGATCTTGGCCAATCGACCCCTTCCCCTAATGGATTCTTTTTCTTCAGATGCCTCGCCGGCGGCTTTTCCGACATTCGGGAACACAAGTGGTTTCAGAAGAGCTGGAGCTGGGAAGCGCTAGCTATGAAAGCCTCAGAATGGAAATCCTCAAAGTGGAAATAATTTGTGATGCATGAAATGCAAGGCAAAAGAGACTGCACTGCAGAGGACACAATGGAGAGCGACTCTTGTCCTGCTAGGGGTTCAGAATTGGGCTGCTGATTAGCACGAGAGAAGGGCACCCCTTTGCCTAGCTAGCATGACAGACATCCTTTGAGTGCCCAGGAAATTTGTCATGCGCCGACTAGAAATGGCGCTTCGACTGGAGTCGTTTTTTTGCATTACAAATTATTTCCACTTTGAGGATTTTCAACCTGAGGCTTTCATACTAGCGGCGAAGCAGGTGCCGCCGCCGTTCACGCCCGCGATCATATGCATTGCAAAAGTATCGTACTCGTACTGATTGCAGTTATGCATTACAAATCTAGTTGCTAAGGTAAATCAGCATTACAAATTTAATTTGTAGTGCTGAGCCAATTTGTATTGCCATTTATACTAGTACGATACTTTTGCACAGCATAGATCAAATCTAACGACGATACCAGCATGTTTCAGAGCTACCCCGAGTCAACAGAGTCGTCGTGTCCGAAAATAGACAAGAACGATCAAAAGCTTTTCGAGGGGTTTTGAGTTTTTGCAAAATGTTAATATCATGACGACATGTACAATCGTAAGTCGACGTAGTCGTAGCCCTAGCCGTAGGCTCTTCGAATGTCAAGTATGTGGAGATGGAAAATCTTCGCATTGACCACTATCACGTAATTCTAATCCTATTGACAAAGAACATAGATTTGGGCCATCAAGAACGAAGGCGTCGAGATGCACATATTAAAGTGTCAGAGATTCCGTCCACTTCTATTTCGTTTCGAGAATATACCATTGCAAGCTCCAATTCGTTCCACCAGTGAGGAAACCGCGTATGTGTATGTCGTCGTAAAAATCGTATACGTATTTGAATAACGTAAAAAACGTCGGGCTTAATGATACATAGTCTCACACCTGTCGCGAGGCTGTAGTCAGCTTCATCCGATACCTGTGACGAAATGCCAGAGCTCACTGCTCACGCAGTTGTCGAATTTCAACTTTTTTTCTTTGACCACGGACCCGTCCGGCACCGTAGCGGATGGGGATGCGCAGTGGTGCCTTGTGTGTAGACACGAAGTGAGTGTCAGTGTTCAGCGTTCGCATGCGATCGAGTTAGAGAGGAACGGAGAGTTAGTCTTACGCTTACCACTTAGGACGGAAAGGAAAGGAACGTGAACAGCAAAACCAAAAGATAGTCGCAATTTCGAAGTCGACTGATGAGCGCAAAGCCAAAGACGCCAAAAAACCTGACAACAAAAAGGCTGAGTTGACTTCAGGAGCGGAAAGATGCCGACAAAAAAAGTGCTTCGTAGTTTTTCGCGTCTATTCGTTGATCGCAAGACCCTGTTGCATTTTGTTTTGGCACAAATTCTGCTAGCGATTGCGAATGTGAGTACGAGTTTCGCCACGGGGTTTGTATTTCTCGCGACGGAATATCTGGGCCCGTTTTTTTGCGTCTCTGTTGTACTTCTTCCGTGCAGTACTTCATTCAAATTTGGTTAGAAATAAAACACCCCGCGCATCATATTAACATCGCGTCAAGAGCCGTCATCTGATGCCTACTGTCGCAAGTGGGCCAGGCGGGCCTCCGAACTTAGCGCGACCATCGGCATTCCAAAAAAAGGACGGCTTCTACGCGGGACAAAGCGTCGAGTACTACTCGAAAAGCGCGGGAGGTACCGACGCTAAATAAGCAGTTTGATGCATGAAACACTTCAAGGACTAGGTATTCATTGCACTAACCGTAACCGGCAGTGCCGGTTACGGTTAGTGCAATGAATACCTCGATTTGTCAAAGTCCGTCGTGTTATAAAAATCAAAATTATCATGACGCACCAACTACAGGTAAGTGGATCGGGTGTGTAGTCCGGGAGGTCCAGACAGATGGCACGTTGGTTCTCAACTATCCCGACGGCACGATCCTGAAGGAGGGCGCGGATCCCAGCCAGGTGAGGAAAGTACCTGGTAATGGTAAGGACAACATCAGCGACAACATCCCGGCCGCTTCCCACCTCGGCGGCGGCAACAAAGTCGAGCCTATCGTCCTCGGCGGCAACAATGCTCCCGGTAATAAACCGAATCCGGGCGGCGGGGGTGCCGGTGGTGGAATTGGTGCCAGGCCGCGGAGAGAGAGCAACTTTGGCAACAATAACCTCGGAGGGAACAACAATAACAACAATCGCCTCGGCGGGAACAACAACCCCTCGGGACCCTCGCGCGGCGGTGTGAACAACAACGGACCCGGCGCTGGTGCGAGAAGGCCAACGACCCACGCGGGAGGCGGAGGTGCGAACAACCGCGCCGGAAACCTCGGGGACAATAAACGGGGCCTGGATGAGACCTGGAATGCCCAGAAAGTGTACGTCGGCGACCGGGCGAAAATTCGCGAAACGGGCCGGGCCGGAGACGTCATGTTCGTGGGGCGAATAAATTCCTTCGGGACGGGACTGGTATGATATAAATGAACAAGAACCTAGAACGCCGGTCCTCTACTACGAAGATATTAACATTCGTATTATAAGCAAATGTACGAAATAAATAATTTTTCCAGGGGGCTCCTGCTGCAACAAGAACAACATACACGGCATTTGCCACATCCTAATCTGACCGCGTTCATGTCTTTCACTTCTTTGATCTAGGTGTACATGATTTAGACACTTGCACTTGCTCACGTAGTTAACGCAGAACTCCATCAAACAATCTCCAACCAGGTCGTTGGCCTGAAACTGGACGAAAAGCGACGAACTTCTGAGTGCGACGGCCGACACGGATCGGAGCGCTACTTTCGGTGTCCGCCGGGCTACGGCGTGTTTCTCTCCATCGACGAAGTAGAGGTGTCGCAGAAGGGCACGGAGAAGGACTCGGCTGCGTCGCTGGAGAACTGTCGGATGGTGTTCGAGGCACCGGTTGGCGGTTCAGGAAACAACAATAAACAGGAGCTCGACCTGGAAAAGGAACTCGAAAAGTTTTACGACGCGGAAGGAATCAAGGCACAGCTCCGGCGCGTGAAGCGATGGGTCGAGGTAAGTTTTCCCAGTCGTCCTCTCTTTCGAACATTTATTTGAGTTTCCTAGAGAGGCATGTTGATGTTGAATGTTCATCTGTTCAGGGTTACTTATCACGAAGCAAAATGCATGAACTAGGTCCAGCGCAAGCGATCCGAGGCTGCCAACCAGCAGCAGGACGGAAGCAACGACATTGGCCTAAAGCCGTTGACCTTTCTCTTCCGCGGGCAGCTCGGCACGGGAAAAACGACTATCGCGAGGCACTTGACACACCTGCTCCGCGACTTGGGCGTGATCAACCGCGGCCAGTTGATAGAGACCTCGAGGAAGGAGCTCACCGCCAGCTACGGCGAAGGGGACAAAACGGTTACGAAAGTCTGGAAGGTATCCTGAGTAAAAACGTACCCACACCAGAGTCAGAATGGGGATTTTGCAACACAAACCTAGGAGTTTTGTGAGTCACGCATGACAAGTTGCGCTCTGCAGTGTAGTGCAGGTTAGCAAGTGCAGCCGCGTCACAGATTCATCTGCTCATCCTGTTCACAGCATCACAAATTCCAAAACACGACTGGAAATGGCTCTCATGCGGATGCGCATTACAAGTCTTCCTGTCTTTGCAAATCTGCATTACAACTCTGGCGTGGGTACGTTTTTACTCAGGATAGAAGGCGGCACTGGGCGGCGTGCTCTTCATTGACGACATCGGCCAGGCGGCGGATGAGAAGGTACGGAAATAATTATTACTTTTCGCTGTAATAGTAATACGCACTACCACGGGTGCTGCAAATCGAAGCCAGCATTCGCACTTCTTGTTTCAAGGAAAAATCAAATAAAAATATTTGACGGTGCACGAGGCATCCAAATCGATAATCGATAATGCTTGTTCTTATGCCTAAACTGCGTTACCTCACCTCCTGCACCTACAGAACGACCGCAGCGGCGGCCACACGCTCGAGGAAGCTTTGTACTCTATCATGAAGCACTGGGACCAAATTTCCCGCTCTTTCACAACTTGGCCCCAGCCGATGTGTCTGATTCTGAGCTACCCGCAGAACGCGTCTTTGCCGGAGCGACTGCAGCCGATACAGAACGAAGCGCGCAGCTTTGACTTCGACGACTACAACGAGGAGTGCATAGCGCACATCCTGGAGGCAAACATCAAAGCGAGAAACTTCAGCTCCACAAACATAAAGTCGGAGTCGCTGCTAAAGTACGTTAAGCCTGATGCTGATTCTTGGTTTTTGATTTTTTTTGAAAGTAGGCATGAAGGCTGAAAAAAAACCAAGCAGAGCCAAAGATAGAACGCATCAACACTGGGCGAACGTAGACGAGGAAATAAATAGTGACTGCAAGAAATAAAATGATCAACGTCAACCACTACAGCGTCGTGCGCGGGGCCGTGGCGCGCGGGATGGGGCAAGAGTTTCCCAACGCGTTGCTTGCCGAGAAGTTGCTGAATGATGCAATCCAGAAGCAAACGGAAAGGGTTTGGATGAAAGACACCATGAGCTGGGAGGGCTTGACCACCCTTTGCGAAGACGACTTTCTCACCGAGCACAAGGGCCAACAAGAGCAAAGGGATGCACTTGGTAAGAAATGGACATGTTGTGCGGCATACTGATAGATGAGGCTTTTCAGTTGCGTTGACCCGCTTGGATTCATCCAAGAAAGTCTCTACGTACAGGAATGAAATTTTCATACAGGCACTGTGTCTTCTTCGCTTTTTTTTGGAAGAATCTGGGGAAAAATCCCCAGATGCATTCGGCTTTAGTCGCGATATTTGCTTGCCGTTCCGTCGCGATCCACGTTCGAAAGTCTTTTCTTTTGATTTTCAACAAAAATTTTCGTAGGCGCCAAAAATGCAAGTTTCTCCTGCTGTTTTATGCCCAGATGCATTTTTTTGCAGCGGCGCATCTGGGGAGTTGTTGCACACCGTGCCATCGGTCTCTGGTTTTTGGCGGATTTTTTGTAATTTTGGTCAAAAAATGGCATTGCTTTGGCTTAAGAACAGACTCCGCTCCTGTCTAACTGCAAAATATATTGCTCCTTTTGGCTGAATCTGGGGAGAAATCCCCAGTCCCTCCCCAGATGCGCTCAGCCACTTTCGGGATGCTTGCTTGCCATACCCTCGCGATTCACGATCGCAAGTCTTATGGTTCGACTTTCATGAAAAACTGGCGCGAGTACAAAAAAACCAAGTTTCTCATGGTGTTTCTTCCCCAGATGCAATTTTCGTTTGGGGCGCATCTGGGGAGATTTTTCACACCGTGCCGTCGGTCTTTGGCTTTTGGCGGATTTTTTGTAATTTTGGTCAAAAAGTGGCCTTTTTTTGGGGTGAAAACAGATTTCGCTCCTGTCTAGCTGCAAAAGATGTCGCTTCTTTTGGCTGAATCTGGGGAGAAATCCCCAGACCCTCCCCAGATGCGCTCAGCCACTTTCGGGATACTTGCTTTCCATACCCCCGTGATTCACGATCGCAAGTCTTATGGTTCGACTTTCATGAAAAACTGGCGCGAATACAAAAAAAAACAAGTTTCTCATGGTGTTTCGTCCCCAGATGCAATTTTCGTCTGGGGCGCATCTGGGGAGATTTTGCACACCGTGCCGTCGGTCTTTGGTTTTTGGCGGATTTTTTGTAATTTCGGTCAAAAAATGGCATCGCTTTGGGTTGAGAACGGATTTCGCTCTTGTCTAGCTGCAAAAGATGTCGCTTCTTTTGGCTGAATCTGGGGAGAAATCCCCAGACTCTCCCCAGATGCGCTCAGCCACTTTCGGGATATTTGCTTGCCATACCCTCGTGATTCACGATCGCAAGTCTTATGGTTCGACTTTCATGAAAAACTGGCGCGAGTACAAAAAAAAACAAGTTTGTCATGGTGTTTCGTCCCCAGATCAACCTTTCGCAATTTTAACGAAAACGCAACACAGCGAAACTCGAAAAGATTGTTGGGCTTTCGGAAGTGAAGAGCTTCGTGAAATCTTTGCACGCGCAGTTGTCTGTGGAAATGCAGCGCAGACTAGCGGGCATTAATGCCGGGACCGCCAGTCACACCCTCCACATGATCTTCACCGGTAGCCCGGGAACGGGAAAGACCACCGTTGCCCGTGTGATCGCGGAGTTGCTACGCTCGCTGGGTTATGCATTGCAAAAGTACCGCATTAGGATTAGTATGAATCGCGACCCTTTTCATGCAGGCTCAGACAAAAAGAGAAAAAAGAAAAACGCATCTGTCATGCCGGCCTGCGATTTAGTACGAGTGCGACACTTTTGCAGGGGATATGGGTCTGTTGCGCAAGGGACACCTCATCGAAGCCGACCGGTCTAGCCTAGTCGCGGGCTACAGCGGACAGACGGCGCTGAAGACAAAAGTACTTACTTTATTTTTATGAACATCAAAAAGATATCCGACCGTGACTCTCTTGCGTGAAGCCTAAAAGACTGTTGTACTGCACAAGAATACCAGCACTAGGAGCCAAGAGTCACTGGGTGTTGTAAAAAAAAACTATTGTTCTTTCCGCGGTCGTGCTCTTTCCCCCGTGCAGTTTCTTGCAGTTCTCCACTCACGTTGGTTTTGTTCCATTGTCAATATTCAGTTCTGGGCGGGCGTACTTACAAATTCTTTTTCTTCCGCAATCGGATCAGGCCGTCGTCGAGTCCGCGCTTGGTGGGGTGCTCTTCATCGACGAAGCGTATGCCTTGGTGCAGGGCGACGGGCGCGATTCCTTCGGGCATGAGGCCCTGGACACCCTGATCAAGATGACCGAGGATCACCGGGGGAACTTGGTAGTCATCCTCTATCCTGAGTAAAAACGTCCCCACCCCAGAGTTGTCATGCAGATTTGCAATGACAGGAACATTTGTGATGCGTATCCCCATGATAGGCATTTGCAATCGTGTTTTGGTATTTGTAATGCTGTAAACAGGATCAGCACATGGATTTGTAATGCGGCTGTCCTTTCCAACCTGCACTGCACTACGTACTGCAACTTGTCATGCGTGACTGCCAAAGCTTCTGGATTTGTGTTGCGAGAGCCCCATCTTGACTCTGGTGTGGGGACGTTTTTACTTAGGATATCCTCGCGGGCTACATCAAGGAGATGCAGCGACTCCTGGACAGCAACCCGGGACTCTGCTCGCGGTTCCCGAACAAGCTGAACTTCGAAAACTACACGCTGGACGAGATGTTTGAAATCGGGGAGTTATGGATTGCAAATATGTCTGGGTCTGGAAGAAGACAAACTTGTGATGCGCATTTCAGAACACAGAAAAATCTCTCATGCATAGGTAGCAAAAGCTGCCCCCCACTTTCTGTCACCAAAGTGGGGGACTTGTCATGCGGATTCGGCATTTTTGCGGAAGCTTCTCGAGACCTGTGATGCTAGAGCTTCCATGCCAGACCTTCTGCGTCATGCAAACACAGCATGACTCTTCCAGACCCAGACACTTTTACACTTGATGGGAGTCCATGCTGCTCGCAGACAACTTGAAGCTCTACGGCGGGATCCAGGACAAGGCCGGACTCGCCTTTATGGGGTTCTCAAACGTTACATTCTCAACTGTTACATGAATTTGTAATGCAAGAACGGCGAAAGTGAAAGGGGGAAGATTTATTTTGCGCCTTTTGCATTACAGACTTGGCACAGATTTAGATGCTGTTTAGCCCTTCGGATATTTGTGATGCGAAACAGCTTAATCACGACGATCTTAGTGGTAAAATTGCATGACAAATCATGTAACAGTTGAGAATGTAACAGTTGAAAACGCCATAGCCTTCAAGCAGAAGCTCCAGAGTCTCGGCGCGAACCACGGCAACGGCCGGAGCGTGCGCAACATACTGGAGGAAGCGAAGCGAAACATGGCGGTGCGACTCACCATATGCATTGCAAAAGTATCGTACTCGTACTAATCGCATTTATGCATTAGCATTACAAATTCTATTGTTAAGGTAGATCCGCATGACAAATTTTACTTCTCATGCTGAGGAAGTTTGTATTGCAACTTATACTAGTGCGAAACTTTTGCAGTTCATACACCACCATGAAGCGCCCAACGGCGAACGACCTAGTCACGCTCACCGCCGACGATTTTCAGTAAGGCAGTCGTTTTCACCTACTGATTCTGGCCCATCTATCAGAAACAGAATGCTATTGTGCTTTCCTGGAATAAATCGATTGCCGGTTCGGTTCCAGGGCGGCTACTGATGCGATGCTGCCGTTGAACTCTGCCGCGCTCTAATCTTCTATAACTCTTGGTTTCGTTTTTATACTTGCTTTTGGTCTTGCTAATGATAAATCAATAGGCAGCATAAACTGAAGACGCTCATTGTGAACAGAGAACTTGAACTGTATCTGTAAGTAACCAATTTACACCAGAACTGTATTATCGAATGAACTTTTCATCCTTCTAAAAGCACACTGAGTATTTTTGTACTTATTGGTCTGATGAAGATGATGTACAGCGAGAGGGAGAGCGACCGCGTCCTGCGCACGCCACGAAGGAGCGGGATGCGCAAGCGCTCCATATTCCTTTTGAACAGGTTTGCGTTTTATTTTGATGACACTCACACTGTACTTTTTTCCCAGCAAAAACGATTGCACTGTGTCAGCCTACGAAGCCACCAAGAAATTGTACCTTAAAACGACAGACAGAGACACAGCAGACAGTAGAGTACGTCTATACTGATGAAACTTTTTCTTGACATTGTCAATTATAAGATTTTGCGATAAGCTTTTCCGTTCTGATCAATTAGCTATCGACTCATCACTCAACGGCATTTTTCTTTGTGTTTTGAGGAGCAGACAAGCTGCTTGAAAAGAGGCCACCGCTGTCTCCCAGTGACGAAACGAAAGTGTGAACTTCATCTATGAACTTTTTTAGCCGCAGTGTTGCTCCTGCATGCGCCAGAAACGAAAAATTTTCAAACAAGCACAGAAACTGAAACAGTCGCGGCGGGCTCGCTTCTCGCAGTGACGTCATGGATTGCCATCCTGGTCCCGCAAGCGAATCAGAGATTTCATGAGAGCTGCCTCGAATCGTGTATCTTTCTATCTATCATGTTCTTTCTCAGCCCTAGCAAGAGCAAGCCTCAACACGGAGGATCTGTCAGCTTGGAGGTGGGTCATGGAGCCCCCGCCAAGTGTAAGTACCTTTCTGTGTTTTTCTTTGCCAGCTCTTTGAGGAACCGAAGAAGAACAAGATCACAACAGTTTTAGTGGCTTTGGCTGCACGAGCTCTCCCTCGCTTTGACCGCTCTATCACGAGTGCTTCTGCCAAGAAACGATTCGGATCTTTGTCTCACCATCGTACTGCTGTTAGAGCGGCATCTACATTTTTTGCTCGGACTGCTCCTGCTGTGGGATATTCTCTTTTTTTTTTGAGAACGTCTTTCGCAGACCTCTTGCGCCCCGGCCACGGAGCAGGAGCATGCAGTGCCAAAGGACTTTGCTACTGAGGCAGTCTTCTACACGTTTTTCCCTTGCCGTCTCGAACTACACCAATCGGGCCGGGTTCACGCCTTCAAGCTCCAGCTCCTCGCACGTTTATTCCAAGCCGAAAGGCAAGAGCACAGCTCGGGGCCTGTCTTCACCAGAAATAAAGCGCCTGGTGCCACTGACGCCAAAGAGCACAGATCATGACACGATACGTTTGTCCAGTAACGACATCAAGGATGTTGCGGGCGGCCTGGCCAAGGGTTACTACAGCCCGTATTACGACCGTTCCGCAGCTAGCACCTACAACTTCGGCCGTCAACGCCGCTTTTTCGCCAGATGGCGACCTATGAAATGCAAATATGTCTGGGTCTGGAAGAATGCAAGACTTGTGATGCAGGTTTTCCATGACCCATGAGGTCTGGAATGCGAGACCCAGCATGACAGATTCTTTGAGGTCTCTATCATGCCTTTCCTGCATGAGAAACCCCCTCTCCACTTAGTCAAAAGCGGACAGCTTTTGGTACTAACGCAACACAGATCTTTCCATCATTCAGATTTAGCATGACGAGTTCTAATCTTCCAGACCCAGACACTTTTGCAGTTGATGCGACCCTTCATCAAGCCAATCAATGGTTCCATCGCGGAGGCGAAATATGGAAAGGACAAGCAGGACAAACGCGTCGCTGTATCCTACGAAAAAACTGTTTCACTGTGAACTTGTGATGCATGGAATGGAACACAAAACTATTTTTCTTGCTACACATGCAAGACATTGGATTTTTAAGAGTGTTTTCCCTTGGGAAGTGCGCATGACAAATTTTCTGTGCCATGTGTAACAAACTTGTGATGCAGATCATGCAAAATCATCACAGTGAAACAGTTTTTTCCTGCGATACGCTGAGACGCTGCAGCAAACGGGGCTGGAAGACACGCAAAGAGAGCAGAAAGAGAAGGAGGATATGCAATGCAAAAGCATCGTACTAGTATAAATTGCATTACAAGTTTGCTCAGCATGACAAATGCAATTTGTAATGCTGTTTTACGTTAGGAAGAAAATTTGTCATGCATATTTGCAATTAGGAATTAGTACGAGTACGATACTTTTGCAGTTCATAGAGGACCGGGACAAGCAAATGGAGCTCATGTACACGCGCAAGACCGCTCTCCTCGGCAACACGCCCTACATGTCCCTCCGCTACGTCCAAGCCTTCCACGCCGGAAAACAGGCCGCAGCGCAGCAAATGACATCATCAAGCGAGGACCCTCTTCAGGGTCAACAGCCAGACCAAGAGCTTCTGACTGAGCCCATCCTCCTGCGGCTGCGCCTGGATGTGGATCTGACCCGCGAGGCGGTCCGGGGCACTTGCGTGCTCCCGTTTGGTCTGCAGACGAAGACGCGGCTCCTCGCGTTTTGCCCGGACCACCAAGCCGCGGAGATGCGGCAACTCGGGGCGGACTTCGCCGGCATTACGGACCTGATCAAGCGGATCGAGAAGGGCTGGCTCGGTTTCGACCGGTGCATCGCGACGCAGGACATCATGAAGCGGGTGCTGCCGGTGGCGAAAATTCTCGGGCCGAAACGGCTGATGCCCAGCCCCCGGTCAGGCACGGTCGTGGAAGATTTGCGTTCCGCAATCAAGGAGACGAAGGGCGGAGGGCTGATCGAGTACCGCGCCGAGCAGTCGAAGGACGAGCACAACAAGTGCGAGGTGGAGATCACCGTGGGCGATACGACGTTTGCGAACCAGATATCAAGTGCAAAAATGTCTGGGTCTGGAAGAATGTATGTTTGTCATGCTTGTCTGGCATGACTCTCAAATCTGTCATGCACGTTACCCAAGAGCTCCATTTTTCTGTGATGCAGAAACGCAGTTTGTCATGCAGAATAGGCAACACCTAGAAGCTCAGAAGCTTGTCATGCTGAGCCAGCACTTGTGGCCTCATCATGAAACGCCACCCAGCATCACAAGTTTCCAGACCCAGACATATTTCCACTGGATGCCAGATGGTCCTGGACAATGTGAAATTTTTCGTCGCGCATTTGCTGAAGAACCGGATGAAGATCGGGAACAAAATCACAAAGATCGGCGGGAACGGCAGCGGCACCGGAGGGACCAACATGATCAAAGACGTGCGGAAAAACGATGGTGCGAGTGCTGGCAAGAAAACGTCGGCACTGTACATCACACGGGCTCATATCAAAACGGCAACCGGCCCGATAGTGATTTTGAAGCCGGAGGACGTGCTGCCAAGTAGCAGCGGGTATTTCAGATAGGGTTTAGTGGCAACACTGACGATACCGCTCTGCATCATGCAACGTGTGGAGGTATCTTCTGACGAATATTTATCATAGATAAGGAAAATGCGTCATACCGTCCACGGTGCGAGCTGTTCTGTCGTGTGCTTGGCGTCAGTTGTTGTTATTTGGCACACCAGGTGGAGGCTTGAGCCCTGCCGTTTCCATTTTGCGTCTAGCCCCTCGTCTACCAAGATATTTTTCACTTTTGAATGTGACTACGTTACTTTTTTTTTGTCACAACTCGAGAAGGATGCTACTACATTTCCATCCGATATCGACTTCTAGATATCTAATCCACACTTCTGGATCCACTCTTCATTCGGTTCTGAATAAATGAACTCTTGATCTGATAGGACAAAGTCGGTTGTTGTATTTGTTCAATATCAATTTCAATGTATTGCGTTATTTTTCTAGTACGGCAGTGAGTGTTGAAAGTAGAATAGCACCGCTGCGGCAATTTGTCATCTTTTATCTGAATTTTCGCTTATTTTCGGTTTCCCCCTAGAGCTAGACTCTTTCTGTTTCTCAGCCTCAAAAGATTCTTCGAGCCACCTCTTCTGTTCCTTGCATACTTCCATTTCTGGACCCATCTTCAAAATGCCCGAGGACCGTGTTTACAACTTTAGCGCAGGGCCGTGCATTTTGCCGGTCGAGGTGCTGGAGGAGTGCAAGGGCGACATGCTGAATTTCAAGAAGTCCGGCATGGGGGTTATGGAGATGAGCCACAGGAGTAAGGACTTTGTCAACATCTACAACGAGACAGAAAAGAACCTCCGTGATGTGCTTGCGATTCCAGACCACTACAAGGTCCTGTTCGCACAAGGTAAATAAAGAAGTTGTTTTAGAGGTGCATGCAAAAAACAGGAAGAACCCATGACGATGGATGAAAATACCAGCATCGAAACGTCATATTACTTTTTATACGACGTATGTGTCAACAAAATGTGATTGGAATTTCACTTCTCTCGCAACGCTACTAGTAGTACACCACCTCGACAGGCGGCGCCTCCTTGCAGTTTGCCAGCGTGCCTTTGAATTTTTTTGGTGGTGGCAAAACTAACGGGGACTACGCAGTGACGGGGCAGTGGGGGGAGAAGGCCGTCAAGGAGTGCGGAAAGTACGGAACGGGAACTGCGGTGTGCAACACCAAACCGCAGAAGTTCACACATATACCACCCGTGGCAGAATGGAAGATGTCGGACCCGGAGACAACGGCATTCCTCCACTACAGTAGAAATCGCACAGTGATATTGAATTTCCATCGCATTATATTGATGTCAGGGCATGTGGTGACATGAGCTTTATCTACTTCCTCCTTTTATTGCGTTCCGAAATGGATGACTGGCACTGGCCTCGTCATTCGAAAACGATTTGCAAAACTCGCAACTCTTTTTGCAAAACAGCCGACAACGAGACGGTGAACGGGGTGGAGTTTACCGCGCCACCTGAGATCGGCACCGGGGTACCCCTTGTGGCCGACATGAGTTCCAACTTCTGCACGAGGCCAATCGATGTTGGAAAGGTAAAAAACATGAAATATAGAAGTGCCTACAGATGAAGAAGCTGAAGCACATTTACAGACTGAGTCTATCCTCGTAGGCATGATAACTATATTTGCCGATATCGACCTCGACGTCGTGCTCGTGCATGCAACACAGAGCAGTTGATATTTCGACAACTTGAAATATAACACTACACTTGCAGCACGCTATGATATATGCGGGCGCGCAGAAAAACGCGGGGATAGCGGGAAACACCATCTGCATGGTGGACGAGAAGTACATGAGCCAGGAGATGAAAATCTGTCCCTCGGTGTGCAGTTGGAAGACCCAGGCCGGTGCGGATGGGATGTACAACACGCCACCCTGCTACGCAATCTACGTTACTGGTGTGTATCTGAAATACACCAAAGAGAAGGGTGGAGTCAGCTTCTGGGCGGAGCAGTGCGCGAAAAAGAGCGGCATGATATACGATGTAAGCAAAAATCAAAGTTTTTCTGTGAGGACCCTTCTTGCGTTCTACTTACTTTGCAGGACCGTGGTCGGTCGGTACTCAGTTGGAGAACCTCCTGTGTGACCACCTGCGAAGCAGGTGGCGCTCGTCGAGTAGTTGCTTCTCATGATCATGAAGAATGTGAGTATTTGATGTGCTTGTGCATGCTTACAAAAATATATTCCCTACTAGGTGATTGATGGTAGCAGCGACTACTACACGTGTCCGGTTCAGAAGGATTCCCGGTCTAGGTGCAACCTGCCCTTCCAGATTGGCGGCGGCAACGATGCGTTGGAGAAAAAATTTCTCGAGGAAGCGAAAAAAATCAACCTGTATACCCTGGCGGGGCACCGCACCGTGGGCGGAATTCGTGCGAGCTTGTACAACGGGATGCCTATGAAGGGGGTGGAAACGCTTCAGGACTTCATGAAAAGCTTCATGGAAGAAAATCCGCTGTGAATTTTCCCTTAGCTTCATCGCGCCATGAACATGGTCGACTAGTGGGACTTGCAAGCGACAATATCACAGTTTTGACGACATTTTGGAAATCAGCCTACAACTTTTGAATCTTCCTATTGACAAAAATGAACAGTAATATGCTATGTTTTGCCCTCCCTGGCGCACGAGTCGTGGTTCTTAGAACTCTGTCTGCAGGATGATGCGACGTAGCGATAAGAGGTGAGTGGAGATGACTTTGACTCCTCTTGCTCTTGGTCCAATTTTCAAGAACGTTAACGACTTTTTCAATGCCAGAAATACATCAGGGTTTATCTCTCAGCACCATGAGCTGAACCTTGAATGAGCGGAAAAAACACGGGGCTGCGGCTCCGCGCATTCAAAACCTATCGAGCGGTTTTCTCGAAAATGTATAGTACTACTTCACTTCTATATGCCAGTTGACTGCACCACGAGACTCCAAGCACTGCTTGCCAAAACCCTCGGTCGCCGTCTTATGTAGGTACCCAAGCAGTAGTGCAGCACTTTTTAAAGAGCGTTTTGTGGTGTTCCAAGATTCGGAGACAGTCCCTGCTTCGTGTAACAGAGAAAAATCAAAAAAAGATCTTTTGATGACGACGACGAGGAGAGAGAGACGAAGCGCTTTCCACATGATTCACAGACAGTGACTTTAATCTTCTACTTTTCTACGATAATTGGGTTCTGGTCCGTTATTTTCTCTTTGTTTGCGTTCCAATACAGATCGTCATTGTTCAAAACTAAAACAACAGGCTCCCATGACTTTGTTCCCCTTTGGAAAGAGCTTTACCCCAGGTTGATCTTCAATTTTCTTTTTGTTTTTCTGATCATCTTCCTCGTCTTTCTGAGTATTTGTTTTTTTTTGCAGTCGTTGTTTTACGCAACATTGCTATTGCTTCTAGTTCTTCCAGTGGGCGGTAATTTAGGTACTTGATCTAATAAATGCATGCCCGGGTAGTAGCAGGCTAGCGAGCCTGTGAGCCTAGGCTGAGGCTGGACGGGCGATATTTTATTTATGTGGTCCAAATACCAAGATGAGTTAATCCATTTAAATGAATTATTTTTTTTTTGCAGCTGCAGAACCTGGAGGCGCGACTTGATATGCTCAGCGGTTGACATCATTGTTTGGGGTTGTGGTCCTTTGCTTCTGTTGGTGTTTTGCCCGGCCTGCACAAGCTCCCTCGCAGATGATGTGATGGCTGCTGGAGCTGCATGCTGACGCGACGGAGACTCGCGTTTTCTCCAGACGAAAACCATCCCCGGAAAAACAGGGCCCCACGCACCGAGTAAAATTTGGCCTGATTCAAACCTGGCCCTTGAGTCGGATTTAATTTTGGCCCAGCAGGGGCGGAATCAATTCGAATTAAATCGAAAAAAAAATATCCCAGGAGGGGGAATTAAAAATAATTAATTTCCGGGTCCGGCCCCGCGGGCTGGGTCAGGATTTCATGTGTGATTTCCCTGTCAAATTTTTTGGGCGCGTTTTTTTTCGATTAATTCGTTTAATTCGTTTTTTTCCGGGCGGGAAAAACGAATTTTTTTCCCGCCCAGTGAGATTTTTTTATTTTTCCCCCCCCGTGGGCCCCGGGGTGAGGCCTGTGGTGGCGGATTTAATTCAGGCCCGAATTAATTCTGTTTGGGCCATTGGCTTGCGGCTTTTCTCGCCGAGCCGCATTCTTGTGTGAAAGCGTAAGAAGCGACCTCCCCTACTCGGCGCTCGCGCCCAGTAAAAAACTCAGCTGGAGATCCGGCGCACAAGCAAATGTATGTCGGAGACGCGTCCGCTCGTTGACTACTTCTCGGCGAATTGATCCCGTCCAACATATCTGCTGATCATTGTTGTCGGCGCCACGCTGCGCCCTCTGTTTGCAAATTTTCTTATTCATTCAATTCAAATAACTCATCTTGGTAATTTTTACCTCTTGATTTTATGTCTGTCCGAGCCTCGCCCTTTTCCGGTAGCGTAGCCGGGACCTGATGACTGTGAGGGTGAGCCTCTTCCCGTTCTGGGTTGAAGTTTATTTCCTCTCTCTCTTGTCCTCAGGGAGTAACGCCCCTGCCGTTGGTAGTAAGTTTGGTCCATCCGCCTCAGGAAAGTCTCTTTTATCCGCTTGTCGGAAAGTCTGGTCTCATCCGCTTTGCGGAAAGTTTGGTCCATCCGCCTCAGGAAAGTCTCTTTTATCCTCTTGTCGGAAAGTCTGGTCTCATCCGCTTTGCGGAAAGTTTGGTCTCATCCGCTTGGCGGAAAGTCTGGTCTCATCCGCTCTGTGGAAAGTTTGGTTATCCGCTTGTCGGAAAGTCTGGCCTCATCCGCTCTGCGGAAAGTTTGGTTATCCGCTTGTCGGAAATTCTGGTTTCTTCATCCGCTTTGCGGAAAGTTTGGTTTATCCGCTTGTCGGAAAGTTTGGTCTCACCCGCTTTGCGGAAAGTTTGGTTATCCGCTTGGCGGAAAGTCTGGTCTCATCCGCTCGGCGGAAATTTCTGGCTATAGATCCGCTTGGCGGAGAGTTTCGTCTCATCCGCGCGGCGGAATGTTTGGCGCAATCCGCTTTGCGGACAGTTTTGGGTATCTCTGGTTTATCCGTGGTGCGGACAGTGTTGGCAGCCCAGATTGTATTCTCGTTGGCGATAGCAGCGAGAGTACGGAATCATGCGGTCTCGCCTTGCTTTGGGAAGGAGGGTCGTTTGGCACTGGCGGTTCGAACCCGTTACCCTTGCGAACTTTTTCCCAAGCCAAGGCCCTTGGCTTTCTTTGGTCTTCTTATCCTTTGATCCTCTGATCCCATTGCAATGCGAGGCCGCAAGGCTATCGGTTTTTTTTTTGTCCGCTTTGAGCTGTCCACATCCACTTCGGGTGCATACCACTGGTCGGTCCGTCGTCATCGCTACGCCTTCGTCTATGGGGCGCACCGGTTCTCCCAAATTCATCGTCTGGCCGCAGGCGTCGCGCCGGGTTCTTTGGGTTGCTTCGGCGTACCGGCCTCCGCCGGTGGGGTAGGTGCTTCCAGGGCGCCTCCTCGTGCGACGCAGTGGGAGATGCTCCCATCGAGCGATCATCCATCGGGTGATCCTTCCGCCGTGACTGCATAAAATGCATGCCCGGGCAGTAGCAGGCTAGCGAGCCTGTGAGCCTAGGCTGAGGCTGGACGGGCGATATTTTATGTCTGTCCGAGCCTCGCCCTTTTCCGGTAGCCGGGACCTGATGACTGTGAGGGCGAGCCTCTTCCCGTTCTGGGTTGAAGTTTATTTGCCCACCCGCCCTCCCGGTTAGTTTTACGAGATGAGCCAGTGGTCTGGGTCGGTAGTTACTTCGGATGGGTCGCTGGGCCTCGCGCCGCTCCAATCTGTGTTGGGGTAGGACAGAGGTCGCAAGATATCTCCCACGGCGGGGGTAGGTGCTTCCAGGGCGCCTCCTCGTGCGACGCAGTGGGAGATGCTCCCATCGAGCGATCATCCATCGGGTGATCCTTCCGCCGTGACTGCATAAAATACAAAAGACGGAGTAAGTTTCTTTGCTCTGAGGATTTGCATTTCGGCTTCTTAGTTTTGTTTAGTTCTTCTTCGTCGCCGCGCGACCCGCTCTTCGGAATAGCACTTCACAAGGACTATTTTTTCTGGCAGGAAAAGAAATCACCTATATATAAAAATGAAGGCCGTATTGCATACCTCTTGCGTTTCTGCCGTCCTCGGGCAACTTGGCGGCTTGCAGATGCCTCCGCTGTGTACGTGATAGTGTTTCCCTATGTTCTTTTTTTCTCCACGAATCATCTTAACTATGTCGAACTTTCGCGATCCTGAAATCAATGTGAGTTCTCTTCTCAACATCTGTTTATTGCGGATATCAGCCTTTCGACTTATTTTATGAAAAACAAATTATACCAGCCGGCAGCCTAAGCACGCCTCCACCCTCCGCCGGGCCCATGGGAGTGCAAATGCCACCGGGTATGATGGGGGGCGGCGGGGCGGCACCCCCGCAAGGTAGACCCAGCATCGCAATCGGACCCATGCTATCCCCGAACGGGCAGCCAATCGGGGGGCAGGAGATGCCACAAGGGACGAACGTCGTCGCCAACGCTATGGCAGCCTCGAGTATGGGCGGCGGAGCGCCCGGATTGGTGGGAAACGCGGGGCAGATAGACCCGCTGCAAAAAATGATGAACGAAATGATGCAGAGCCCGGACCTAGACGGAAAGGTACTACCTACAGCTACAACCTGTAGCTGTTTCTGATAGATGTAGGTGGGAAAACTAAAGCAGCGAGACGTGCATGAAGTCTGGACTCACTCTGTGGGGTGTTGTGCTAATTTGAATTTCGCGTACGCTTTATAATTTACATGGACGCACAGAACGTGCTCCGATCTGCATGCCATGTTTTTCCACTTCTATCTAAGTACGATGTTGCTTCCGTTGTTTTTTTGCCATATGTTGATTCTAGTTCTACATCGTGCCTCCTGCACCTGTAAAAAAATCAGAACGTATAGCCATGGATGCTAGCAAACTTCAGGTCTGTGCCGGTGTTCCGCGGAAGCAGACGAATGTTGGCAAGGAGTGCTGGGAGAATATTTGGGCGTTCGTGGGGTGTAAGAAGGAGAACTCGCCGCAGTATGAACAGTGGCACGCAGCGCAGTCCTTGGAGATCCTGGCCATCGATGCCTTGCAGTGGGCGCACCTGGACGACCCAAAGCACAAGGACGCCTGCTACGGCAACAACGGACCCCCGGCGCCACAAGCCCCGCAGGGTCTGAGCGGCAGCATGCTTATGGGCGGTCAAGGTGGCGCACCGTCCGGCGGGGGTATGGCGGGCATGCCGCCACTGGGTGGCGCCGGGCCCGGACAAATGCAGATGCCGCAGCAACAGCAACCACCAGCGAGTATAGAGATAGAAGACTTTGTGTTTGTTGTATCTGTATGTGCTGTCTCAATTATATGCGCAAAACGTACTATGTATGTGCAGTTCGTCACACTACTTGGATTTTTACTTTTCTCATTCTTGGTTGCCATGATTGAAACCGTCGCAAGAATACAGATCCCCAACAAGCCGCCCTGGAGCAGGCAATCGCGGGCGCCGTGCAGCAACTTGTGCCACAGATGCAGCAAGCGTGCGGTGTGCAGTCCTCGCAGCAAACGAACGTTGGCCCAGACTGCTGGTCCAAGGCCTGGGCCGCCGTTGGCTGCTTGCCAGAGAAGGTATCAGTACAGATTTTGTAGTGTTGTGCACTTCTACTATGTAGTAGTTGGTTCTAGTTAGCTCATGGAAATCCGGAACGAAAAGCGGGATTTCGACTACAGCTACTTTCTGTCAAATGTACTGTATTGACGCGGAGAACACCAACTGCTCTAATACGCCAGGTCCCACCGTATGAGCAGTGGCATGCGGGCCAGAGTTTGGAGGTCTTAGTCGCGGATGTTGCCCAGTGGGCGGCCTTGCCAACGGAAAAGCACCGGATGGCCTGCTACGGAAAAATGGAATTGTGAGTGTGAACAATGTCACGCAGCACTTGCACTTCATCAAGTACTAGTACAACGGTTTCACAAAATAAAATGAACTTGATGAGCACGTCGGCTTTACTCAGTATATAGCATTCCAAAAGACGCACACATACTCGCTAGCTAGTATCATACAAACGCGATAGAAATACTACGCACGCCTTGTAGCGGCTGCGTTCGCCATCAGAAGTAGAGCGGAAAAGAAAGCACGACACAAAACACCAAAAATCAAAACGTAGTTAAAGTTACACGACCGCTGGCATTACCCTTTACTGTGGCGCCATACGAGCGACATGTACAGGGCATGAAAGTGGCTAATGCACTACACCTGTATCGATTCGCTTCATCCACCAGACCTAGACGGCAACGAGAACATGCATGCTTCGATCGTCCTCGACGAAAGATAAATTGAAATTTTCCGAATCCGAGGACCTCGTGCTCGGTAGCGCGGTGCAGGGCGAGAGAAACCCGCGCGATCCACTTCATGTGCTACAACAATATCAACATCGATGTTGTCATCAAGATGTTCACGCTCTCGTCGTGACGTCAGTGCAAACATATGTCTAATTAGGCTGATTCCTCGAAAGAGAGACTTGTGCATGCAGTTTGTATATTGATTTTGATCAAGACGAAATCGTAATCGAAATCAAGCGAGAGCCGAGCGAGTGCGTTTCTGCATGTGGTTGTCCTCGTGCCACATCTTCAAACGTAGAGTTTGTGACTGAGCGTACGAGAGACTTTATCGTGATCCGCATCGGCTGCAAGATTTTTGCCTCCAGCTCGAATAAGGGTATCATGAGTCGAGCGTTTTCCGCATTAAATTGAAGAATGAAACGAAAGAAGATTGAAGTAGTAAACATCACGAATTGAAGGATCATCAATCATAGACCGAACCCATTATAGAGGTCGATGGAAATATGAAAGACGATGGGTTTCTGGACACCCTGTGCGGCAGTGTGGCGGCGTATGGGGCCAACGCGGCACCACCACCAGCATGGACATGGTGTGCGCATGAGTTATCCCGGTTCGAAGGACGCTGAGTGACCCTGCCCCCGCGCAAAACGACTCGTCCATAGGAGATCACGACAGCACACCAAGTGGGTTTTTATGCCCAGCTGTAGAAGATGAAATGCAGCGCCCAAAGTCAACACATACTGCGACATTCGACGCTGCTGAAGTGCGAACAAAAGAAGTCACCGGGAGCAGCTGCCCAGTAAGACGTGGCAAAAAAGGAACTTCTACTTCACGAAGTAGCAGAAGAAGTGGCTTCTGCGACCACCACGACGCTCTCGTCGTAGGTCTAGCAGCACCGCATCAGCGACGAAGAAACAATTGGATATTGCGGGGCACCGAAGCATCTTCATCGCTCGGCGCACCCTCAAGAAAGAAGCTCGTGTCGTGCCGCAAAAAGTCCTCGTGGTGTACTACGATACTGAGAACTACAAACAGACTACACGGCCAGCACACGGGATATTTTTTCACACCCTCGCGGTCCTCCTGCTCATCAAGTTCCCGCCTAGATTTGCTTTTTTCGACCGTGCTCCTCTTCGCAGTTCTTGTGATGCTGCTGTTCATCGACGATCGGCCCGTGGTGCTCGCGCTGCAGCAGACCTACGGGCAGCGAAAAAAGCGGGGAAACCTGCGCGGGGCCTATCGGTATCTGGACGATCAGGTAAATAGCAAGAGGGCGACCGAAAACTCGGTCGTTGGCAGCAGTGTACCGCCAGGGGATGAGCAGACAGGAAGTAATAAAAATGCTCAGGATGATCTTTCATCTTCCGGCTCTGCCACAACAGCCGCTGACCCTCCGGACAAGGAAATATTAAGTGACAAGTTGTTGGAGCTGCAGGCGTCGGGCGAGTCCGACCACGTTGAAGAAGAATTGCAGCAGTTCGAAACCGCCAACCAAGCCACAAGTAGTGGTGTGGGCGAAAACACGAGGCCGTCGTCATTCGCGAGTTTGCGAGAGAAGCGACTACTTCCAGGCGAAAGAGCAGCGCTATCAACAACTGAAGTAGAGAGTCCCCGCGTATTCAGCGGAGGGAGCGCGTCGTCAAGTAGCAGCAGCAGAAAGTTGAATCAGCTCCGGAACCAGATTGCTGCGGACCAACTTGACGAATTGTCTTCAACTGCAGCCTCCTCCGGAACCAGCTCCGCGGGCGATCCACGACATGCATCTAGTTCTGGCACAGGAGAGGATGCAGAAGTTAGGGAGCAGCTGCAGTTTGTGAACGACCAACGTGGCAAGCCGCTTGGCCCTGGTCGTACCGGCGAAAATGGTGGTGCCGGCACTTCCTCTGAAAACGCATTTTCTTTCGTGGAACTGGCACAACCAGCACAGGATCGCCGTGCTACGGAGCCATCTACCGCGACGGGGGGTGAAAATGCGGTGCCAGAGGGGACGTCGTCTTCTGACGTTGAAGAAGATGCAAATGAGGCAACACGCAGAAAAACGAGAAGAAAAAGCGAAGACCTGGCTCCGAAGGCCGGCGCTCCTGCTCGAAAGCACCCGAGGAGCCCAAACAGGCGTACTTCCTCAGCAATGCAAGTCAGACAGGTACAGCAAGAAGTTTTGTGCTTGTTCGAAATTGCGGCTTCATCTTCGTGTTGCAATTTTGTCTTTACGCTTTTACTCTTCACAACACGGATACGTACATGATTTGCGTGACTGACACTTTTGTACACAGAACAATGATTGAAGTTGTTAGTACCAGACGAATGCTCTTCACGGCAACAAACCTCCCAACGCAGGGCGCAAGCACGAGCAGGAACCAGCACGACGAACAAGACTCCACCGTGAGCAAGGCGGACGGGGACCCAAGTAGCATGATGCAGTTGCGAAACCTGAGCGAGGAAAAGGAGGAAGAAATACTGCAAAGAGCCGCGGAGGGTTACTGGTCCGACTCACCACGGAATATTGAAGGCGCTGGTGCAACATCGTCAAAATCGTCCTCTTCGGCGGGCAGTAGCAGCGCCCTGCAGTTAGCGGAGCAGGAGTTGAAGCGAGAGTATGAAGACGCGGCGTACCAGCACGAGGAGCACCGACAGCACCATCACCAGCACGCGGCAGCGCGCAGTAAAGTTCAAGGTAAACCGAAATCCAAAGAGAAAGGTGACTCTAAATCCAAAGCGAAGAAAAAGAAGAAGGAGAAGGAGGGAGAACCAGTAGAGGAAACACCTCCATCCGAGGCGGAGGCTGATGCAGCTCCGGAGCAAAAGAAAGAGAAGACAATGAAGAAGAAGAAAACAGAGGAAACACCCCCACCCGAGCGGGAGGTTGATGCAGCTCCGGAGCAAAAGAAAGAGAAGACAATGAAGAAGAAGAAAACAGAGGAAACACCCCCACCCGAGCGGGAGGTTGATGCAGCTCCGGAGCAAAAGGAAGAGAAGACACGAAAGGAGAAGAAAACAGAGACGGCACCAGCAGGAGAAGCACCTGGCGAGGGGGAAACTGCAGCGCCGACCACGGAAGCGCCGATCACGAAGGCCGCAGGGGCCACATCGGATGAAAAAGCTGCCGCTACAACGGGAGCGCCTGCAACGGGAGCTGACAAAACAGAAGCGGCTGCAACGTCAACGGGAGCGGCTGCAGCGGGAGCTGACAAAACAGAAGCGCCGACCAAGGATGAAGGAGCGTCGGCCACAACAGATGCGCCCGCGCCGACCACCGGCGACACGCCAACGACCGCCGCGGTCACAACCACACCCGCGACGACAACAGCGGAAGAGGATAGTGACGCAGACGACTTCACCGTCCCTCAGCAGTGGCTGGTTACAGAAGCGGCGGTCACCACACCTTATCGGAGTGCAAAAAGTCCCCACGGCCCCATAGATACGTACAACAACTGAGAGGACATTTGTATTGCTGGCGTGATTTCAGATCACAGACAAATTATTAAGCTGCCATGCTAGAAGATGAAACAAAGGATGTACAGATTTTTCTGAATGTATTTCTTTTCGGCACGGATAGCGTAGCAAATTGCTACTGGCCACGATGATCGACGACGCGCAGTGGTTTGTCTCTGTGGCTTCTAGCTAAAACACAGGTGATGATTTGTCCTGAGCGCAGATATAATCCTGTTGAACAATCTCGGGCTGGGAGATTTTTCCGCCCAACACGCCAAGACCGAGCACGACGCGCCTGCCGCAAGCCAACGAAAAAGCGGTGCAGACCGCCTTCGAGAAAGATGCCGAGAAGCTGCTCGAAAAAATCGGGCTGGGAGTTGTACTTGCTGATGCTACTACCTTTTTCTCCAGTTTCTCAATGTGCGCGCATCCTTTAGGGATTGCAAAGGCGAAGCATGTCGCGGTTACAATCAATCGAGAATCTTTCAACAATTTTTTCTTGCAATTAGATGGCGCCACATTGTCTTTGATTTTGTTCCGCATCCAGCCTTGCCACATGAGATGAAGGTGATGATCGATGAATTGAGAACAACAACAAACCTCTTCTAACAGACGCCCGGGAACATCGGGAATCTGACCGATGAATTTAGCGCAATGCACTGGGCCAACACGAATCAGAACGAGTTCGATGACATCACGTTCCCCTCGTATCCGTGCGAAATCTTCAGCAGCAACTTGCAGCACAGCTCAGTCAATCGCACTCGATTATTTATTGCATGTACTTACCGTCTGACTTTTCTGTCTCATCACGACCATGATCAGATGAGGCCAGCGCCAACACGTCTAAGTGTAAGCCCAAGTAATCCGACGTGAATGAAAATAGCCCAAGTTGTTGAAGGACTGGCACTAGGACTAGCACAACAAGCATTGCTTGTCAAGCAGCGCAACAAAATGCACAGCCCAGGACTGACAGTTGATGTGACTACAACATAAAAAAAAAGTCCATTCCTTTTTATCATTCCTGCGTGGCAAGGCGAACTGCGCGCTGCACTACCATTAAATACAACTTGATGGTAATATGCAGCAGCGTTTGTTCGCAGCATCAATCTGTATCTGCGTAGACGTAGACTGCTCAAGATTTTGTGTGGATAATGAGATTATCGATCGGTTGAAGATTGTGATGGAGCCACCACCGAACAGACCCAAGGAAGCGGTGCTCGTATCCTGTGCAAAAGTATCTGATACTCGTATTGCAATCATGCATTACAAATTTTTTTCTCAAGGTAAATCCGCATTACAAATTTTATTTCTCATGCTGCAGGAATTTGTATATGCATTTATACGAGTACGATACTTTTGCACTGCATAGCTCGAGGTGCTTGACAACGAGAAAACACAAGAACAAATCAAAACAGTCTTCAGGAGCTTTTTTCCCGAGGATGAGCTCACCGGCAAAGCCGCTGTGGTACTAATGCTACACATCTTACATATCGCTTCTGTACTAGTTCTAGTGCTTGGAAACAGTTCGTTATGAGTAAACAAGTATCTTCAACCTGACTCGAATACAAACATAAAGATGCTCATTGTATCTTCCATCTCGAGCTCGCAGAAACAATTCATTATCATTAGGGAGACTCCCGTGAGAAAAATTAAGAACGACGGTCAGGTCGTGCTTGTGACTAGCTGCCTATACTCACCTAAAAAATCAAACAGTTGACCTCCACCACTGCCCCGCCAACTGCGACGACGAGTGCGACGCTTATGAGATTGCACCACAACAACTCCTCCTCGTCCATCTCATTTGCAATTGCTATGTATAAAAATTGCAGGGCAACAACATGATGACCAGAAATAGAGGCAAGAAGAACTGCAGGACTCAGTTTAGGTTTTTGCATGACATAGACCACACCTGAACTACACGGAAAGTTGTCCTCAACCTTGCACCGAAATTTGTTACGCAAGCAGTACCGGCAAGGGAAACTGCAACATCATGTGGCGGGCCGTGTAGAAGACACCTAGAATAATATTTTGCATGGCAAGAAACTGCAAGAGGAGAGACGCAGTAGAGCAGTGAAAATGGTGCGCTCTCATAACGCCATTTGTGCCAGATGGTATGGCGAATTACGAAGACGCAACCAACGAGGCGAGGAAGGTCGACGGGGCTGGTGGTCAAGCGGAACAGGCCGCTTTGGAGGCAGAAACCAATGCCGCAGAAAAAGCCGCTGCGAAAGGGAAAGCTGCGGCGTCTTCGAGTGCATGATAATAAAATATTTCTAGAAAGCTAAGCCTAAGTATTCAAGAGCACAGCCAGGGGATGTCGAGGGGTGCGACGAGAATGACAAAGTAGTCACGCTGCTCTCTTGGAGCTGGTGCCAACCTAGCGCTAGCTTGTCGCGCGTCAAAAAAACATATTCAATTGATAAGAAGATTCAAAATCATAATGATACGTGATGACAAATTAAAGGGCGGTTATATGCAGTAGCACAACGCCGAAGCTCGATCCTAAGAATGAACAACTCAAACGCAAACGACAGCTCGAACTATATTATACCGACTTCACTTTTCGAACGTTAACATCATGTAGAATAGCAATAGAGATAGACCGACCGACCGTCGACAAACTGCGGAGCACAATTAATGAATCCAAATAGTCAATGTCAAAGGAACACTTTTATAGTTCCGCTCAGATTTCGGAGAAAAGAAATGAACGCTGCAAATGAATCAATATGCTAAATTTTTTTGAGAGTTTCTGGTCCTTCCTGCGCGTCGATGTCTGATCTCGGAAAAACTTTGGGTAGTATCCCCATCTTGGGAACGGTAAGTACTATGCGCCGGGCTTTGGCTGCCCTGTGGCCGTGCTGTCCAACGTGTCCACCCCCTGCAAGAGAAGAAGCGTGACTGTTTTCTTGCTACTGTTTTCTTCATTTCCTCCAACGTTGCAGTATGGCACTCGGTAGTTTTGGTTCGTCTTGCTCGTCCTCTGAGCTATGAATTTGCAAAACGTGACGGGGGAGAGAATGCTGAATGAAAACTGATTCCTTCATCTTGGTACTCGTACGAAGAGCAGATACCTTTCTGCTGTCGTATGTCCAGGGCGCTTCAAACGCGTCGTGGGAGTGGTCCATCGCGGCAATTCTCTGATAGACTTCGTCGCATCTTTCGCTTCTATCGCTTGCATCGGTTGTACACCGCTGCACAGAGCATATTAGAGGATTATCGATTACCTTCTTGTTTCCTTGCTCGTCCTTGTTGGTTTCTTGTCACTGACAGTGAGCAGGACACACAGCCACTGACCTGTTACCATGTTTCCCTGCGTTGACTCGAAATCGAAAATCAGGAATTACGCAAATTAATTGTGCTCCGCCTAGAAGATGAAGTACTAAAATAAAAGACTAGGCACAGCACTTTATGCAAAGCGCCGAGGACTTCTAGTAGAGGCAGGAGGCCGCGATTGCGGCCCGGACTTTCGGGCGCAGAAATCGGCCTGCAGTGTGCGGCTCGCTTCGACCAAGTCACTGCAACCAAGGCATCCTAGATCGAAACAGCCGCCCGCCGCAGCACGAGTTGTAGAAGAACCGGATTCGTTTCTATTCCTATGGCCTCCTGCACCTGCTTACCCTCTGGCGCGACAATGGTGTGGTTTCTCCTTCTGGCCTTTCAGTTTCTGGATTCCGGGTTGCACGGCGTTTCCCTCTTCGTGAGTGCTCTTCAGGAAAAGCGGCAGAAGTACTTTTTTGATATATTGATTTCGTTTTCGTAGTGCTTCACAGTGGAGACACGACGTCGTTCTCATTGCGACGAGGACACATAAAAATGATTTTGTCTACCTCTTCGCTCGTGCAAAACAGGAGGACCAAACACGGCAACTTGCGTGGCTCGGGCTCGAAGGTAACCGAGAACGTGCAGACAAAAAACGGCTTGCTGCAACTGCAAACGGACGGGGAAAGTGACACCGTGGAAAACGAAGACGATGCTGCTGGCGGAGATGAAGTGACGGAAAAGTTAGCGTCAGCGTTGGGAGGATCGGGGAGTTTACCGGATGAGGAAGCGGTATTTGAACTTCTGGAAAGATGCTGATGAAGAGTGTATGTCCTAGTGTAACTCGCACGCGACTTCGGAGGCACTAATCCTAATGCTTGATGAGGCTCCACTACAACTTGACTCTGACAAATTGAAATTAGCGTGGTCGCGGAAAAGCGTTCACTGTTGCCAAATCCACAACACAGGCTGACGCAGATGCAGATATAATGCCGGTCGCGGATGTGGACGACGCTGCCATGCCCGTGTCCATGGTGGAGGTGGGGAAGGTGAAGGCCGCGCCGGAGGCGATTGACTCAAGCGAAGAACCACCAGTCGACGCGCAAGAAGGACGTGTGGCTGCCGTGCAGGAACCAGCACCAGGGGAGAGGATGGCAGACGAGCCAGAAACGGCAGCAACTGGTGCCGACACGAACACGGCAGCAACGGGGTCGGATGGTGGTGGTGGTGGTGCTACAGAAGCTACTGTCGATGGCGTTGCGGCAGGGGCAGGCGAAAAGTCACAGGCTGCACCTCCAGCACCAGCCGAGAAAGAAAAACCCCCGGCCGAGATACAAACGCAAACCACAGCTGATGACACACATGAAGATGGCGAAGATCATGATGACCATGACGTCGACGCTGCCGCTGGCAAGGCCATCGCCACGAGCACGACAGAGACGAACAAAGGCAAAGAGGGTTAGTATAGCCAATAGCATTGCTATCCGAAGAACGAGAATGAAAGCGGAGCCTCGGGGGAGGGATCGGCATCAAAATTTCTCTCTGATTCGCGTGAGAGTATGAATAAAACCTAACTACAAGTGGTGCGCTGTTATGAATTTCAAACGACCCTCCTATGTATGCCTATGTGAAAAAAGCGCTCGGCTCCCTCATGTTGCGATGTTGATGATATACCCCCGAAAACTATCCGTCTGTAAACTGTATTGAAGGAGAACTGTGCCAGGTACTTACCAATTTTACTTGAGAATGACAGTCGTGTGGTCGCCGTATGTGCGCGCTCACGACCAGCGCTCGCGCGACGCGCAATCTTTGGGACGTCGTCGCACGTCTGCTTCTCGATGGATGATCTACACAGACATTAGTTTTCACGATGCGACTCAGCAATCCCAATGGTCAATTGATCAAGTTCTGGAGACTATGACTAAGACTGACCAGTGTTTTGTAGAACTCAGCTCGCCGGACCCGGAGTAATTGACGAAAACAAAAAAAGATCATGGCTTTTACGCCGCAAGCACCACTCTTGGCAAAGACAAAAAATAGATACAGGAAAACCATTGATTTGATGTACGAAAATGATCGGACGTCAACATCATCGTTTGTGATTGATGTACAAATTGCGACGGTTTCGCGTTTCCGATGTGAAAGCAGATGACTTTGTCTCTATTTTTACATTTACCTTCGAAATACTTCAGCGACAAAAGAAGTGACGTAGCTCTTGATCGCGTTTGTGATTTTACTTTCTTTGATCGTGTGGCTCCAGACTCAAAGTCTAAACTGACTCGTCAACCGCATTGAAAAAAGCTGGACGGAAACCTCCAGCAAACTCACTTCACCTCTGATTTTCAACTTCATCAAGATGACCGAAGGTTCCATTTCGACATTCACAGCTGACCACTCCGCTCTGCCCGACCCCGCTCAACCCCAGCCAACCACTTCCACCCTTTCCAAAACCGAGGCCACCCACTACGACCGGCAGCTCCGCGTTTGGGGCCTAGCCGCACAACAGAAGCTTTCCCAGTCCTGTCTGCTGTTTCTCGAAGTCGATGGAATCTTGTCGGAGTTGTTGAAGAATCTGGTGCTGTCTGGTGTCGGGAAGATCTACATTCACCACAAAACTATCGCAAGAGCAGGTGCCACTGCCGAAGCAAATGGAACTGCGAATGGCGCCGTCGCGCCAGGCCCAAGCCCCCTCGTCACCCCAGAGGACATCGAGACGAACTTTCTCCTGACGCCCGACGACCTCGGGAAGAACAAGGTCGACTGCGTCGTGAAAGCGGTGCAGGAGTTGAACCCGCTGGTGAAGGTGGAAGCGGTAGGAGTAGGTGGACATGGTGGAAAACCCAGATCAGGATCTGTGTCCTCTCCGTCATCTTCGCTTGCGACAACACTCGCGGACCCGGCTAGTCCCAGCGGGAAGATTTTTCAAGAAGCCACGATCGTATTTGACACAGCCTGTGTGTCAGTGTCTTCAACGACTGCAAGTTCAGCATCGACAACAAGCGCACCTTCACTAGTATCTTCATCAAGTGCAAGTAAGCGAAAACTGCAAGAAGCCACTGAGATTTCTGATTTGTGTCGCAAGCATGGAAAAACCCACTTTCTGTTAGCGCACAGCGGAATTTATGGGTTTTGTTTCTACCGGTGTTGCGAGACGACGGCTGGCGACCACGCGAGTGCTCCTGATGGGCAGTCGCGGACGAATCATGGCGATGCAACTTTCAACGACATCCTGACGAAGTACGCACAGGGTGCGAAGGACATAAAAATCACGAACCCAGTGGTGCAAAGGTTTTTCCAAGAATTCAAAAGCGTTAAGAACCTGCACCGTGCCGGGCCAGAAGGGAACGCGCAGACGAATGGCAAGATAGAGTCAGACCACGACGGCGAAAACCATTTCAGTCGATGTTTCCAGCTCCCCGCCCCGCTGGTCACGGTCAGCGCAATCCTTGGCGGTGTCGTTGCACAGGAAGCAATCAAAGTAATGACGGGAAAGGATAAGCCGTTGAAAAATTGCATTTTGATGGACTTATCCATCATGCAATGCGTCATCGAGGAACTGCAGATCCCCAAGACACAAGAACGCTTGCCGAACGGGAATGAAATGAGAAACGGAACAACCGCGAAGCGAACGGCGGAGCAGCGAGATCCAACTTCTTCAGAAAGAAGAAAGGATGCAACAAGTAATGGCAGCGGAATTGCTGTTGCGAAAAAAGCAAAAACGGACGCTGTCGCCATTGACTTACTCTCGGATTCAGATTGATCTCTTCAACTTAATCGATGAACACACACCAATGGAAAATGCTGCTCCGCATGCGCAACACTTGCTACAAAAAAGCAATCGACTGAAAAATGAGACCGATGACATCGACACCTTCCCTCTTTCAGGAGGATTACGTTCATCGAAACTCGAAATCTATCATCCAAAATTCATCTCGGTATCTAAATCATGTGTGATGTCAACATGATCATGGAATTGTGGATTAAGATATGAAATAGAAATATGGAAATATATGATATCATTTTCATCATCAATTTTGAAGTTTTTTTTTCCAATTAGAAATTGAATGAGAAGAATCAGACGCAGAGGGATGATTATTATCTCGTTTCTTTCTCGATTGAGTTTGTTTGTGGATGTGGATGGGTACATGGAATCGTTTGAAAGTTGTATTTTCATATTTGCATATGAATTTCATCGATTCCATTAAAAAGATTTTCTCCAACCATATGTCAATGAACAAGAAATTTTTTTTTTTTTTATGGGAATTAGGTAAAATTATTGTTCGATGTAATTGTAATTGATAAATTTCGGAAATTTTTAGAAAATTTCGCAAGAAATTATTTATGATCTCATTTTTTTCATAGATATCTATGCAGAAGTGTTGAAGTGTGTGTATGTTTGGTCTTCTCTGAATGATGTGTATGTGTGTGTGATCCACACAATAATCCATTAAAGGACACATTGCCAATGTCATCATTTCATAGATATCTATGATTTTCATTTTCAAACAATCTGGATGAATCGAGATAAATCTTATTTCTCATAATTCATGGTCATCGAAATTCATCATAGAAAAATCTGTGAGGATAAATCATCCATAAATTTTCTTTGAATTCGTTTTCTGTTGGTCATGTGATCTAAACCCTACCTCCACGCAAGACTGAAGCTTCTATGAGATCCCGAAATGCCTGCTCTCCAAATGCAAACGATGAAGAAAATGGAGTAGATCAGGCTCTCTTGGTTCGGATTTTACTTAGACCCGGCGACCCTGGTAAAATCTTTACCAGGGACCCCCGATCCTGATAAAATCCCTACGCCAGGCTCCTATGGTGCCGATTTGGCCGATCTCAGAATGGTCCAGATCCTAGCCAAATCCTAGATGATGACTTTATCGAGGACCTTCGTCCTAGATCAAAACTCTACCAAGGACCGCCGACCTTGATAAAAACTTTACCAGGGACCTCCGGTCCTGGTAAAATCGTACGCATACAGAGGGGAAAGTAGGTCCCAGAATGACTAGAGATCTGGAGCGCAGCCAGAGGCTTTCGCCCTGTCTGCTGAGAGATTGAAGTGTTTGTGGTGATTGAAGGACCTTTTCAGGTAGAAGCTTTGGCCATTCAGTGTGGCAGGTGTGCTCAAAGTCCAACACTGCGCTGCGACTTAGACGCCAATCTGTGCTACTTTACACTAGTGACAGCAGATTCATTAAGGAAACAAGATGACTGTGGTATCCGCAGAGATCGCTGCGAAGTTGCCGGATGTGACTGGTTGGATCGAATGGGATCGCTCTGTCCGTGAGGAGGTCGAGCGCCTCGGACTTAGCGTCTACATATTTCGACAACGTCGTCGTCAATCTCGGTCAGCCCGGTCTCCCCGGAGGAGCCGGCCAGCAGGTTGAGACGGTTGCTCAGAAATGGCGCAACCTGAAAGCCGCGATGCTGCAGCCCTTCCTTGACTGGTTCTTGTAAGACCTGGCTGCACGCTCGCCCGAATTACCACGCTCTGAATGCCGGAGAGTTGTATTTGGAGCTGCGTGACGTTGGTCATTATGACCAGCAGAACAGGACCCAGCGGAAAATCCGTGTTGCTTGTCTCGAATCGATGGAGTTCGATGACCGCGACCAACCTCAGGACCCGCCTTCCTTTCTCGCCAAGGTCAAGCGCATCATGGACCAGTCCCCTGCGGTGTTTCCGCCCGACCAAGCTCGTCCCGCTGAAGATCGTCAGGCCCAGAACGTCTTAGACTACCTGCCCAAGATGTTCTCCAAGGGTTTCAAGGACACGATCGCGCGCATGGTCGAGGACGATGCCCAGTTGACGACGCAGCAGATGGGTGACAAGTTGGCGACCCGTCTGCAGGCCATGATCAAGGACGGCGAGTACAAGGCGGAGACAGAGCTCCAGCTTCGGCAAGGCGTTTCCGACGGTTGACTTCGACCAGGACACGACCGGAGGAGCCGCTTCCAAGAAACGCCCCCAGGCTAGTGGTAATGATGAGGACGGTAAAGCTTTCATGTCTGCGACTGCCCTCAAGCGGTTCAAGGCTAAACTGAAAAAGAAAGTTACCGCCGAAGTCCACGCAAGCCAGGGTGGTGATCCTTCTACTCGCAAGAGCCAGAAGGGGAAGGGCAAGAAGGACAAGAAGTTCAAGGATTATTTATAAGAAGAATATCCAGTGCTACAAGTGTTACGACTGGGGTCACTACGCGTGGGAGTGTCCTACCGCTGCTGTGTCTATGGGTGGGAAACCCAAAGGCAAAGGCAAAGGAAGGGGCAACGCGTACACCGGTTTCGGTGAACCTACGGTCTACCAGGACTGGGGTGGTGCCTGGGTCTGGCATGATGCTAGCGCTGGATCGGGATCCGGCAAGCCCGGAACGAGCTGAGACGAGGATCAAGATCCGGAACGGGGAAGATGTTGTTTGAACTTTGAGGAGGATGAAGTGTATTACAAGAGTTTCGTAGATTCGGTTAACTCTGCTGCTACTATGTTGTCTGTTGTTGATTATTGTGCAGCCAGTTACCTAGGTGCAAAGCAGGCAAACCTAGTTGACAGCTGTGCAAATAGATACTTATCAAAGCACGCTGATGATTTTAAGAACATCACGGGCCGGCGCTGTGCCATCAACGGAACAGCTGGCGCACGGGATGGATTTATAGGAGAATTGCAACCCAACCAATTAAACCTGCGACATGGTGTTTATTTCAAAGATCTACCAAAGGATATTGATAGGATTTTGCCTTGGCTCGGTGAAGGTAACATGTCACAAGTAGGATGGGAGCTTACCTTTCACAGCACCGGCGGAACCATTGCTCACACTGGTACCGGCCGCGTGTTGGGCATAAAGATAAAGAATCATCCCAGAATGTGCCTTCCCGTCCTTGGTTGCAACTTGTTTGACCTGCAGGAGGCAGATGCTGCGGACGGCTTTGTCTGTATTTCTGTCGCCGAGGTATCTACTAGTAGTTGTTACTTGACTAAGCTAGAGCTACACAGACGTCTTGGACATTTCCATGTGGACGGGCTCAACGTCAGTTGTCCCGAATGCGATAGAACTAAAGGCCAGAGGAATCCACATGCGAAAGTAAGAAACGTTGAGAATTATAAACCTCAGCCACTAAAACTATTAGCGTTTGACTTCGGTGTCGGTGTGAAGCCCATGTCTATCATGAAGCACACCTGTGTCCTTGTTGGTATCTGTGACGCCATCAAGAAGCGTTTTGTCAGATCTCTTTTGTACAAGAGCGACTGCGTGGAGGAGTTGGAAGACATTATCAAAGGCATTCGCGCAGACTGGTCATTGTCCTTGGATGACAAGGTCGTTTGGTTCCTGAGACGGGACAATGAGCCAGTTCTGGGCAGTGAGCACATGACCAAGGTCATGCAATCGCTGCAGATCTGTGACGCTCCAATTGTTCCTCACAATCCAGAGCAAAACGGAACTTGCGAACGGTTTATGCGGACGCTGTTCGGTTCTTGCCGTACATTGCTAGTCCACGTTGATCGCCGACTGTGGTCCTATGCCATAGTCTACAGTGGTGATTGCTGGGACCGGCTGCCGCACAAATACGCAAAGATGCCAGAGCATGACGGAGAGTGAAACTCCGATAGAGATCCCTGAGAAGAGGACAGGAAGGAACAGTGCGAAGCAAGGCATTGGCCTGCTCAGGTGTTTTGGTTGTCTTGTTTACTTTCGTGAACAAATCAAGACGGATAGAGATGGACAAGGAGGTCCCAAGCTCAGTCCGCCCTTTCGTCGAGGTGTGTTTCTCGGGCTTTGTCCTAAGTCTTCGGGCTGGCTCTTGGGCGCCTTCGTTCAAGACGATCGGACAAGAGACGGACATCGGTGGGCCGAGTATTCTACTCGCGATGTCAAGTTTCGGGAGGGTATACTCGTCAAGAACATCGACTGGCTCCTAGCTACCCAGTTCGAAGGGAGTCTTCATTCAGATGGACTACCTGGAAGATCTCCAAAGCGGCGCATCGCAACCGGTTCCACCCGCGCTTGGACGGCTAGACTCGCAATCTAGTTCGGCTCATCGCCTGGAGGTTCATGGGGCGGGGCACGCGGAGGAATCGACCGCCGGCGTAGAACTTCAAGTGGAGACACTGGACAGAGAGGAAGAAGGTCCAGTAGAGTCCCCGGAAACTCCTATACTGTCGCAAGCTGAGGAGGGGAACCCCGCAGCGAGCAACAGTGGAGGAGGGGAACAAGCTCGAGAAGCGTCCTCTAGTCCTGTTAGGGTACGTCACGCACCGGCGAGGGTTGTGGCTGGCAACCGCATCTCCAAGCCGGGCCGCGGACGTCCAAAAGGGGCCAAGGATAAGAAGAAACGCTCTCGGCGCACAAAAGCACAGCTCGAGAAGTTGAAGAAGAGCGCAGAGGTGTTTGCCGCAGCGAATTGGAACGCTATTGGCATGCTTGACGATGGTGAGGAGATCGTCGAGGCCATAGCGATGTTGACGAATGCTGACTCCTGGGAAGCTTATCTTTCCGCTGAGAAGGCTGTCAAATTGCCTGACCCTGAGCTTGCAGCTAAGTGGCAGAAGGTAATTGACAAGGAGGAAGCTCGTCTGCTAGCATATGAGACGCGGAAGCCAGCCTCTGATGAGGAGCTAGCTACCGCGAAGCAAGTGCTTCCAATCGCTATCATGCTGACCGTTAAGCGCGACGGGACGCATAAAGCTCGAGCCTGTGTGCTTGGCAATCTTGATCGATCGGGTGACGTTGACACCTTCGCGCCAGTTGTCTCGCATGCAGCTAATCGCTTGCTACTGGTATCTGCAGCCGCAGATGGTGATCACGTCATCCCGCATGATCTCGATAGCGCGTTCCTTAATGCCTTGTTAGATCGCGACGTC